ATGAACACCAAATTCATATAAGCAGTTACTTCAATGATAATAAAAAAAAATTTTATGTAAGGACATGATATAGGAAGAAAAAATTATTTAATAGAAAGAAAGGTTTAAACTAATTTTAATCTCATGGTTTAGGAATTACAAACAGTGTATACACCTGCACTATTGTGATAGATTCTGGGCCGTTACCCAGAGTTGCCAACCACTGGTCAAGATAGTCTCTCGGACCCCAACCAAGCGATCTGTAGCCACCAACATGGCTCAGGCTAGAAGTTAGTAACTTTATGGACTGGTGCCACGTTTTGGTTTGACCACCCCTAGCTCTCTTCCAACCATCTCCAATACTAGTCAGCATTGCGCGTCGTGGTAATCAGTGTTCAGGCATACGCAACACGTGGCCTAACCATCTCAGTGGATGAAGATTCACAATCTCATCAACTGACTTACCATCATTCTCTAATATCTGGTGTATAACCTCACTATTACTTACCTGGTGATCCCAGCAGATGCTGACAATATTTCTAAGGCATCTGCGGTCAATTACTAGTAGCTTATACGTATTCTCTACCCTTAAAGGCCACGTTTCGCAGCCATGAAGCGGAACATAACGAAGTGCTTAGCAGTATACTCGTCTTTCAGTCGATAGACTGACATATCGCCTTTGCCATAGGTGACGTAAGTTGGCAAAAGCCAAACGAGCTTTTTGAGTCGATGCAGAGATTTCGTCAGACACCAACCCATTAGGGCTGATCAGACTTCCAAGATAAATGAAGATGTCAACGCGTTCGACTACTCCTTAGTTCAGGTGTTGACGCATCCCAGTCCTGGAATAACAATTTACACTTAGAATGGGAGAAACACAAAGGAAATCATAATCTAATTTGTGTCGATCTACAGTTAAGCATCAAGAAACTAATAAACTCTACTTTAAATTGTTGAACATTTAGTGTTTTTCAATATGAACTAGATATTATATGATTGTAAACTTTTACAAATATTCGGTTGCATAATGAATATAATATCGAATGAAGAAAATATATACTTAATTCATGTAAAATGGTTGGAAATAGTCAGGAGGGAGACCTTACTCGATTTTGGTTTCTCACTAATTGACAGTTTGTTGCCAGATGTATTCGGAAGCTTCACGAGATTCTGCCAGGGCTAAGCTAACATAACCTTGACCACATTTTAGTGATTACCTCAATCGGATGGGAAACTAATTCCTGCACTAAGAGCTTAATGGTAACAACTTAGATTTGATTGTATCCTGTAAAAATAATGTCAAATTAAATATGTTTATATATACATATATGTATAATCATCTGTAATAGATACTTACTACCTATTCATATGTATTACTTACTTACTTACGCCTGTTACTTCCAATGGAGCATAGGCCGCCAATCGGCTTTCTCCAGCCCACATTCATATGTATGTTCATATATAATTCATTTTGTTTATATTATATTGTCTTCTGTTCCTTTTTATCTAATTACAAAGGATGATATGCCAGGAATACGTAAACGTATGATGTATGAAATATTGACACAACAATTACTAACCACAAACTTCAAATTAAAAGATAGTGATGATGATAAATAGAGAAAGAAAAAGAAAAGTTTTTTTGTGTTTTGAATAGAAACTACTTTTTTTATGCAGTCATCGGTCCTTCCTTTCTTTTTTCTCTTTTCTCAATTGCATTGTATGTACGGCTTCTATGTCTTTTTTTTCCTTACAAATTTGTACACAATACGTTTTATTTAAAAAAGAGTTTTGAAGACAGTCTTTTTTGTTTCTCAAAAATAAAAACTTTATTTTTGTTTAAAATATATTCATCATGATATTTGTGTAAAGTGTTGGATAATTTAGTTTATTTTATTTAAACGCATAAACATTGGTACAAAAGAGCACCAGATATAAATGTGCCACACAAATCTCATTCGATTTGTGTAAGGGCTGTGATACTGTCTAGGTGCTCAAACTGAAGCAGGTGGTTTTCTTAAGAGGCCACACACAGAGCCTTTGACCTAAAGATCTGACCCACAAGGCAGTGGAGCGTCGCAAGGAGATGTAGTCCTGTGGTAGCCGGTGACCAACGATTGATTCAGACGCAAATTGTTCCTTCAGGATACTATAGTCCATGTGCACCATTGATTTGGAATCAGTGTTTTCCAACTCTCCTAGGTGGACTCGCCGTGTCCACCAACCCGGTTAAAGCGCCGGGCGTTCGCTTTTCTTCCTCTCAATTTCGTAAACAACAATAATGCCACGAGAAAGCAGTGTGTAGGACTTCCCTGGCAGAGGCTATATACGCGTGGCCATGTGAGAGCATTTCGAGAGGGAGGGCGGACTCTCCCCAATGTCGGCCGTACCAGGGCATTCGGGGGCTACCACCGACAAGCGTAATAGGAAATTCAGGGAAATCCCAGGAGAACAGTTGATAGTAATCCATTGAGTCTATTTTGTGTTTAGAAGTCCAGATACTCCAGTTGTGTTTCATACATTAACGCGAGCCTATAATCGCTAATGAAATTGCTTGAAATGTGTCACAATCACAATATTGATTTCATTCATTATTTACTGCTAGTTAAACTTTTTTTCTTGTTTATTTCCACACTATTATTGTAAGTATTTTTTCTTCATTGTTCGTATATCATCGTCTGGATATCTTCCTTTCGTGTTAATTTAGAGGTTGACTAACTGAATCAAGACACATTTAAGTGTCACATGTATGTGCGGAATTGCGTTACATTCCATTCTGTGTATCTGATAAATCAAACAGAACAATTACCTGGTTAATTAGTTACATACGGAGGCCTTTTACATCATGGTTATTGTTAGAAAAGCTTTTAACGATACACTAGTCGCTAACTCGAATGTTACTTCTGTAAATGGTTGATAATGGTTTTTTTGATGTCCGTACTAGCAGTCAAAAATCTTTAATAGTTAACGTTGATTTATTCACTTATCAAAATGATCAGCAAGAGAGAAATGTAGGCAAAGGATGGTTAGTGAGTTGAACAGTTAAATTAAGTCGATTACTTCTAAATGCAAACAAATTTGGAAATATAAATCAACATTCCTCTTAAGTCATAGATTAGCTTACGTTTGTCAAATTGTCATATTGGAAGCACTCTAGTTTGTGATTGAACTGATGTACAGAAATAGATCTGTTCTTAAAATCTGTCTTACTAATAAGATACGGGGAAATTCAGAAATTTATCATAACTGGTGGATGGTGACTAGACATGGAATCTAGGACGCGCTTTTCGTCGTAGTTGAGACGCATCAACTGGATGTACCTGTATTCCAAAGTTCACTCTGGGACTAAGTGGATAACGCGTTGGCGTTAGAAGCGAAGGATATTGGGTTCAAGTCTCGGAGTGAACATCGACTCTGGAATACAGGTACATCCAGTTGATGCGTCTCAACTAGGACGAAACGCGCGTCCTAGATTCCACTGCTAACCACCGTTCATATGTGCTTATAAAGCTTGTGACTTGAGGCAATATCGAGGCGATCCGTACAGGATACACATATGCCAACAAGAGACTGACCAACTGTAGTCGTAAACAACAATGAGAAGTTACAAGCAAACAATACCAAGTGAATCTATAATAACCGATGTTTGTTAGGTATTCGAAAGAATCAGTAATATTGTGTAAGGAACTCGATACTTAATTAGTAATCCACTGATGTGACTACTGCTTCTTTGTTTATTCAAGCAACAATGGTAATAACATTGAAACAAAAAACCGATCTAAATTAGACAACCAATGAAAACGTGAAAGCATTGGGTGACAGTTTCATGCTAGTATGATTTTCCTCAGGAATGAGCATCCACAACCGGTGATGGGAAACAGAATCCTTGTTCATCATTTCCATGAAATTCAACAGTCTCCGTAACGCTATACTGATGGCAATATTGCTGAATTTCACACACACTTTATGATGGGTAGCCGGTAACACTAGTCCTTAATTCAGCATACCTTACAACACTGTCATTTTCATTCTGATTCGTAGAAAATATAGAATAATGATCATAGTGAAAAGTTAGTGCCAGTTATGAAATTAAAAACAGATATCCAAGTTTACTTTGTATATTCACCATCGAATTTATTCACACTGATTAATTGGTTTTCTATCATCGAACTGTAATTTACTTTGATTTAGTTCAGCAAATAAAATTACATTTGGTTAGTCAGTTTACATAAAATTTATATTGCTAGAATAGTATTATTTTAGAAGTGGATTGTCGGTTAAAAACGTTCCAGTACTATTCAACCAAGTCATACATTTGGGTGCTAACTTCTTAATCGAAGACTTTAAATCTCGTGGCCTAAATATTGAATTATAATATTACTTCTTAGTATTTACTCTTTTTATCTTGGAACTATCTTTTCTCTACTTCTTAATATCACGGTTACCATTATTTGATTTCTTTTGAACTTATTGATCAATAAAGTAACTACTTGGAGTGACTGTCATTTGTACTAGGTTCAGTATTGAATTCACTTAGTGTTGATGGTTTTAATCTTTCCATTGATGCTTAGGACTGCAACTGGTCAGTCACTAATCGGCGTATGTGCATACTGTGCGTATTGCCTCGATATAGCCTAAATTCACAAGTATTATAAGCAAAAATGGACAGTGGCTAGCAGTGGAATCCAGGACGCGCGTTTCGTCCTATTTGGGACTCGTCAGCTGGATGCGCCTGCATCTCAGAGTTGATGTTCACTCATGGACTCAAGCCCAGTACTTTTCGCTTCAAACACCATCGCGTTATCCACTCAGCTACTAAATCCTGATAGCCGCTTGCTTGTGCAATGGGGTGAAGTTTGAATTCACTTAATGACTATCAGAAGTCAGTGGCCGAGTGGATAACGCGATGGCGTTTGAAGCGAAAAGTACTGGGTTCGAGTCCCTGAATGAACATCAACTCTGAGATGCAGGTACATCCAGCTGACGAATCTCTAATAGGACGACACGCGCGTCCTGGATTCCACTGCTAGCCACTATCCATCTTTTCTTTTAGGTTCAGTATTGTTTGTGATAGATATTTCTCTTTTCATAGTAGTTTCTTTCCTTTATTGACCTTTATCATATTATCAAACGATAGTTTATTTATAAAACTAGCTCACATTTAGAGAAAAAACTCCAGTCAGATATTACACTTTTAGTCAACATTCATTACTCTAGGGTTACTGACTTTCAGCAAATATTTAATACAATACCTATTCTAAATATAATAACAAATGAAGTGGTCGACAAACCTTTTATTTATTTTTGTTCTTTACAACATGTATTTTAAATCAATTATGAAGCTTATTTCGGTGTAGTTACTTGATGTGTCACAGTTTCATTCGACACCACGGTGCTTGTAGGTGTAGTCGTTGTCATTCCCAATGTTGTTGAATTCGTAGTATGTGGAGTAACAGTTGTTGTTGGAATAGAGACATTTTTATGTTTTATAATACGGTTATGATGACGTAGATGAATAATTATGACTTTCGCTCTTGAGTTATTTCTATTTGTAGTATGATTATGATGTAAAGCGATTGTAGTATTAGTAGTAACAGCGAAATGTGTACTTGTTCGTTGTCCACTTATTGTTGCTCGTCTCTTTGGTAATTTCAATAATTCACATACAAAATATTTTGTTTCAGTACAATAATGTATACCCCATTTACCACTAGCATAATCTATAGATAAGCAAGCAATATCATTTGCTTGCAATCTTTCTAAAACAGGACTATGATGAGGTAGAAAACGTACAGTTACAGGTGTATGATCTGTCCATGTTTGTATTACATGTCTATGTTCACCATTGAATTCATGCACAATTAATTTAATTAATCCACCAATCCAAAATTGTCTTGCTTCTGTAGATAAAACCCAACCCATTATAACATGTATCATAGTTGAACTATGAATTGACACTAAATCACCGTACAGAAAATAATCTTTCAATGGCTTGTAATATTGAGCATTAAGTGTTGTATTTATATAGTCCTGTAAAGAAATATTATGGTTTGTAGCATTTTGAATTAATGTTTCATTGAGAAGTTGGATATTTTCGGCTAATTTACGACAAAAACTCATTGCATCATAATGACTAAGACGTGCATTATTACCGCCATGAACATAGACAAGTGTTAAAAATGGGTTAACATGATTTACTGATATTTTCCAACTACTTATGAGTAGTAAATTCCATGTTACTAAATTTATTAAAAGAATATGTGATGTAATTCGTGAAAACTTTTTCATTGCATAAAATTTTCTACCCTGTCTTCAAAGTACACATGTATTTATACAACAGATAACCAATTAATTATAGAGTTCATTGAAATCTATAAATAAGGTTGATTATTCAATGTCTACTTGAGGAATAACTCTTATCTAAACAGAATTAGTGCATTAAATTATTGATCTGTATACCGAATATTATAGTTCGTACTCAGTTTACTATTTCCATACATACATACATACCATCGCTTACCATCTGCTATGGTTTTTATAAACACAACAAGTCATAGCACTTGATAGCTTAGCGACAAATTTTATGTTAAAGTTTAGCATCATCAACTGACTTGAATTAGGTAACCATTGAAAAGCAGCAAGATTTAGAAAGCTGTTTTGTTCTACTTACGGAACTGTCATTAGTTGGAGTGCAAAACTGCAGCTGGAACAATTATTCCATAGGTTAAACCCTTAGGGCCTGAGGGTTTTAGGTTTTATTCCCAATAGCTTGTAGGGAAGTGATTCCGAGGGCCCGTATCACAAGGAAATACAATTGTCTAAGATCTTCTGGTTTAATTCGGCTATCTGGTAGTATCATGTGTAGAGCTACTGACAAATTCCAGACTAGAACAAACTATCTGTCCTGTTCAACATAATTTTGAATGGTTCATCGGTTGAGATTAATCTATTATGAAAATGAATACAAAGTTTTCTAGATGGAGTGAAATACTAATCAATGACACTCATGTGATATAATAGTTGAATGTTAGCAAATGGTAACAGTTTAATTAGCACTGATCAGTAAGTGAATGGTATAATACGAATTTGATGAAAAAGTTTACCCATACAGATATAAGTTTATTTATTTAAAAGCCACTTATACTCCGTTTTTCAAGTCCCAAGTAAAGTGAACCACACGAACTCGGATGCCGGCTCGATGGTCTATCGGTTTAGTGCTCCGGCGCGAAGCTGGTAGGTCCTGGGTTCGAATCTCACGAGTGTGGGGTCGTGGATGCCCACTGCTGAGGAGTCCCATAATAGGACGAAACGGCCACCCAATGCTTTCAGGTTTTCCATGATGGTCTAGCTTCAATTGACTCACGCTTTCAACTATGAAAATAGTAAATCTTATTGGCATATGTGCATCCTGTGAAGATTGACACGATGTTTCCTTAAGTCACACACATTTTTAAGCAGAGATAGATGGTGATTAGAAACGGAATTCAGGACGCTCGTTTAATCCTACTTGGGACTCGTCAGTATGATGTACCTGCATCCCAGAGCTGATGTTCTCTCTGTGACTTGAACCGCTTGCTTCAAACACTATCAAGTTATCGACTTAGCTACTGAGTGCAGGTGGACATCAATTTGTAAATGGAAGTTTAATTTGGATTCCGTATTAGTTGTCTAAATTTCAACATTTGATGTTCAGGACTTCAAATGATAATTTTATTGCGTGATTACATTTATATTCATTCAGACATTTTAGATCAATTTAAGTTAATAATGAAAAACCGATCCAATTAAAATTTATTGTTATAACCAATAGGACATGATTACAATAAGTGAATATGCTTTTTCTTTGGAAAAGATCTCGACTATATTTTGCTGAAATGACTATGAATGTAAAAACTACAAAATAAGTCTTCCTTGTTAGTTATTCTGTCAGGAAAAAGACTGAAATAGATCGATTTAATGGGGAGGTGAAACTGTAAGGTAAGGATTTATTGATCAATAAATCACTGATTTTAAATGACATCCAAAATAGTAATGAAATATACATCAGGTTAAACGTTAGCTCCGTAAATAAATTTTAAGGCCTTTAAATAGGGCTTCATCAATGAGAAGAGTAAAGAGGAAAACGTCTTAGGAAATCACAGTAGACAAGAAACCTATTTTCATTCAACTTGGATTGAAAGGTGACGTAGTTGTTTTGACAATAAACAGAAGCATAAAAACCAAACTGACCAGAACTTGTCCTGCAGCATAAAACATTATGTTATTTGTTCAGCTATTCTCCATTCCAATGGACAGTTGATTGCAAGTCTGTATCTTACACTTGTTGGTAGAACATGCGTACTACGCTCAGATGATTATCGGATGGTGGAAAAGATTTGTAGCTCAGATGGATGGTTTTGATGGAGTTTTATTCTCTGATTTGGATGGTTTGGTCGTGGAGCTTTCATCGTTCTTCTGAACATCATGAGCACAAACTTCTGGCCGATAAGTACTCCTTTCATGTTAACACCAACTGCATGTAAAAATTTACATTTGTCTGCGAAACAGTTACATTGGTAAAACAGAGATAGGGATCTACGATCGATCCCAAAAAGACGTCATAAAATGTACTAGGTCTTTGGAATTAGAAGCATTTAGAAGTGCTATTTCAAAACATCTCTATGACACAGGACAATAAGGTGAAAAACAGAGATCTTCAATGATCATCAATTGATAGTTAAATCCCGTTTTTCTTGAATTCACTGAAGTCACTATCATCAAACGTTTCAAAAAGAGCTTATGCGTCCAAAAGTAAACAGCTGCAAACATTTCTTTCCCACAGTGACATAATCGTCAGTTTAATACATCATTCTTGCAAGTTTTTTGCTCTTGTTTTAATTGCATCACCTCTTTCAAACTATAAATTTTATTAGAAGGGATTTTTGTGGAGATTTGGTATGTTTCATAGATGAAAGCATGAGTCAATTGAAGCTAGACCACCGAGGAACACCTGGAAACACTGGACGGCCGTTTCGTCCTATTATGAGACTCATGCTTTCATCTATGAAACATACCAAATCTCCACAAAAACCCCTTCTAATAATTAATATAATCATATGCTCACTAGTGACTTCGGGAAGTACTTCCAGGAGCTCTAGTGAGAAGCAGTGACCAGTGGAGTGCAAACCACTTCTGTCGTGAGATAGGAACTCACTAATGACAATTGGTGAATGGTTGCTCAACTTAAGGGCTCTGGCTCGTAACTGGTAGGTCCTGGGATCTGATCTCGCTCGCGAGAGCGGGTTCGTGGATGCGTACTGCTGAGGAGTCCCATAATAGGACGAAACGGCTGTCCAGTGTTTCCAGGTTTTCCTCGGTGGTCTAGCTTCAATTGACTCATGCTTTCATCTATAAATTTTATTTTTAACTGACTAATCTCAAGTTATTTTATTTTTAATTGCTATTAATTCATTTTCAACTACTTCATTATATAATAAATCAATCATTTCAGCCCCATGATCTCTTATTATTGCGTCTGATGATTCAGAAGCTTCATTTATGGGAATCGCTGATCTATCATGATGATAGATATCCAGTTTTACTGTTACAAGTATATAAAAGCTGCTGGTAAGAGAACCTAACGAAATAAAATGAATTCATGTTACCCTTCTCAGTTCTTTGTTTTTACTCTCTTTAAAATGCCTGAATATGTATGCACAATTTATAAAATCAATAGATCAGGGTGTATCTCTTAAATACATTTTGTTCCCAGTCGGAAAGTTTTACAAATAGCCCATTGAATTATCTTTGCTTGAGAGGTTACATTATTGACAAAACTCTATGATAACTATTGTTCAATGTTCTTTATAGGCTTTTAATTATAGTACATGAGTGCTCAAAATTATTAAATTAGTAAATAATTAAATTCACTTTTTTATTGTTTGCTTGAATCTGTTCACCGTTCATCTTTGCTTATATTGCTTGTGAATTAAGGCTATATTGAGACAGTATGCACATATGCCAATTAGAGACTCATCAGTTGCAGTCCTGAAAACATCAATGGGAGGATTCAAACAAACAATACTAAGTAAATTTCAACTTCACCCCCATTGCACAAGCAAGTGACTATGAGGACTCATTGGTCGAGTGGATAACGTGATGGCGTTTGAAGCGAACTGTCCTGGGTCCGAGTCCTATATATATATATATATATATATATATATAGAGAGAGAGAGAGAGAGAGAGGGAGGGAGGTAGCGAAATTAGTTAGACACTAATACCGTTGGATAGCGACTTAATGGTCTAGAGATTAAGTGTTTTCGCGTGAGACTAAAAGTTCTGGGTCCTATTCTCGTGTGAGGAGTCATGGATGCGTAGTCTTAAGTGTCGCATAATAGACGAAAAAACGGCCGCCCAGTGCTTTGGAGTTTTCAATGGTGGTATAACTTTGATCAGTTCCATGATTCAATGCAAATCAATAAACCTCCACAAACTTTTTCTGACGTATATATTTATACGTTTAGTAAGATATTACATACTCGTTTTGTACATTCGAATGGATTTATTTTTAATTATTAATCATTTTAGAATTTGAATTTACACACTGATAAAATTTCATTTTGATATTTCTTTGACTCTTCAATTGGTGCGTTATTCAAATTCAAAAGTGGATTATTATGATTCCTGTTATTTAATGAAGGCAATCTGAAAGGCAAGACATCAAAATGTGATGAATAATGATGTTTAATGAGTGGTAATTTTATGAATATACAGCGATAAAAACAATTATTTAAACATTCATGGTTTCATTATTGTATTGGTTGTTTGAATCAACTCATTGATGTTTACGACTGCAATTGATCCGTCTCTTTTGACATATGTGCATCCTGTATCGATTGACACGATAGTGCCTTAAGTCATAAGCATGATTTATAAGCCGTCAAAGACATTTTGCTACTATAGATAATAATACAGCAATGACTCAGCAGGAATACGGTGAAATGAATTTATACTCTCAGGCGCATGTGTATGAAGTATGTACACCGTCTTGCTTTAAGAATAACTAATACTATTACAATTGATTGATCACTGGATGGTGATCAATCTCATGCATGTCAGGTCCTTCTTAGTGCTGATCGAATGCTATCGATCGAGGTGCAATGTGGCCACCAGTCTAGGTAGCTCGACACTGCTTGCACTATATATACTGAGGTAAGATGGTGGTTGGAGGTGGTCAACAGGAAACCCTGGACCCGGGTTTCGTGCTACTTGGCACTCGTCAGCAAGGTGTACCTGTAATCCTGAGGGAACTGATGCTCCCTGGCGGATTCGATCCCGCGTCACTCAGCTTCACAGTCAGAGACGTTACCACTGAGCTATTCGGGCCGCGACCAACCTCCTGTAGGACTGAGATGTAATTACAATTGATTGATCACTGGATGGTGATCAATCTCATGCATGTCAGGTCCTTCTTAGTGCTGATCGAATGCTATCGATCGAGGTGCAATGTGGCCACCAGTCTAGGTAGCTCGACACTGCTTGCACTATATATACTGAGGTAAGATGGTGGTTGGAGGTGGTCAACAGGAAACCCTGGACCCGGGTTTCGTGCTACTTGGCACTCGTCAGCAAGGTGTACCTGTAATCCTGAGGGAACTGATGCTCCCTGGCGGATTCGATCCCGCGTCACTCAGCTTCACAGTCAGAGACGTTACCACTGAGCTATTCGGGCCGCGACCAACCTCCTGTAGGACTGAGATGTAATTACAATTGATTGATCACTGGATGGTGATCAATCTCATGCATGTCAGGTCCTTCTTAGTGCTGATCGAATGCTATCGATCGAGTTGCAATGTGACCACCAGTCTAGGTGGCTCGACACTGCTTGCACTATGTATATTGAGGTAAGATGGTGGTTGGAGGTGGTCAACAGGAAACCCTGTCACAGTCAGAGACGTTACCACTGACCTATTGATCACCATCCAGTGATCAATCAATTGTAATTACATCTCAGTCCTACAGGAGGTTGGTCGCGGCCCGAATAGCTCAGTGGTAACGTCTCTGACTGTGAAGCTGAGTGACGCGGGATCGAATCCGCCAGGGAGCATCAGTTCCCTCAGGATTACAGGTACACCTTGCTGACGAGTGCCAAGTAGCACGAAACCCGGGTCCAGGGTTTCCTGTTGACCACCTCCAACCACCATAATAACTAATACTATTTTTTCTTGGTTGCAAGCAGATGGCGAAAATCCACTAAATAAATGCATTTATTTACTTTTATAATCTAATAGTTAAATTCATGAGTCAATTAAAGAAAGAAAACCATAGGAAACCTGAAAGCACTTGACGGCCGTCCCGTCCTAGTGTAAGACTTCTCAGCAATGCACACCTACGATCCACCTCGCGGCACTCGAACATAGGATCGATAGGTCTCGCACGCGAACGCTAAGTTGATATCGAATGGTGTTAATGTACAACTTCAACCAATCGTTGTTCTTTTTGAACTCAAATTTTTATACGTGTCTGATCAAGTTTAATGGGCGGTTTTTACAATAGGACCAGTCGTTTTACACTAGTGATACTATGAAAGGAGACGTAAAACTCTTAACTGAAACATTGATGAACAAAGGTTATTCATAAAAGTTTATAAGCTGTCAGAAAGGCAACAATATGACAAAACCTACTATATTTTTTGACAATCAAAAACAAATCTATATTACCCTACCGCCAAGAGGTGAATTAAATAGTCTTATGTTGAAACGAAGACTAAAATTAGCTATCAGTAGGACATTTTATTCCGCCTAACTTATGATTATCGAAAAGTCAAGATCTATGCTTCACGAAAATCCCAAACAATGTGTAAACAATTGTGTCATATCTCGTCACGTTTACCAATTTACATTTATATCTTGAAACACAAACATAGGGAGGATCAATCGTGATCTGCAATTAGGGTTGACAAGCATGTGCTTAAATGGCTACAAAAACAAATGAAATCTAATAGACAGATAAGATCACGCGATAGACAATTATCTTCTCCCATTGTAGAACATTTATTTAAGGCAGGTCATGTTTTATATTAAAACAGCCTCTGTAGTGTTAAACTCAAGTGTTCAAGGGTGTAAACTATGGTTTACTAAAGCCTTGACTATGCAGGAACTAGAGCTTCCTTTATATGCTAGAGAGCAAGGTGTTCTTGCCCCTAATCTGCCTTGATAATATTGTCTTATTATCCAGAGTAATAGATGTCACATTGTTTCTTACGTTATTTTCGTTATTTCCTTTGTTTCCTCTTACCTTCTTCTTGTCTATTTGACCTTTTAGTTGTTTCACATACAATGTTCTTAACGAGCATATGTGTGTTCAGACTAGATCACATAATTCTCATAACCATCATCTTCTCATCGCATTATCTAAATATGTCTGATAGTCTGAACATTGTAACAAAATAATACCCACGTAATGGCTTACGCTAAAATAAACCTAACAATAGTGCGATTCCCAAAGCTTTGTAAAACATAGCAACCAACTGTAATGAATGATTTGTAGTCCACAAGGATTCTAAAAATCAATTAGTTACATAGCCAACCAATTTCTACCGAATTCAGCATTCAAAAATTTTAAAACCTCGCTTCAATCTTGTCTAATATCGTCTAACCCTTTCTCTATATTTAAGATTTTTTTGTTTCAAAAGAGTGCAACATACATTTCTTCATTTCCACCGTTATCATTATACTCATTTTCCATTGAAAACATCGAATTCATTTCTGGGAAACGCTTGATCCAATCTTGAATATCTTGTTCAACTAGTTCTTTGATAGACTTTGATTCATCATCATTTAATGAATAACCTTTCAATAGTTCATTTTCTTGTAAAATATTGTCATTCTTTGAAGTCTGATGACATTTTGGATATGATACTAAATGAAATTAATTGAAAAGTAGAAAGTATAATGGAAGTTGACTGACAGGAGTTCGTAGCTTCTAACTAATTGACATTCATTCGTTAATATGAAAATAACTTACAGATAACGTTGAAAGTACTAAGTTCAATAACTGGAGGACTGTTCTTGGTCGACTACTGCCAAAAATTTAACATACTATATAGTGTTACAAGACTTCATGTTAAATGCGATAAGATCGTATAGCAAATGGCCCATCAGTAAGCTAGGCATAATACACAAAATAGTTTCGATGATTTGAAAAGAAGCTTCTCAGTTTCAATATGTAGTCTGTAATCTTATATATTATTCTACAGACATCGTTGTTTTCAATGTTTTTCAAGTTAATAAATAAAGACTATGTATATGAAAATGATAGTCTTTGTGCTTCTAGATATAACAAAATCTCCACAATAAAATCCTGTACTAAGCTAGATGTGGAGAAGAGTCGTATATTCGACATTGTGATTAAGTTCAAAAAAAATTGAAACATCTATTAAGTTATTCAGACGATATGGAATATGTACAAAAAGGCCCTGAAAATGCTGGAAAACATTTTATCCAATCAGTATTGAATAGAAGTTTGTCAGAAGAATCTTGAAAGAGAAAAGTCACATGTCACATTTCCGATTGAATGATTACCTATTCTGTTGCTATGATTAGTATGGTTCCAGAAGCTTCCAGGAACCCAAGGCAGTTTGAAATACTATAAATTTTTTCGATTTACTGTAGATAAACTAACCTTGGAGTAAAGCATTCTGTACATGCTTCGAGCCCTTCCTCTTGTTTTCAAGTTATCGTGTAAAAGACATTAGAATTACAATGAGCAGTAACTGTAAATATACTGGAATAATTCAATCCCTCAATATTTTGATATTCTTCTAATAAACGTTTTTCAATCAGAGAAATACGCAAATAATTAAAGTTTACTTCTATTGTAAATGATCTAAGAGTTCATGTTACTGATATCTTTTGACTCTATAGGCATAATTTTACGAAATGACTGAAGTTGACTTCAAGATGACATAGTATACTAAGCACACTATGCAAATAAGAAAACCAAATACTTCAGGACGGTTTAATTCTGAAACTGAACTTTATTTTTCATAAATCATACTTATGTAATACCATTGTACTTTTGGTCTAGACAAGGTCATGTATACTGAGATGTCGACTAAATACTTGATCGACTTCCTAGAATATCATGCTTCGTTTACAATGCCTAAGATACTGTTTAACCCTAACATGACATTTTAATATAGACAGATTATATATCTACACTTGCACAGCCTATCACATTTCTACTCAAAGACTGAAGTATCTAGTAATGATAGCTACGAAACATGAAGTAGGTGGATTTATTCCACTCATGTGAAACCATGAATGAGCATTACTTACAAACTACAAAGTAAAAAAAATACACTGTTGTTGGATGTTTTATTAGTGCTCCAAATAATATTAATTCACAATGAGAAGTAACTTCAAATCACCATCTACTGTTATCACTTACATTTTGTTATTGGTACTAAAGGCTTGTGCATATTAGATGATGAACTCCATTGACGGAGAATACTATGATCATGTGTTTGACCCAGATTAATTAATACTGTATCAATGTAGTCTGAATTAGACAGACTAGAAGAAATAATATTATCATTAGGTTTATATAACTGATTGATTGAATTGATTAGTGTATTCGAATAATCATTCAATGTAGATAGATTTAATAATGTTAAGGGTAGATGTTGATTCTGTAATTGTAGAAGAAATAAACAATCAAGGTATAATAATAAATAATAATGACAAGTTAATAATTACAAATCGTTTTAAAAGTAAAACCAATACAAGTCCTAGAGTAATAGAAGCTGTAAAAGCATCAACAGTTACAATTGATTGATCACTGAGTAGCGACCACTGATATGCATGTTAGGTCTTGGTGATGACCAGCTGCTATCAGTCACATTGGGATGTGGCCGCTGGTATAAGTGACTTGCCCTATGTTGAAATGTAAGGTGGTGTTTGTAGGTATTCGACGGGAAACACTGGACCTACGTTTGATGCTATTATTTGGCACTCGTCGCCAAGATGTACTTGTTATCTTGATACAAGTGATACCCCGCAGCCGATCCACTTTGGGCCGTAACGTTATAACTTGATCCATATGATTCGATCAGCATTAAGAAGGACTCGAAATAAACGAAATCGGTCACTACTCAGCGATTAGTCAATTGAAAAAACATCTAAGTCCTAGAAGATGTCAGTGTTAACGTCTCTGACGACAGAACTCTGTGAAAATGGGTCAAATCTGTCAGGAAGTATCAATTCCCTCAAGATCACAGACGAACTTTTCTGACGAGAGCCAAATAATATAAAACCTAGGTATCAGAGTCTCCTGTCTACTACTTCTAATCACCACCTTAATAATGGAAAAGATCTATCATATAAAAGGAGAAATGAATTCAAGAAATGAAATCTGTCAAGTAATTTTAAAATTTAAGAGGAGACACAAAATATGAATGCCCCAGTGAAATTGAAACTAATTCTGTCATTCAAGAATTCCAACGTACAACTACGATAAACATACGAATTCCATTCAAACCATCTTCAGTTAACTACACACACTTCAACCAATCACTTATTTCAATATAGCATAACATGAATAGAACTCCGCCTGTAGCCACTCCGGGGGTTACTGCCGGTCCCAAGCCCAGATAAAGGCTAAGAATTGAAATAATTTGATATTGAACATCTCGATAATAAAAAATTTTTTTTTGTTTTCTTGAACAGTCAAGCACTTTTTCAAGGTTAATGATCAATTTCAAGGATTTTTATTGATTCCTATTTAGGAGGTGAACAGAACTAAACGATTTTTTTTAATTTAATGAATGTACTTATGATCAATGAGAACTTTTTGTTGATTATTACATGATGAATAAATATATGTATAATGATATAATAATTGTGATTAGTGTATTATGGAGTTTGATTAATAATGTAATGGAGTAAATCATTATGATTCACTGAAATCATGAATTAAACAATGTGAGACTAACATTAAGAACATGGAAGCATTGAACTGACATTTCTTCCTGAGACGAGTTAGCTTTCAATGGTGGTCTAACGTTAAACGGTTCAGGATTTTATTGAAATTCGATAATCTCCACGAGCCTATACTGTAAATTACTATGTGCTCACTAGTGAATAGCTTCGAGAGGAAATTTCCGGAGTTTAAGTGAGAAGTCATGACCAGTGGATTAAAACTGTGTCGGATGTGACGCAGTTAACCATAGACAACAGTGAAAGATTGTCGCGCAATGTCATGAACTGATTGAAGTTAAATATAAACATGGTTGAATCTAGACTTATTGGACTAGAGTTTAGGTGTACGTGCGCAGGAACAAAGGTCCTAGCTACTACTCCGGCGTGCGAGGTCTTGGATGTGCACTGATGAGGAGTTCTACACCAAGACGAAAAGGCCATCAAGTGCTTCCAGGTTTTCAAAGATGGTTTAACTTTGATCGGTTCATGGTTTCAATGAAACTCAATAATCTCCACTACCTTATACTTACAATTACGATTTGAATAATAAGGTTCACCCTTAAGTGTATACATTCACTCTATGAGATGTATAAATAAAGTTTGTAGAAAAAGTGCACAAACAGTCATTAATACAATAAAAAGTAATGTGAAATCTCCAAATGATTTGTATTTGAATTGGTATTAAATTTTGTTTCAGGTCTTTGGTAAGTTCTGGATGCTGGTAAATGAACGTAGTTTAACTGTGATGTGTGGGCGAGAATGACAGTGATTGGTTGTCTTGATGAGTCAGACATTAGATAGGATGACAGGTGTTATGTGTTATATATATTCCCCTATCCTTATTATGTATTAACTGTTCCTTGTTGATGGACACTTATTGATTGACTGTTTCTTGTGTCGGATTTTGGTGTGGAAATATATTGACGTTATAGTCAGGCTAATCTCGTGTTCTTGATCTGAGTCCTGTTGAAGTCCCGTAGAATAGACACTGGGTGGGAATCTAGTGTAGATATTCGTCTAAGGTAAATTAACGTCCCACATACGTGTAAGAAGTGAAAAGAACTGTTATAGCCATAAAACCCTCAATTTATAACCAGCATCCTTTACGTCTATAACAAACTGCCTACCTAAATTTACAGTTTACACAAGTATGAGAGGGAATAATCTAACGAATTTTCAATGTAAAGGAGTATGCACAAACGGTTTGTAACACATTCAGTTCAATATAAAAGATAAATGCAATCCAATTATCATGGACGCTGTTAATAAAGACGGAAAAACGTGTTAGTTTCCCTTGAATACAACAATCGATAGTACTTCATGTTTCAAAACCTATCAGGTGTTGATGAAACATATTTATTTACCACCGTTTCACAATACGTTTTGATTTTAACGAGTTTATCGGATTTCCAAGATTTATTATGAATTTTTCAGTTTTAATTTTATAGATATATAGTAGTGTGTGCTACTGATTTCAACAGATATAAGTAGTATGCATCATCAATCAAAATTGAAATGCCTGGTGGTAGACGGTTGAGAACATCCAAGGGAAGAGAACAAGAATAAAGAGTGATCGGTGTGAAAACGAAAGAAAAACAAAATCTGAGACAAATGATTAATATTTTAGGAATAAAGTATTTACTGCATGATTCTCAGAATTTACTAGGAGATTCTGTAATTGTATATTTGAATACATTCAGCTATCAGTCAGTCAGTCACCTACAACGTAGGACCAGGCACATATATGCATCGGTCCAAGTTGCCATACCTCGTTAGCACAACAAGATGAACACTGAATTCATAGAAGTAGTTAATTTAATGGTGGTAATATATAAAAGAAAGTTTGTATATAAAGATATAGTACAGGAAGGAAGATATGAAGCAATTTTAATCTCAAGGTTTAAAAAAAGACAGGGAGTGTATACATCTACGCCATTGTGTTCGATTCTGAGCAATATCACACAGAGTCTCCAACCATTGGTTACGATAGTCACGCGGACCCCAACCAGGTAGTCTGCATCTACCAACATGACTCAGACTAGAAGTTAGTGACTTGAAGCACTGATGCCATGTTTTGGTTTGACCGCCCTAAATTACTTCCAACCATCGCCAATACTAGTCAGCATTGAGCATCCTGGTAATCGATGTTCAAACATACGTAACACGTGGCCCAACCTTATTAGTGTTTTGTAACCAAAGCAAACTGTATAATAAGCCTGTTTATTCTATCATGACAAAAATTATGGGTATTTTTGTGAAACTAAGAAGTCGATCATTTTTAAATTTCGGGCTAAAACTCTATAGTAGTTTTCACAATTCTCATTGACCTGTATTTATACCATAGTTTTACCTAATCATCTTATTTCACCATGAAGGTAATTTATAGTTTCTGGATTGCCTAAAAGGGTAGGTAGTTTGTGTTAAACAGTGTCCAACTAGAATTATACAGCTTTCCGCTCCATCGTAGTATTTAATAACTTTCCTGCTGAATTCATTTCATGGTACAATAATTATTACCGTCGTGTCAATATCATGAATTTTTAGCAAGTCTATTACTCAGTTTTGTTCTGTTAACCTTCCCAGTTAGATATCTGTTATGATTTCTTATTTATGCTATGTTATGGTCATATAATTCTCAAATATCATCACGAGAGTTTTCTTCAATATTCTGTTGATAGTACATCATTTGTCTATTGTAGTGTACAAATCGGTGGTTAAAGTACAGAAGAACCCTATCTCGTTAACATAACTGGTCACGTATTAGAGAGAGTAACAATTTAATTGATCCAAGAATACCATACCATTGTCATATCACTATGCAACTAACCTGAAATTGAAACATCTTAACTTTATGAAAATAAATTTATCATTATTATTATGATAACATAAAAACAAGGCTAATTTACGATAACTTACATTTGAGTATCCACTAGTGTTCATGTTCGATCTTGATAGAGAATGAATAGATTGTGGTAAACGTATCGTTGACTGATTCGATGTATCACTGATTATTGTTGATTTAAGTTTTGAGTCATTCATTGATTCATTAGTACAAGTTAGTGAAGATCCAATGACCTTTAAAACAGATCCAAATAATTACTTTGGTGTAATTAGACTGATAGGCAGATTTAAAATGGGCTTACTTAGTATCTCACTCATGCATATTGATGACCCTCACAAAAAACTAAGAACAACTGTTTTTCCATTGTTGATGAGGTGACTAACTGACAACTATAAGTTTGGGTTAATTTAGAGAATAGGATTTTAACCATAAGAATTGTTACATGGTCACAGAGTGTTTCTCAACATTCTGAGTAAAATAACATTATCATTTCTCTAAATATAATAAAAAATTATTTTACTTAAAGGGATTTTTGGAGGTATGTTTAACTCGTAGGCAGTATTCTTCACAGATTAATTTCAGCTGGGGTTATGTTGATAACTAGGGGTTACAGGATAGCTTGGAACTGGCTAACAGTGAGCAGCCGCAATCTACAAGTATCTAACACAGGACTTTCAGATCTTGAAGTGGATGCTTTGGCCACCAGAATCGGTGGTTTAATGTTTGACGGTACAACTTCAACTTCAACTGATTAGTAATATAGCATGACAATCACTGAGTGACATTGGTGACACCTACTTCACTGTTCAGTGCTGACAACTATAGAGTTCAATCTGTAATAAAAAACTATTTTTAAAAAATATTTCTTGCTGACGTTTATCTCTCTTAAGAAGCTACAATACTCTACCTAAGGCCAGAATAAAATATTCATAAACACTTTTCAATTCATTAACGAACTGAACTCGTAAGAAGCTCATCCGTTGAATTTTAAACTACAAAAGTACACTTCTGGTTATGTTTACTAAACCAGGGACAGACTTTTCTACCCGAAAATGTAATAAGTTTCTGTATCTGATAATGCTTTCAGATCTCTTCACAAAACAGAACCTTATTTCTGTCTTTTTCTGTATTTTTTAAACATTTTTTTTAGACTAATGGTATGGTTAGGATGTAAAATTTACGAAGTTCAAATTTGAATTCAAACGGTGAAGTCGTCATTTCGTGGTTGGAAGTTTGAGCTTAAGTGAAATCCAGCGGTCTATTAACCGTTTTCCAGTAGTCTGATATAAGAAATCATTTTAGTAGACCCATTACTTACTTACTTATGCCTGTTACTCCCAATGGAGCATAGGCCGCCGACCAGCATTCTCCGCCTGTAGCTCCTCCGGGGGCTACTGCTGGTCCATAAAAGACTGATTAAAATTAATATCAGAAGGGGTTTATGTGGATATTACAGTAATTTTAATAATTGAGACCATGAGTCAATTGAAGCTATATCACCATGGAAAACCTTGAAGCGCCGGACGGCCGTTCCGTCCTATTGTGGGACTCCTCAGCAGTGCGCATTCACGATCCCTCCTCATAAGATTCAAATCCAGAACCTATCGGTCTCGCATGTGAGCGCTTAAAATTAGTTTATAATTTTAACCCATACAATAATTATACCTGTGAGGTTGATGACAATTGATTCTGTGGTTTTTGTTGTTGTATAGGTAATAACTCTGCATAATTTATATCCATTGGTATTAATTTTGCATAATCCATAGCAAGATTCAAATCAAATTTATCTGTATATCTCATTTCATATTGGTCTAGCATCATAGGCATATCAAATAATGGCCAGTAATGTTTCGGTGTTGTAAACGTTTTCAATAATTGATTATAATTATATGTACATGTTATTGGAAGTAGATGTATAGGTTCAATTGAACTACTATTTAACATTGTTGTCTGATTTGATTTTGTCACATTCTGATTACATAATAAATCACGTTCTGACCAAACTTGATGATGAAATAATTTGGTACCACAATCAGATTTCCTAATTGATGGAATTGAATTGCCAATATTATATGGGTATTTTTCGTTAGTGACATGTTTTGATACTGAAAAAAAAGTTAAGTAGGATGAAGAAAGTGTTTTGTATAGTTTCAACATTGACACCTATGTATACAGAGGTAGTAAGTTATAACCAAGTGTATTCATAATGCAAATGCCTTGAATAGTTAATCGCTTGCTATTGAAATATGACTGAATAATGTGTCACATATCTCTTTCAATGCTTATTAAGCTCCTAGTAGTCTGATCTATAATCCAATGTTAATAAACTTTATTTAACGTACATAAACAAATAAAGATGACAAAGTGATTGGAAAGCTCCATATTGTGAATGGTTACGTTTACAGTTTGTGTTCATTTCATACCTGTAATAATGTCATTCAATTGGTTTCCTCTATGACTCCATTTTTGTTCCAGTAATAATGGTCGGAATAGTTAACACATTCATATCTCATATATGTTTGTCCAACATGGTGGTTTAGCAGGTAAATCGTCTATTGTTGGGCTGCAGATCCAGACTAGTCTACTTAAATTGGTAATAGAAGTCGACTAACATCACGATTTTTTCGCTTCAAGTACCTAAGTCAGCGTTTCGTCCCTAAGTTACTAACTATATATATATATATATATATATATATATATATATATATATATATATATATATATATATATATAAGGGTTTTATGCCTTTTCAAAACATGTCTTGAATTTTCATAACAGAACAATACATTGAGCAGGACATCAATATTGCGTAGTAAGTCTATAATAAATAAAAGTGGGTCATTTAATTAGGCAGTGAAAACTATTCATCTGTATACAACCTTTGTGATTCCAACAATCCATCAATATTCAAGGTATCTGTGGATTATTGTTCCCAGGTGATCTATATGTTTCAGTTGTTTACTCTAAGACAACGAGGTTTCTAGCATGTGCTCTGAAGTTTAAGTCAGGATACAAATCTTGTCAACAATTTACATAACTAAAGCACAGGCACAATTATTAAAGAGAATTATCATGTTGAATACATTTGGATACCACTTCGTTTATTTTAGGAAACTAACAAAATCCAAAGTATTATCTTTATACTTGTTAGCTGAAATTCTACAATTGTATACTGTACAATCTAGCTTTTGGTTACTTGAAAAGAATTTGTAATCCTTAGTCTGTCCAACATATAAGTCGGGATGTTATATAGCCATCAAAAACTGAGATTAGTGAATAAGCATTGAAGTTTACTAGCCAGTTGCTAAATATATCATGCATGGATCACTAAAATCCATTGATTTGTAAAAGTATAGAATCATATGATAAGATGTACTTTCCATCTATTCACTATTCGTAATTTTATGGGAAAGAATTAGGGTACCTAAAACATTCATATGATAATCATTTATGACAACCATATTGATAATTTAAGTTTATGACCATAAATAAATCTATATTAAATAAAACAGAACTCCGGAACTCATCATTTTATAGATTTTGCAGATAAACTTTTGAACCGATGATCTGGATTCAGTATCGAATGGCGGGGCAGTACTTTTATTGACTCCAGATTATTGTATAAACCATTATTTATAGTAAAAAAACATCAATGGGAAGATTCAAACAAACAATTTCAACTTCACCCCCATTGCACAACAATTGGCTATCATGACTCAGTAGCTGAGTGAAGAACGCAATGGCGTTTGAAGCGAAAAGTACTGGGTTCGAGTCCCAGAGTGAACATCAACTCTGAGATGCAGGTACATCTAGCTGACGAGCCTCAAATAAGACGAAATGCGCGTCCTGAATTCTACTGCTAGCCACTATTTCATCTTTGCTTACCATGCTTGTGAATTTAGGCTATATCGAGGCAATACGCACAGTATGCACATATGCCAATTAGAGACTGACCAGTTGCAGTCCTAAAAACATCAATGGGAACATCCAAACAAACAATACTAAGTAAATTTCAACTTCACACCATTGCACAAGCAAGTGGCTATGAGGACTCAGTGACCGAGTGGATAACGCGATGGCTATTTGAAGCGAAAGGTACTGGGTTCGAGTCCCAGAGTGAACATCAACTCTGAGATGCAGGCACATCCGGCTAACGAGTCCCAAATAAGACGAAATGTGCGTCAAACTCGATTCCACTGCTAGCTACTATTCCATCTTTGCTTACATAATTTATAGTAATAATAATACTTTATAGATACCTGTTTCTTTATCATTGACTATTGCTTGTTTTAATTTTTTTAATCGTTTAATCATTCTTCGATTAATGATAATACTTGATATTGTTGAACGAAATTTTTCAATCATATCACATCTATATAACCATTTTGCTTTAGTAAATTGAACTATATGAAATTTTGGTTCAATAGTAAATTCTGATCTTGTAATTAAAGATTTATTGAATGGTTCCACTGGACGATATGGACGTAATTCAGATAATATATGATGACCTTTATTTGATTTGAAGTTAACTGATGAAGTTGGTATTGATAGCTGATATTTATAAGTTTCCAAGGCTTCTGGATGTGTACATTTTCTCTTGTTATTGTTTTTAAAAGTAATATAAAAGGGTAAATACAAATGATTATTCATTGAAAACATGTTGGTTATACAAATCAAAATAGATTTCAATCTAGTATATATTCATATGTTATATCGAGTGGATGTGTATGTGTCCAGTATAAAAAATGTCGTTATAAGACCGCCAATTGGAGAGGAGTGAATTATCGATCAGAGCAATCATACACAAAAACCGTATGAGCAGTATGGTGTACTTATCAGTCCTGCGTTCTGTCTAGCCTAGCCAGTTAAGTCCAGAACACCAATAACAGCCTCTGCAATATGAATCATTATTCTCAAACATACTGAGTTTATATACCAAACAAACTGACCACATCGTACCATATAATAGAAAATAGCATTTGTACAAGATTTGACCAAATGTGGCTGTGAATAGGAGGAACAGTAATTAATGGACTAGGGATAACTCAAGAATGGTGAATCGTATAATAATAGTATATAGGTCTAAATAAAGCTTATCATAAGAGGCATACGAATATGAATAGTTTAGTTACTTAACAACCATACAATAGGAAATATACATGTTATATTGGTCCATAAATAATTCTCAGAAGTTACCATTCCTAAATCTCCACGGGATATAACAATATATTAATCCGTAGTGATAAATCTGCCAATTTAGTAATTGAATGTTATACTTATGAACATGACCTCACTTGTCATGTAACTGCTACCAGAGTAGTCATTGAAATTGAACTTTCGTCCATAATTACCCAGCTGAAAACTCTCTACTACACCAGCTAAAATACGCGTCGAGGTAGATGATGTTTGAACATGTACAATATATATTCATCAAACATTTCGGCCAAAAGGTATTTTAGTTATCTATTTAATTGGATTTACATTTTATGGTGACTTTCATTCAAGTATATCACTAATCAAATCAATTGAGTTGTAAATCTTAACATAAAAAAGATATTTAAGACCATTCATTTAGCTTTCTAGAATTCTGGTTGTAACTTCAGGATAATGAAAGCTTAAGGGAACTTTTTAGAGGATAGAGAATAAATTAAGGTAGTTAGTAGAAATATTATCCCGAAAACACAAGAAAACGTAGTCAAAAACCTACTAAACATGTGATACTAATTACGGTTCAACTAACCGATATTATATTGAATAAGAATTATCTTACATATTACTACTTATATTCCAGCTTCCATTAACATTTAGTATAAATTAAGTTATTGAAATATAAATGATCAAATTAAATGATGGGAAACTATAAAGAAGAAGAGGAAGACCCAAGAACACATTACTCCGAGAAATGGAAACAGACATGAGAAGAATGAACAAAATTTGGATAAGACAAGAAAGGAAGGTTCAGGAAAAAGTGAGTTGGAGAATGCTGGCCGGCGGCCTATGCTCCATTGGGGGTAACAGGCATAAGTAAGTAAGTAAACTATAAACATTGTTGTTATATCCCCTGGTGAATTATGAATGGTAACTCTAAGGACTATTTATCGACCAATGTATTATGCGTATTTCCTATTGTACAATTGTTACGTAACTAAACGATTCATATTTGTGTTTCTCTTATCATGAGCTTTATTTTGATCTTTGATTTATTATCATACGATTCTTGAGTTATACTCAGTTTGTTAATTACTTTGGTTTGTATAAAAACCCATTATGTTTTTAAATAATGATTCATACGACTGAGGCTGTTATTTGTGTTTTGGACTTAATTGGCTGGGCTAGGCAGATCGCAGGACCGGTTAGCACTCTAGGCTGCTCGTACGGGTTTCGTGTCACTGTTTCAACCGATAATTCGCTGAGCCCTGTTTGGCGGTCTCATCAAGTCACACATCAACTAACCATCCACTCGGCCACAAGATATAACAATTGTTACAATAAATTATAGTTATTAGGATCTAAGCGTAAGATGTACATTTTCCCATTCATCAGCTTGACACCATTTAGATAGAGTATAAATTGAGATTATATCACTGATATTCAATTTATTACCAATGATTATGTATTTAAAGTGAGGATAAACTATTTGGTTTTCTCATTCATAATGATTATGCAAAAATTTACTATTCAAGTATTCTGTAGTTGAAATCATGAGTCAATTGAAGCTAGACCACCATCGAAAACCTGGAAGCAGTGGACGGCCGTTTCGTCCTATTATGGGACTTCTCAGTAGTACACATCCATGATCCCGCCTCACGAGATTCGAACCCAGGACCTATCATTCTCCACAAAAACCCCTTCTGATACTCAAGTATTCATCAAAAATAATACAGTGAAAATATCACATCAACTTACATAATATTGTTTCCAAGCTAATTCACGTGAATCTAGTATTTTTATACGCTCTTCTGGTGATAGTGGATTAGCACCTAATTTCGATTGCCATCTAACTTGATTACGTTGTTCATCAATAAGATCCTGGTGTACCATCGATTCAAAAATTAGCAACTAAGTAGTAACAAACAAATGCAATCATCAATACAAGGGAATCATTGGTTCATTGAAACATCACAAAAATGCCAGTAAATTTCTAAATTTGCAATATTAATAAAGTATTGATAGAAGAAAGTATAAATTGATTTGAGTTATTGAGGTAAGATGGTGGTTGGAGGTGGTCAACAGGAAACCCTGCCCGGGTTTCGTGCTACTTGGCACTCGTCAGCAAGGTGTACCTGTAATCCTGAGGGAACTGATGCTCCCTGGCCGATTCGATCCCGCGTCACTCAGCTTCACAGGAGGTTGGTCGCGGCCCGAATAGCTCAGTGGTAACGTCTCTGACTGTGACAGGGTTTCCTGTTGACCACCTCCAACCACCATCTTACCTCAATATACATAGTGCAAGCAGTGTCGAGCCACCTAGACTGGTGGTCACATTGCAACTCGATCGATAGCATTCGATCAGCACTAAGAAGGACCTGACACGCATGAGATTGATCACCACCCAGTGATCAATCAATTGTGATGATTTGAGTTATATTTATACCGGTATTTGTCAACTATTCTTTCAAGTTTCATGGCTTCTATCAAGAGCTAAAGAAAGTATATCCTATAGACCATTGATCCAGCATGGATAGTACTTAATTCAAGTTTTTCATCGTTTATTCAGCTGTTGAAAATTATGACAAAAGCTGATAACTTCTAGAGAGTAAATTAGTTCATATAGTGGGCATTAATTTGGAAAATATTACGTATTTAATTTACATAGTTGAAATCATGAGTCAATTGAAACTAGACCACTGTAGAATACCTGGAAGAACTGGACGGCCGTCTCGCCCTATTGTGGGACTCCTCAGTAGTGTGCATCCACGATCCCACCTCATGGGATTCGAACCCAGGACCTACCAGTCTCGCGCCAGAACACTTAACCGATAGACCACTGAGCTGGCATCCAACGCTGTTAATGTCCAACTTCAACCAATCCACGAAGTTCAAAGCTTTGTTCTGTCTAAGCTAAACAGGGTAAAGGGAATAATGAACATCTATTTCGTGCTCATTGTTGAGGTAACCTGCAGTATATGAAAGCAGCTATTCAATTCAATCTGATTTTCAATAATACCCCATAAAGTACTTTAAACTGTGATAAATATCATTTAGAGAATATTAGAAATAATTAAATATTTTCATTCACATACTTTCTGCTGTCTAGTCAATCCTTCTGTTGTTGTGTTATTTCGTTGGCTGGAAGCAAGTTGTTCATGGCTACCCAAAAGAAATTTCACTAAATGATGTGGACATGTGATTTCAGGTAAATTTTCACATTTTGGGGTCTACAACACATTAGTGTAAAACGTATGTGTAATTATCTGACATTTATTAAGAAAAATATTGAAGAAAAGAATAAGATCTCCTTTGGAAACTTTTATCACATAACATAAGAAATATGTAACACCAATCACACATGGAATGCCTGACAGCAGAAAGTTGAGAAGATTGAACTGAAGAAAACAGAAAGGGAAATATGAAAAGAATTGAGAAATGGAAGAATCATGAAGGATGTAAAGAGAATTGATGGAGGGTTTGTAATTGAAGTATTTAATGTATGGTTTTCACATTTTACCAAAAAATTCTGTAATTTTGGTCTAAACAATAAAGCAGTCTACCCTAATTGAGTGCTCGTTCACTACACATATATAGACTTTTGGATTTAACATCGTGATACAGAAACTTTACACTTTTGTATACATCTGTTCTATGTATCACTTTCCCATGAACGACTTCATAGCCAACCTGATAACTACAACACCTAGTTTACTTTCGCTGTTCACTATATGGAGGTTAATTTTCAATTATATGTTTGAATATTAGTAACGATAATGATAAGAGGGTATGGGTTTCACAGTTTAACTTTTCATTTAGTAAATAAAACAGATGGGTTTCTATCCCTGAAGTAAAAATAATCATTATTGAATGGATAATTTATCGATTAGTTCATCGATAGTCAACTAATTTTACTAGTTTAATTCATGAGTTGATTTAAGCTAGACTACCATGGAAAACCTGGAGGCACTGGATGGCTGTGACCAGTGGAGTTCAACCGTGTCTGTTGTGAGGTAGTTACTCACTGAAGACAATGGTGGATGGTCGCTCATTATCATGGATTGGTTTAAGTTAGACATGAACACCAATGTATGCCTTCTCAGTGGTCTGGAGGTTAGGCGTTCACGAGCGAGACCAAATGTCCCGGATTCAAATCCGCGTGCGAGATCGTGGATGCTTACTGTTGAAGAGTTCCATACTAGGAAAAGAGATGATTGTACAGTGCTTCCAGGCTTCCTATGGTGGTCTAGCTTAAATTGATGAATGAATTCAATTAATAAACTACTACAATTTCCCTTCTGATAATTAATTTTACGATTATGATGTATGTTATTTACATAAATAACAAGAATTTTGTAAGTGGAATACAGATTTTAAGAATTATTTCATTGATGTAAGTCAGTTAGAAGAAAATTGAATGTATTACTAAAAATTAAATACATTTCGTATTGTTTGTTTGAATCTTATCGTTGATATTTAGGACTGCAATTGATCAGTCTATTATTAACATATATGTATCCCGTGCTGATTGCCTCGATATTACCATTGCACAAGCTAGTGGTTATCAGAACTCAGTAGCTAAGTGGATAGCAACATGAAGCGAACAGTATTGGGTTCGACTCACAGAGTGAACATCGAATCTGGGATTTAGGTACATTTATCTGACCAGTCACGAATACGATGAGACGTATGTCCTGGAATCCACTGCTAGCCACCATCCATCTTTGCTTATACTCTAAACGAAATGTTCACGTTGATTAAAGGCCTATACATTTACAATCAGTGAAGACTCTTATATCGCGGTTTTTGTGAATTTTTATGTTCATTAGGAAAAATTACTTAAAAAGTGGGCTGAACAGATTTTTTTAGGAACAGTGAAATAACATCGAGTCTTGTCCGAATTACCTGTCAGGTTGAATGAATCCTTACTTTAGAAGAATGATCGTATGGTATAGTACCATTAATTGAATCTCGTCAAATTCAGAAATGTCCAATGTGAATTTATTATTCAGTGTCATGGAATCGATCCAAGCAACTTGGTTATTTCTTGTACATAGACCGTTTTATCTTCTTCATATCTAAATACACATAATTCTGCTTAAGTTTTATTTATTCCTTAAGTTTGTTATGAAAGTATGACTGCCAGGTTAAAGTTAGACATCATCTTTTTCACTTTTATTGAGTCAAGACCTGTAGCCGAACAACATAAGATATCATAGTATATTGATTTTAGTCATGCATCTACTACTCGTTCAACATGAACCGACGCTAACTACTGCCTAAAAAAACTTCACCATAAAGTGTTAAAGTTTTCATAATAAATGATCATTTAATAGTAATCATTGTCTAATCTCATTAAGACAAATCGCATTCCTACGGTTGAAGAACATATGGAACTCAAAACCACTGTCAATCAATATCAAAGTCAGAATCTTCAATACGGAAATTAAGACAGTTCTAACTATTTCTGAACAATTTTCTACACAAGTTACTCAGTGTCCGCTGGCCAGATAGCATCAGCAGCAGCCTACTATGGGAGGGAACAAACCAACTCACGGTTGAAGAGAAAATTAGGAAAATTCGGTTAAGATGGATAGGACATACATTACGGCAATCTTTAAACTGCATCACGAGGCAAGCATCAACTTTGGAATGGAAAACTGGAAGGCCAAAGAACACACTCCTTCGAAAATTGGAAGTAGGCATGAAAAGAATGAACAGAAAATGAAAACAACTGGAAAGAATTGACCAGGACAAAGTTGGATGGAGAGTGCTGGTGAACGGCCTATGCTCCTCCATAAGGGCTAACAGGAATAAGTAAGTAAGAAGACAAAAAGTTGACAGAAAAGAATACATGATTAATTCAATGAAACAGTAACCTAAAAAGATTTGTAACCAAACGAAGTAAATGACTATAAGTCTTCAAATCGTATTTATCAATTACATCAAGTGTGTTCTATTTCAAGGTATTCACTCACTTTTATACTTTTTATTATTTGTGAGGAATATTTTGACTTCTTCTTTCGTCGACTATGTGAGCTTTGACTAATTTCACATTTATTTGTATCCAGTAATTCTGAGAGATTCTCGTCATCATCATCATAACATGAATGAGGTGAACTGTTGAGAGAAAAAAAAACAGAAACAGTTCAATCGTAAAATGGATCCAGTTTCGAATCTCTATTCAGGGGGGTTTAAAAAACGTACTACAAGGTGTTGAGTAGGCTTCCGGAGAACTTCGACGGAACCTTCAGAGGCCCAAAAAGGAGACGAAGAGCCCCAGCCAATCAGAGTACGATGGAACATTCTAGAGTTCTAACGTGGCGTGCTACTATTTGTCGGTAGCATAATATGTCGTTAATGGATTGACTGGAATATGATGTTGATTTAACGTACGCTAACATCTATAAATACCCATGATTTTCTGTACAGGATTGAACCTTGGAGTAAAGTATTTTCTCTCAAACTTGCGTCTTCTCTCTGGTGTTCAAGTCACTGAGTAGTTCTAGCCTATGGGTTACCAGAATAGCTTAGGAAACGAATATAGCGTTCAATCGACAAGACTAATCACGAGGGAACTATTTTTTCGAAGTCAAACCAGATAACAAATTCAACATCAAGTTAAGTGCGCTAGTGTGCAGACTGGATTGATTTAGCTCTTCTTCACAAGCTTTATAAGACATTGGGATAATGGTTGGTAGTTGAATTTAGGTAGTATGTGGGTTTTTTTCAGTTTGGGACTCATCAACTGGGTATAACTGTACCTTGAAGTATGTGTTCGCATCAAGGCTTGAATGGAATACAACACGAATCATATGCTGAAACTGAATAGGTTAAAAAGTGTAATCTGGACCCCACTGCTAACCACAGTCATACAATTTTAGAGATACATTGATTTTGTATAGGTTGTTTGAATCAACTCAATGTTGTTTACGATTGTAAATGATCAATCTCTTCTGGTATATGTGCATCCTGTGCCGATTAACACGATACTGCTTTAAATCACAAGCATCTTTAATCAGAGATGGATGATGGTTAGCAATGGAATCTAGAACGCATGCTTCGTTCTGTTTGAGACTCGTCAGTTGGATGTACCTAAATCCTGAACAATTACAGTCTTAAACATCAATGAGGAGAATCAAACAACCAATAAAACAATGAATCAAATTTCATCTCAATCCACAAGCCATTTGTAAAATGACATCAAATGTAATCCCTTCAAAACTGGTTGAATCATTTATGTTAGTCAACTACAAATCAAATACCCCAATCCTTAGAACATACCTTTCTAGACCAGGTAATGCACTTCCAATAACTGTACAACATTTTGGTTGAAAATTTACTTGGGCGATATGTAATTCGAATTTTAATTCACATGTTGAATAGTTGTTTGGTTGAAAATCAATTAAGAGTTCCGTGATTTGACCAGCATGTAAAACTCCTGTTTAACATAAAACGTATTTAGATTATTAACTAAGGTTGATTTTAAACCATAAGGGTATTTTATTTAGGCATAAATACAGAACGACTTATAGTTGCCATACCGTATACTACCAAAGCTGGATAAGCTGAAATAAGAGCTTGGTAGGAAACTAAAGACATTAAAGACATATATTTCAAATTAAACGGGAGGTAATGATTATTTTTAACTAATAAATGCTTCAATCTATTAATCGTATGAACGTTCAGGGTTGAATCATCTATTTGACCACCTTCACCTAGGTCCTTAACATATCGCCATCATACACTTAGTACCTACATCTATAGGTAACTTCCAGTGATATTTATATAAATATCCCGCTCAGCAAGAAACATAATTGAACTTAACTAGTAAGGAACCCATTTATGAGGTAAGCGTATGAATACAATTTTGTTGAACTATCTTTAAAACAAGTTATTCAACGAATATTCTACTTGTTAACAATCATTATATCAACGTTTTTAATGACTATTCTTAGATTCACTAATATACAAATTTTAAACACCTATCACATCTTAAGCTGATGAGTCCCAAATAGGACGAAATGCGTGTCAAACTGGATTTCACTGCTAGCTATTATCCATCTTTGCTAACAATGCTTGTGAATTAAAGCTATATCGAGGCCGTTTCGTCCTATTATGGGACTCCTCAGCAGTGCGCACCCACGATCCCGCACTCGCGAGATCGGAACCCAGAACCTACGAGTTACGAGCCAGAGCCCTTAACCGCATTTGGTAGGTCCTAGGTTAGAATCTCGCGAGTGCGGGATCGTGGGTGCGCACTGCTGAGGAGTCCCATAATAGGACGAAACGGCCGTCCAGTGCTTCCAGGTTTTCGATGGTGGTCTAGCTTCAATTGACTCATGATTTCAACTTTGAAATATACTGAAATCTCCACAAATCCCCTTCTAACTATATCAAGGCAATACGCACAGTATGCACATATACCAATTACAGACTGACCAGTTGCAGTCCTCAAAATATCAACGAGAAGATTAAAACAAACAATACTAATTGAATTTAAACTATCACGTCTTCTAAGAACTCTCTAGAAATTTTTGAATTATTCATACGATTATGCTGAATAAAAATGATGGTCATATAGTTAACATCATAAGATATATACATGTCTGTAACGTAGGTGAACCCATAATAAATAAACACAGTTTACCATACCTAATTTTCCCCCTGCATTGAATCATCTACATTTATCATAAAAAATACTTTTCATAAAACATTTTCTTTGATTTATATAAAAATAAAAAGACTGTTAGTAGTAATAGTATCCAGGACTCGTATCTTATCCAATTTGAGACTCATCAGCTGGATATCAGTCAGTCAGTCATTCAGTCACAACGTAGAACTTCGTACGTATGTACATCAGTTCGAGTTACCATACCACATTAGCACAGAGATGCAGTTGTTCATTCGAATCCCATAGTGAATGTATTCATAATTATAGAATGAATATGAGATATGATAATTTTGGATAAATAGTGTTTCTTTAGTGAACAAAAGAAAGCCCATACAGGCCCATACAATGATTCAATATGAAAACGCTTACACATTCACATTCATTAATGCATGTTAGATTGTTATGAATTTGAAAGATAATTAGACAGTTCAAAGAGGTAATTTATGTAAAGAACTCTAACAATAAACATGAGCTGGAAGATAACCAAGAAAATTGGTGATCAGCCAAAATACATGATCAAGAGTTAATCTTATGTTTGAACTACCCGAAATGTGTAAAACTCTTGATAAAATTATTTTATCAGAATTGGGGTTTGTGGAGATTGTAGTAATTTAATAGTTGATTTAAGCTAGACCACCATAGAAAACCTAGATTCTAGCTCTGGTTTCGAATCCCATGTGCGGGATTGTGGATTCGCACTGTTGAAGAGTCCCATACGAGAACGAAACGGTCGTCCAATGCTTTCAGATTTTCCTTAGTGGTCTAACTTTAATCGACTAATGAATTTAACCATTAAAATTATTTAAAATTAATTGCTAAATGGTAGATACATTGGTTTATTAAATTTTATATCTTATACGCAGTCATGTTTATAAATCGACTGATAGGTAAATATCATGGCGTAATCATGTCTATTTCCCACTGAATTTGAATAATTTGTCTTTCTGGTGGGTTTATTCTTTAAGTGAATCAGATTAACTCATGATTTCGTTCATTGAACTCCCATCAGTTATCAATTTCATACATTGCTAAAGTTTAAATCTATATCGTTTGTCTTTAGTCATATTTTTACTGTGTATAAGCCGAGGTTATCATCAGAGTGGCTTCCAAGCAGTAGTAGTGTGGTGTGGTCTACTTGTATCCACATAAGTAGTATATGGTGATGGTCAGACATAGTGTATTTTGGCAGAAGATCGATAAGGAAGGAACAGGAATGAACCGCAATCAGTATGAAGATGCATGAACAATGAAATCAGAGAAGATGGACTGATATTTGCAGAAGGAACGGTGAAGATTGAGACAATTTATCGTGATTTTGCAAATTAACTGTTTACTGTATGGTTATCGGAATTTAGTGGGAGTCTGTAATTTGTGCTTAAATACATTCGATTGTCCCAACTCGTGTTTTGTTCACTACAGTAGAACTGTGGTCTTTTCTCCCTATGTGAACAGATATAAGTGGTATGTATCATGGATTAGAAGTAGAATTCTCACTGATAACAAAGGAAAATGAAGAGAAAAGAAAAGAAAACTCAAAGCGATCGGAATAGCAACAAGAATGAAAGAACGATGTAATTTGTAAGTAAAAACAATTCAAGAAAGATGTACAACTAATGTATTTGATGGATTGTTTTCATATTTTACAAAAACTCTGTGTAAGTTTACATTATATAGTGGATTTCTGATGACCAAATATTTAGTACTAGTAGTAGTACTAGTAGTAGTAGTAGTAGTAGTAGTAGTAGTAGTAGTAGTAGTAGGAGGAGGAGGAGGAGGAGGAGGAGGAGGAGTGGCCATTTCTAAACCTGTGGTACAATGATTAAGAATGATACGCATCAATGAACATGACGTAGCATGAGTATGAAGTATCAAATTCAATGGAAACCCGCGATTAGTGTGCTGTTTAAATAGTAATCTGTAGAATAAAATCTTTGTTAAATATTAAACAAACTGTTAATTAATGAGATTGATAACAATATTACCTTTCATTGGTTGTATTGTGAAACTTGGATGATTGTGTATAATTTGAATTCGATACTCAAAATCGACTGTTGAAGTAGACTTAATTGGAATATGATGGGTTTTCCTGGTTATACAATAAAAAATAAACAGAGTAATAAAATGATATGTTATTTTAGGAAAAAAAAATTAAACTGTTGAAATATTCAACTCATTAATGTTCACTGATTGTATACAGTTGAGATCATGAGTCAAGTGAAGCTAGACCACCATGGAAAACCAGAAAACACAGGACGGCCGTTTCGTCTTATTGTGGGACTCCCCAGCAGCGCGAATCCACGATCCCGCCTCGCAAGATTCGAACACAGGACCTATCGGTCTCGCGCGCAAGCACTTAATCGATAGACCACTGAGACTATCACAACCAGTGGTTGGCAACTCTGGGTGACGGCTCAGAATCGATCACAATGGCATAGATGTATACAATCCCTGTCTTCCCTTAAACCGTAAGATTAAAATTGCTTTAGACCTTTCTTCCTGTACTGTACCCTTATATACAATCTTTCTTTTATACATTACCACCATTAAATTAAATACTTCTATGAATCCGGTGTTCATCTTGTTATGCTATTGATGTATGGCAACTTGGACTGATGCAAATGTGTGCCTAGTTCTACGTTGTAGCTGATTGACTGAGTGACTTAATAAAGAGAACAAGTGTACCTACTTTATGTAATTTTCCTGAAAAAACCTTCATGGAAGTTAGCAACTACATTGAGACATTTCAAATGTAGAAGAATCATTCAAATCGTTCACGCATTTGATTTTTCATAGAATAATTATAAATAAATATTGTAGAAGAGAAGACTAAGAAGCTCATGAATGTAAGTGTTCAGAAACAAAATATCATGGTTGAGTTAGTTAATTTCAAATTTTCGGGTAACTAATTAAATCCAAGTATGTCTACTTGGATTTCAGTCATAACAATTATATTAAGGCTAGAATTACCAATTGGATGTTTGGGCCAAAGCATTTAAGATGCTGTTCAAATCAATAATTTAATGGTCGAAATCCAAGTTTTCCAGTCACTAAGCTATAACCCGACCATTTTGGCAAGACGTCCGATGAGGTGAGAATAACTTTAAACTGGTTAAGGTAGTTAGTGAGAAGGTTAAAAATGAATTCATCTGCTTCTGACTATTTCAAAGAGGTATTTACTTGCTATCAGGTGACTGGTCGTTTCGATATATTTGTTGACTGGCATAGTCATTTCTCAACAATAGAAAGATGTGTTACCGGTAAGAGTCATAAGAATCGGGTTCTCCATCAAAATTTATTTTGAAATTAGTTATGAGATGTAGTAACATGTATACTGAAACAACCATTGAGGCTTTGATTTATGGACGAAAAAATCAAGTATAAGAAAACAGGTCTCAGATTTCGGTGCGAAATTCACCCATCTTTTTGGATAAGTACAGTTTTGGCATTATGGCTGATATCAGTTCGTGATGAAAACCCGAAATAAAATTCCTAACTCTAACTATCAACTGTAAATAATAATCCTAATTCCTCACACGGTTTATAACCCTTATTTGATCCTGGTTATTAGGTGGACACTCAAGATCAGCCTAGAGTAACTCAAAGGTCGTCCATAAATTACAATCTCACCAAACAACACTATACCCACAATTTTAAAATTAATATTTCGCCTACTAAATTAAATGTGAGTAGTGTAGTTGATATTGTCAATAATTCTAGAGTTCTGTTGCAGTCTTTTATTCAAACCATTTAGGAATCACAATATTTATAAATGAAATGTAAATATAACGTGAAATTAGGTTAGGTATAGGGTGAAAATGTAAAGATGATAAAGTGATCAGTGGTTGGTAAGTCAGCGCATTTTCCGTGATTGAGGTGATCGCTACATGTACAATATCTGCCTACCTTCAAAGGAAGTTTAGGTTAATGTAATAGTAGGCTGGGGAGATACTATGGATGCGGAATCCAAACGTGAGATCAAATTATGAAGTCTTCGACAAGTGGCATGAACCATGTAGACAGATTCCGATTACTTGTTTGAGGTCCGTATAACTATCATGACCAATGGTAAGAGGTTTGGATGAACGTGGCTTGGAGCCACCTGCAGTGATCTATATACATTCACTCCTGATTTTCCCTTAGTTTTATCATTCCCAAATCCATTTATACCTTTGCTTTCTAAACCTACTATTTTCTAATACCACTGAAATTTTTACTACCTTCATTATTCTGGGATTTGTCTTGATAATTTAATCTAAAAGTGGCGTTGTGTTATGACAACTTGAACCGATGCTGATGTATCGGGTATTACGTCACATGTAAATGATTAACATGAATTTCACTAACACTCATCTTTACCATTTCGCATGATCTGAATCTTTTGAATGCCTACTTACTTACTTATTTACTCACTTACTTACACCTGTTACTCCCGATGGAACATAGGCCGTCGACCAGCATTCTCAAACCCACTCTGTCCTGGGACTTCCTTTCTAGTTCTATCCATTGTTTGTTCATTCTTCTCATGTCTGAACGCCTAATTTACATATAATCTTTTGCTTGTAAATCTTAATACAAATTCTTTACCCAGGAGAGAATGATATGACATTATACTACAAACTTTATCTTTTCGCAACGTTAAGATTTCAGTTTTCATATCAAGAAAATAATATTTTCCTCCTATCAGAAGGATAATTTGACAGCTTTGCTTAGTTAACCAGAAGTGAGAAATTTGATCGGCTCTTGGATAAGTGGAAGCATCCACTTTTCAATTCAGAATCAATCTTATAGTCACGCCAACAAATTCAGTTATTTTCCAAGAAACTAAATGCATTCTGGATGCGCTTTTCATCCTTAAGATTATTAGCTTCTTTTCTTCCAATGTTAAGTTTAAAGTAAACTGGAACTCATGGAAATTGTAGACTTATTTCATAAGTAAAAGTCAATTTATATCGGTTTCATTGAATTTGTAATGTATTCTTGATTCTGCATTCATTCTTATAAAATAGTATTATCAGTAAAGATGGATAGTGGCTAGCAGTGGAATCCAGGATGCTATTTGGGACTCGTCAGCTGGATGTACCTGCATCCCAGAGTTGATTTTCTGATAGCCACCTGCTTGTGCAAAAAGGTGAAGTTTAAATTCACCTGGTAATATTTGCGTGTATCTTCCCATTGTTGTTAAGGCCTGCACTTGATCAGTCTCTCGTTGTGGAAACGCGCGTACTAGATTCCACTACTAGCCACCAACCATCTTTACTAATCAAGCTTGTGACTTAAGGGAATATCGAGGCTATCTGCACATGATGCACATATGCCAATAAGAGACTGATCAGTTGCAGTCGTAAACATCAATGGGAAGTTACGAGCAAATAATACCAAGTGAATTTAATATTATCAGTATTAATCCTGTTTTCAATACTTTAACCTTCAGTGAATATATGAGTAAGTTGGGTAAAAAAGTTGAAGGCGAAACTGCTACACTATTTTATCAAACTAATGAATATTTATTCAAGAGATTTTATCATGGTAGTCTATCCATTGTTTTATAAAAAATCTTTATGTTTGTATGAAGTGACTACTTCTTAGAATAAACTAATATTGCTTTTGCACTTCTTCACATATGTTGATGAAAGTTTCTTGACAATGTTGTGTCTGCCACTGGTGTTGACAAATATAGGTAGTATATATCACCAATCAAAAGTGGAATGCCTGGTGACAGAAAGTTGAGAAAATCAAAGGGAAGAGAACGAGAATAAAGAATGATTGGTATGGAAACGAAGGAACAATCAAGTCTTAACTGATTGCTTGGTGTTTTACAAATGAAGTATTTACTATATTAAAAGAAGAGATGGATAGTAGCTAGCAGTGGAATCTATGGAGCGCGTTTCGTTCTATTTGGGACTCGTCAGCTGAATGTATCTTCATCTCAGAGTTGATGTTCACTCTGGGACTCAAACCCTAAGCTACTGAGTCCTGATAGCTACTTGCTTGTGCACAAGCAGTCCTAAACATCAGTGAGAAGATTCAAACAAACAGTACTAAGTGAATGTATTTACTATATTGTTTTTAAATCTTACTAAGAGATTCTGTAATCTTGTGACCAAGCGAGTTCTTTTATCCTGGCCTATATTCTCTTTCACTACAACATAATTCTATGAATAATTGCTTAGCCAAAAATAACGAACCTTTGTTGTTTTCTATAAACTTGCTTAGAAACTAAGCAATGACAAAGGAATTCGTTGGCTTCCATATTACTGATGAGTTCGTATTCTGGGAACGAAACAAAATTATAGAAATGCTAGAATTGTAAATTTCTATCATAAAATGTGGATTTAATTCGATTTCAGTTCGAAAAATGTAGTATAAATAGTATAATATAAATAGTTAGAAGCTATGCTCACTTTTTTCCAATATTTGTTGGTGGAAATTCAATGAATTCCGGAAACTCGAAATCGCCTATCACAGGATACGCATAAATTGGAACTATTAACTGATTCTCATGATCCTTGTAGGTGAATACGAAGAAAATTGTAAAAAAAGGTTATATTAAATAGTATTAACAGTATAGGATCTTGTCGAATTTAAGCGTGTCGGATGGGAGGCAGTCGCCCACCATAAACTATGGAATATGATCTCTCAATATCCTGATTTGATTGAAGTTAGACATATAGACCATTACTTTCTGGCTCGGTTACTCAGAAGTTAGACATCTCCACATGAGACCAAAAGTCCTGTGTTCAATCCCCATTACTGGTTAGTCTCTTGACAAAACACTGTCTAGTGCTTCTTGATCTTCAACTGGGGTCTAAATTAATTTATTTGTTATATCAATACGTTGTATTCAGTTTGTCTGAGTTTTTGCCTTTTAGAAATTGCTGAATCAATTGTAAAACGTTCTACGCTTGTTTTAGCATACATTGACGACGAACTGTTGTGATGGTGAAGATTTATGGCTGTAGCGGATGTTGAAGTGTTGGATATTACAATAAAAACTGATTTAAAGTTACAGAGGGGATCTAATTTAATTACCAGCAACCGTTGTAATATGAGGATTGTAGTGCCAAGAATGCCATATTGAGTTAAAGACATAACACTAAACATTGTGATAATTATTGTCATCAGGCAGAACATCTGTTACTTTAACCAAATATTACGTTATTTATTAAATTTCGGATGAACAATTGATAATTCGTTTAACTCAAACAAGTACGTTGTTTCAAGTAGGTAAACGAATTTCGTCCTGTTGAAGTGAGTTAGCTTTAATAGATTCTACTGTATGGATAGTGCACCATATAGTTTGCATAATCTAGAGTACTTCAGTCTTACAATCCATGAATCCATTGACTCATGAACTTGATCTTCTAGGTAGATGAAGATTATCTGGTTAGAGTCCGTATGACTAATATAAGTGATTGTTGGAAATGCTGGATATATGTATCAGAAACGATTTCAACGGAGTAAGTGAATCTATTCTTTGGGTTAAAGTACTTGTATCGTTAATTTCATGAGCTTATTCTTACTTACAGAATCATATTTTCTATAACAAATGTTTTCTACCATTATAAGTATTACTGTTATTGATACTCCTACTACTACTGATACATTTACTACTCCCATTGCACTGTCATGTTTCTTAATAATTTTGCTTGACTATACTGATTGGCCGTGTCAGCTTAAGGTAGTTTATTCATACAGTATGTTTCATGTTGATTACGATTAACTGACTGACTGATTTCTGCCGTATTATTCTGCATTACAACTAATCAAATTATAATGTAGATGCACCAAATCGTTACTTATTGTAATTAACCAGAAAGTTTTGATTAGCATAGATAAACACAAGCAAATTTCATCAAAAATGGCCTACAAAGTGTAATCATCTTATAGCAAGTTTCTATGAATGAATAACGAGAGCCTTCATCGTTAAAATATATTAGTTAACCAATTTTTTCAGCTTACAACATCATCAAAAGGAAATAACATTCATTAAGGAACAATTATAAACATTTACTTACTTCAGTATGCACACGTATACAGTCTTCATAGTAACTTGGCTTATCAGGGAAAAATACTAGACGGCACGTAATACTATAACCAGGTACCAAACACTTCTGAAAGCAACGAAACCGGTCTACTATTATCGCATTCCTCAAAAAAACGTACCGGTCTTAATAAAAATAATATATACATATTTATAAAGTAAACGCTTAACTAAACTAATAGGAATCTTTATTGCTTGTTTGTTCTTAACAGTATCGAGGGAATATTCTACTACTTTTTATTCATTTTGTTGGAATGAGTTAGAGAGTTAAGCCTGAATTCAATTCGTTTGAGTCAGTTACAGCTTGAACAATTCCTCTCGAAGTGTCTGCAAGTGCTCAAGATATACAATACAAATTTAATTATCTTCACTTTGCACCAGAAAATGTATATGTCGCGGAAAACGTACGAGTCCATATCAGTATTAGACATGTAACTTTGGCTATAACTCAGACTGTAGCTCCTCTGAGGGCTACTGCCGGTCCCAAGTCCAGATAAAGGGGAAGGGTTGGCCATGGGGTTAGCGACCCCATCTTGTAGAAAACTAGCCCACTAAAATATATTAACCCGAAAAAGGTATCCAATTCATTTAAAGTTTGCGCCGGGAGTCAGAAGGTCCTCATTTAGAAGATTTATGACGCCTCATGATGAAAGCCGAGCTCCTTCGGAAGCCACGAGGACGATGCCCCTTCTGACAACCAGAGCAACAATTATTTAGCTACGTAGAATGCTCGTACAATATTAGAGACCGGGAGTGTCTTCCAAATTGCTTCAGAAATGAGGAAATATAACCTAAAGGTGCTCGGGATCAGTGGAATACATTGGATGCAGGTTGGACAACAATGACTAGCTTGAGGGGAGCTTCTCTTATACACCGTCCACAAAGAAGAAAATGCCCCACATACACACAGAATTGTACTGATGTTGTCCAAACAAGCACAAGATGCACTTATAAGATGAGAATTTCATGGACCAAGAATCATCAAAGCCTCCTTCAAAACAAAGAGAGAGGGCATTACAATAAACGTCATCCAATGCTATGCGCCTACCAACAACTACGATGAAGACGTTGAAGACAAATTCTACAATAGGCTGCAGTCGATCGTCAAGAAGTGCCCAACAAAGTACCTGACCATTCTGATGAGAGATATAAATGCCACGGTTGGAATGCACAACACTGGATACGAAGTCGTCATGAGACGACATGAACTGACTGGGAGAAATAAACGAAAATTGCGAGAGATTTGCAAACCTATGTGCCTTCAATAAACTGATCGTAGGCGGCACTATATTCCCACACAAATGCATTCACAAAACCACATGGACTTCCCTGGATTGCACTACGCAGAATCAAACTGACCATATCTGCATCAATTCAAAGTTCAGGAGGACGATAGAGGGTGTGAGAACCAGGAGAGGAGCTGATATAGCATCAGATAATCATTTGCTGGTCGCCAAGATGAAGTTTAAACTGAAGAAGCACTGGACAACGGGGCAGACCACATCACAAAACCTTAATATGACCTTTTTCGGGATTCTGACAAACTCAGCAAGAAAGAAGCGCTGGAAGTGGATAGGGCACACGTTAAGGAAATCACCCAGCCGCGTCACAAGACAAACCCTGAAAGTCCTGAAGGTCAAAGGAGAAGAGGAAGACCAAAGATCACATTATTCCGAGAAATGGAGATAGACATGAGAAGAATGAACAAAAGTTGGATAGAACTTGAAAGGAAGGCCTAGAACAGAGTGGATTGGAGAATGCTGGTCGGTGGCCTATTCTCCATTAGAAGTAACAGGTGTAAGTAAGTCAGTAACTTTGGCCATGCAACAATATATTCCAAATAACAATATTTTTTCTAATCAACTATAAGCATTCCAATTCACTACACAATAAATTATCGTTTCTCTTTACAGTTGTAATAGCTCTCCCTACTTCTTATATTTTATGTGCTTTCATATTTAAACTCGTCGTTTTTATGTTATGACTTACAGTATTACCATTTGCATACATATTAAATTAAAGGCCAAAATTTAATGTATAATAGACACTACAATGCAATACATGTCGATGGATTTTGTATGTTATGATCACTTTGCAGAGATTTCAAAATTTTGACAAGCTGTTGTAGATCAAGAACTGGTTCTTTATTTACATTGACAAACGACCGATACGTCCTACTCTGACCAGCTGTATTAATCCTAGTGCTGAATACTTCTAGAGAGACAAGGACTCTCCAGTGAACAATTCACAGGATTTATTAAGATAGGTTGTTGAACATAATATTCTTGTTAATAATGATTGGGTGTTGAAACTGTATATAATTAACGAACCAATACGACTGATAATAGCACGTCCTGGATTTTAGGGCAAAATTCACTCACCTGCGGCTAAATAGCAAAGGCCGTCCATAGTCAAACCCCAAAACTTCAACTTATAAACAACAGGTAGTGTGGTCTTTTTTAGCAGATTACGCTGATTAAAAGTCAAAGCTATTTTGAAAAAGCGAGGACAAGCATCGGATTTTTAAGCTGTGAATAGTCAGAGTGGTTTGTAAAATATATTGAACAGATCGGGATAAAGTTCCAAAAGTTAAAAAATATCACTAAAATTTTTATAGACCTACCGGCTGTTTATACGATAGTCGGAAGTACTTGGTATCTGGAGGCAAAATATGTAAACGTGTCACGCGGCCAGATATATTTTTTAACTCAAATTGTTTCACTATTCCAGATTTTTGAGAACGAAAACTAACATTATCAAAATTTATTTCAGCTGGTTCAACGGCAATGAACTTATTGCACCCCATCTTCCAAAATATTTCTTCAGAAACATAAGAAAAATCACGTGGACTGACATTACTAACCTGTGTTCAAAAGGTGGTTTGGGGGCGGCTCACATTTGTAATCTTCAACTATTCGTTCACTTATTTCTACCATGTTGAAATTGACGAAAGCAATAGTTAAAAGGTTCACGCCACAAATTGTGAGAAGCGAATAGAATCTAATTTTGGTCTCAAGGCGATCATCTGATAACCAACTTTCGAAAACACTGATACTAAGACTCAGAAAATAAGAGCACTTACTGATAACGTCGAATAATATTCAACAAAAATCATATTTGTGCGGCTGAATGTGAGTCACTCTTGGAAGCGAGATAAACATTTTGACATCATAGCATTAAACGATTGATATATTTGGGTATTGTCTCGTATTACATTGCATGTTGTGGATTATGGAGATCAAAGTGTTAGTGCTAACCTAAAGGAGAAAAGCATAAAAGGAACAGTAAAAAGACAAATGAAAAACTTCTATGTTGAAACTTACGTCTACAGACGAAGGCTTGAAATAAGTATTATCTAGCTATCTCAAGATGAATGTTTTAGAGAAGGGTTTAGAATGAGTATATTTCAAAATTGAGATACAACAGTTGTTATGACTGTAAGGTCAAATTCAACATGTCCAATGTCTAAATTCGCTGTCACGAGTTTGTGTAAACCGATTGATTTCTGTAGTCACAATCGCTGACATTTTGAGACGCGCTTTCCTTCGATTGACTTATGGCTAACCAGTTTTATCAGTAGTAAGGTCGTGGTTATGAGTGCGATCACGATAGCTTTGTTGGGGATTCAGTTTTGGTGTTTGACTTAGGTGATCCATGTTCTGTACATTACTCCGAAGACTCCATGTTTTTTATTCCAGCTTTCTTACGAGGTATTTTGACTTGTTATGGACCTCTGAATTCAGACCTTTACCTCTGTCAGACCTTCATATCGTCATGATTTTGTCTAACTTCAATCGACATTGTCTTGCGCAGCCCTTCATCCTTAGTCTGAGTGGGAAGCTTTGACCAGTGGATCACAATCCATGTAGTGTGCAAGGCAGTTATTCAGAGCCTAATGTAGGTCTTCTCACTTATTTTATGTTGAAGTTGAAGAATTATGTTGTTGGAGACGGATGTCACTACATATAATGAAAGCAGTTTTAAGAAGATAGAAATAAAAAGAAGAGATTTTTGACTTATTTGTATTAATACAGATTATGTGACAAATTTGGCTGTTCATCTCAACTATTACTCTGGTCATGACATCAAATTTCTTTTATCAATCCCATGAGTAGTTACTAGACAGCAAATCTAGTAATTAGTATAATCATTCTTGTTTCCTAGCGGCTGATTGGTATTAAAAATTTACTGACTTCGATAACATGTTAAACTTTTTCACTGTTGAGAGGCACAGATGGAAATGAGCTGTTACACGGAGACAAGTAAAATGTGTCACCAAACCACATATTCTGATGCCCGAGAATCATGACTAGGCTGGCTCTGTGTTCTAGGTATTTTCTTCTCATGTAGATAGTCTATCCTTATATACTTGGGCTGCGTCTGTAAATCATAAGCTAAGTCAACAGGTATGTAACTATGCAAGCAAGAAGCGTTCGCTTGCTCATATTTGTCACACATATTCATCTTCTTGCTTTACATTATTATGTCTACGTTAAATCTATAATTATGATGCACTGTGAATTTCTAATTACTTACTTACGCCTGTTGCCCCTCGTGGACGAGCATAGGCTGCACACCAGCATTCTCCATCCAACTCTGTCCTGGTCAAATCTTTCCGGTTCCTCCAGTTAACATCCATCGTTTTCATATCTGCTTCTATTTCCCGGCGTAGTGTATTCTTTGGCCCTCCTATTTTCCGCTTCCCTTCCGGATTCCAAGTTCGCCATTGCCTCGTGTTGCAGTTTAGTGATTTATTTTATTATTATTTTCCTAATGTATGCCCTATCTAATTACAACGTCTTTTCCTAATTTCCTCTTCAGCTGGAAGTTGGTTTGTCCTCTTCCATAAAACGCTGTTGCTGATAGTATCCGGCCAATGGATGTTGAGTATCTTGCACATATATATATATATATAATATTGTCTACCCACATTCCGTTTTAAAGTCTGCATTACCATAAAAGAATTTCTACAAACATTTATATTTGCACCTTAATATTCCCAATACTATCCTCTCCAATCATGTAGAACCCACCAAAAAAAAAGTAGATACACTCTTGTGAATATCCTAAAAACTATTGTCAGTGATTGTTCCCGTGATTCAAACTAAAATGGTTTTCTATTTACGAACGCGCAGTCTTTGAATAATGGTATTATCGCTTCTCAAAGGTTCAAAGAAGTCACGAATAAGTAACAGAAAATGAGCTAAAGCAGTCTTCAAGAAGTTAGTTATCTTAAAATTTTATCTAGCCAATCAGCAACGCATCTTTGTCTAGATGTTTTTGGTTGGATTTACACTAAACTAATATCTAAACTATAAGCTTTGCGGCAGCTTGAACTTCATCATTACTTCAAAATACGAAGTTGATAGTGAATTTAACGCTTAGCAAACGTATAGACGATTGTCTAAATTCATTTAAGATAAGACATATATGACAGCCTCCAATGCTCGAAGCAAACGGTGGAACTTAATTTGGGTGTAGTTGTACTTTTTAGTAGAAATATTGTTCCAAAATTACTCAACACAACACCAGCTCGCTATTTCAATGTAGCTTCAAAATGAATTAACATGTCTGCAGATAATTTTTAAAAAAGCGTTAACAAAATACTGACGATTTTTTATAAGCCTCATTGAAATGAAATTTAATACCAAATGTGATTGGTCTATCTAACAAACACTGTCAAAACAATTTGGAGCTTCATAATTATAGTTTATTATATTCTGATTTACCAGATGACTTAATTATTAATAACTTGAGAGTTTTAAAAAAGCTTCCATAACACACAGGTTAATACTAGCCACTACAAATACTTCATGAATTATGAACGCGAGATAATCTTGAAATCAAGTAATTTTATGGCATATTCATTTGATTAGTTTGCTTGTGTTTTAAAGTTGTGTGATAATCTAAAACACTTTTAGAAACCCAGAGTTAAATGTGTTCGATGAAACAAATAACATAGGCAAGTACAAAAGTGAAATCCCAATCAGTTGTTCTAAATGTGAATGTTTTTTTGTATATAAACCTTATCTAGGTGAGAATAAAAAATCGCGAGTGGTCAGTATGAATTCATTCGTTGTACAACTTTTCTTCACATTTATTTTCATTTGCACTGCCCACTTTAGACCAGATGGATCTCTAATCGATGATGTTTCTTGCTAGGATATTCATTTGCATCTCCTATTATTGATGAGCTTTTTTTGACTACTACATTTCATCAGTCAATCATCATAACACTTATCATCTTTGTCAGTATATCTTAATAAATACGATAATTAATACCATTAAATTTTTACCATGATATCAGAATCAAATTCTGTCGTAATGTCACTGACTCAAACACAAATTGTTTTACTTTAGATGGGGGAAATTTCAATCAAACTGCAAGTGACAGTCATATTACACATAATAAATGAGAATAATTGATGGGCCGATACAATACGCCTTAAATGTATACAAGTATTTTGGATTGTACGTTAGTCAACAGAATTCACTCAATAATGAATTTCATTTTACGATGTTAGGTAGTGTGGTGTGTGCTACTGATGTCCACAAATATAAGTAGTATGTATCATCAATCAAAAGTGTATTATCTGTCGGCAGAAGGTTATGAAAAGCGAACAAAAGAGAACGAGAACAAAGAATGATTACTATGGAAATGAAGGCATAGTGAATTCTGAAACGATTGATTGACATTTGCAAAAGGAACAGTCGATTTTGAGATAATTGATTGACATTTTGAAAATGATGTATTTACTGTATCGTTCTCCGATTGTACTAAGAGATTCTGTAATCTTGTGTTCAAATACATTAGATTCTCCCCACTTGTGTTTTCGTTCACTAAACTGGTAGCAGTAGTAATTTTGTATAGACTTTACTAACAAACAATCCAACCTCACAGAGTAAGTCATCAACAAGTGGTGGTATGTCTCATTCGTCATTCTTTATTTATCAGGTAATATAAAGGAGTGTTTTATTTATTCGTCTATTTTGGAAACCTATTGAATTCTCAATAAATCTTAGTATAGCGACTTATTTTATCGAATTCAATATGAAAGTGCTTCATTTCACCGTAAGACACAAAGTACTTGTCCATATTCTTACTTGATTTCATATGAGTGAAATAAGATGATTTTTATGATCAAGCAAATAAGACTGATATCGTTGTAGACAGTTAATTGTTATCTTGAATTGATTAAAGTTGAAAAATCTGAACCACTGAAATCCAGATCAGTGGTTTTAAAGTCTAGCGCTCTCCGTAAAGCCTGGAGTTTTCGAATTAAATCTCTGAAACAATGATAGATGTGCATTACTACAAAATTCCATATGGACGTATAATTTCTATCAGAGGGGGTGGGGTGGAGATTTTAGTAATTTTACATAGTTGAGATCATGAGTGAATTAAAGCTAGACCACCCTGGAAAACCTGGAAGCACTGAACGACCGTTTTGTCCTATTGTGGAACTCCTTAGCAGTGCTCATCCACGATCTCCCTCGCGAGATTCGAACCCAGGACCTAATAATACTAATTGAATTCATATAAATCAACATACAACAGGATTGATCTAGCCTTTTGGTTATATTTTCTAATAACAATTAAGCAAACCATTCATATATTATATATATGATTTAAAATAATTATCATTATAAACATGTCAGTAGTATTTTTAATTCTTCTGAGTAGTATTGTTTTTCAAAGGGTTGCTTTTTTTGTTTTCAGGTAATCTAAACTTGTACATTTGAGATGTATTATGTTGTTTGATTTCCATTTCATATGGTTTTAATATAAAGTTACTAGGGCAAAAAAGAAAGATGGAAAAAACGGGCACATATCAAACAAAAATTACCTCATATCTGTAATAATACAATCAATTATGATTAGCAAATTAAAGCATATACTGTTTCATCAATGAGATGTATATTTTGAAGATGGAATCCAAATCAAAAGAATTGATATATGTTGTTTCTAATCCTGAGTCCGTGTAACAATTGCGTGTACTGGACGCATATATAAGCCTGGTCCTAAGTTGTAGCTGACTGACTAACTGATAGACTGTACTGGAAGCAAATAGTTAATTTCTTAAATTTTATATCAAGTAACTTTGATTTACAGATAATTGGATTGAATCCATGGTAAAAATGAATGCAGTCACTAAATTTTGGCTTAAATCATGTGAGAGAATACAATGTCGGTAACTGTGACTAACAACAAATAAAATTTGTTTAGGCAACTGTAAATGATAATGCCAATTTTCAGTCTTCACAACAAATAGATTCACTTTATATGATAATTTTCAAAGTCAAACTATGAGTGATATATGTTAATATTCTTGCAAAATCATCTCACGAATTCGAGATTTTTCACTGTGCACAGATGTCAATGCTTCCTTTATTGTATATAGTTGAGATCATGAGTCAATTGAAGCTAGACCACCATCGAAAACATGGAAGCACTATACGGCCGTTTCGTCCTATTATGGGACTCCTCAGCAGTGCGCATCCACGATCCCGCCTCGCGAGTTTCGGACCCAGGACCTAGCAGTCTCGCGCGTGAGTGCTTAACCACTAGACCACTGAGCCGGCATCCAACGGTGTTAATGTCTAACTTCAACCAATCCACGAAATTGAGCAACCATTCACTAATGTCTTCAATGAGTTGATATCTCCCAACAGACCTGGTTAAACTCGACTGGTTACCGCTTTTCCCTAGAACTTCAGGAAATATCTCATGGAGCCAGTCACTAGTGAGCATATGATCATTATCAGAAGGGAGTTTTGTGGAGATTTTATTCTTTATTTATGGACTTTTAGTTGCAAAAGTTTATCTGGCTTTATGTATTAATGAAATTTGTTAATTCTGAAATTGTATTTCTACCTTTTTTTAAAATTCAAACATAAAAATTAGTATCCATTGTAACAGTGTATTCCTAAGCATACATTAAAGGCTTCGGTTGATTGGCTAATTAATACATAACAAAACTGTTCGTTCGGTTATGTTTTCCAAGTTCTTTGTAAATTCAGGGGTAAACTCTAGACATGACAGAAGATTATTGCACATAATTTCAAGTAAGTCCATGCTAGAGGTAGCTTCTATCTAGTTATGTACGTTAAAAGACTTTGTACCGTCAGTGGGATATTAAGAGTGATAATATTAGCAATTTTATCAGTCAATGGTCTAGAGGTTGAGTGTTCGCGAGTGAGACCGAAATTCCTGGTTTTGAGTCATCCATACAAGATCGTGGAGGCACACTGCTGAGTGTCTCATACTAGAACGAAATGCTCATCCATTACTTCCAGGTTTTAAATAGTGGTCTAAGTTAGATCGACTCATGAATTCAACCGTTAAAATTACTATAATCTCCACAAATACCCATTTTTCACATTGATTGTTTAATCGAGCCGAAGCCCTTAACCGATAGACCACTGAGCCGGCATCCAACGGTGTTAATGTCTAACTTCAACCAATCCACGATTTTGAGCAACCGTTCACCAATTGTCTTCAGTGAGATGATATCTCTACAACAGACCTTATTGATCTTATTGATGAACAACGTAATCAAGTTAGATGGCAATCGAAATTAGGTGCTAATCCATTATCACCAGAAGAACGTATAAAAATACTAGATTCACGTGAATTAGTATGGAAACAATATTATGTAAGTTGATGTGATATTTTCACTGTATTATTTTTGATGAATACTTGAGTATCAGAAGGGGTTTTTGTGGAGAATGATAGGTCCTGAGTTCGAATCTCGTGAGGCGGGATCGTGGATGAGCACTGCTGAGGAGTCCCATAATAGGACGAAACGGCCGTCCACTGCTTCCAGGTTTTCGATGGTGGTCTAGCTTCAATTGACTCATTATTTCAACTGTGAAAAAATACTAAATTCTCCACAAAACCCCCTCTGATTAATAAATAAATTGCCTAATACTATACAAACACATAATGAGAACAATACAATACTTACTCAAATAACCACAGTAATTTCCTGAAGGTATTAGATAAATCAATAAATCAAAGAAAGGATGCTTATTATCTGTTACCAATGGTTTTACCTAATTGTATCATATTGTTTCATCTTATTAAGATATTTCTGGACCAATGAATGGATATTTTCATGTTGTTGAATATTTCTAGTTTGCTTTCAGTCAAGTAATTTCAACTTCAAAGTTAATATATTCATATATATATATACAACAATCGAAGTCAATCTTCAAATGTTATATGTCTCGTTTAGATGTTTCAGTAGCCTAGTTGTATATTACTGAACTTAACATTGTTTCAGTTTGTGTATATATGTAACAAGATTGTTTAAGAATATTCCATATCCTTCTATCAATCATTAGATCTCTTTGAGCAACTTTTGAATTTGGTTTTTTGGTTTCAATTTGTTATTGGTTATACCTAATCGTATAATTTATAGTAACTGTTACATCCAAGTATTATTCGTGAATATTTTGATAAGAGTGTTATATCCTAGTGAAGACATAAGTACAGGTAACTTCCGGAACCTATTAATGGACTATTATTCTATATTTATTCTTATGGTATAACTATTTAGTGATTAGATTGTGTATATCTATATTCATTTTATTATAAGCTTCATTTTGACTTATGGATTATTATTATACGATTTACCGTTCCTAAATTATACTCAGTTTATTGATTATTGTATCCCACATTCACAGCCGCATTTGACTTGATCTTGTACAAATACTATTTTCTATTTTATGGTGTGATGAGGTCTGTCTGTCTGGTATATAAACCGAGTATGCTTGAAACAAATGGTTCGCATAGCAGAAGCTGTAATTGGTGTTCTGGACTCAATCGAAAGGGCTAGGCGGACAAGGGACCAACAAGGACGCTAGACTCCACATACCAGTTGAAAGTCATTGGTTTGGCACAGTGTTCAGATTGGACGAATCGTATTCCGATTGGTGGATAAATCACGTTATAAAAAGCCGGACAAAAGACCACAACAAATTGGCATACGGCCATATCATGAATCTTTAGTGAATCACGTTTTTACTGGAGGCTGTTTCTCTTCTCAAACACAGATCATTGTACTATTGTAGTTAATGAACACTTAGATGGGAAGACCAATTTAAAGTCTTCATAAAATATGAAAATCATATATCAAAAATACTTTATTTGCATATCTCCTATCAATTGTCTCCTACAAACTTCATCGTTCCTTCATTCCTGTTGTTATTATAATTATTCTCTGTTTACATTCCTGTCCTCTTCAATTCGATCTTCTCAACGTCCTGCTGCCAGGTATTCTACATCTGATTTGTGTTACATATTATTTAAAATTGTCAACATAGGTAGTGTACACTACACTATAACAAAACCATCATTCATTGTCATCTATAAACAACTAATTCAATAGATTACTGAGACCTATTATTAACTTTGAGTTGAGTTTTTGATGCCCACTTGTCATCAATGATTTTCACTAATATTTGACTTGATATTGAGAGGTCGTTAAGCTTACCCATAAAATGCAACTAGCATATATTTCTGGTTAGTGTCTTTTTAGCGAGTTAGTTTTCTACAGGATGGGGTCGCTATCACCATGACCAACCCTCTTTCTTTATCCGGGCTTGGGAATGGCAGTAGCCCCCGGAAGAGCTACAAGCGGAGTTTACTAGCATGTATATCTAGCATAAATGTTTTTAGCTCATATGTGATTATTTTTCCAACTATAGGAACTTATAAATACTGATTTGGATAGATTATATAAAGTGGAATATACTTATGTTTCTTATATTAAACTTACTTAACGATATAACGTATAAACCTTTAATAAAAAGAAACTGTATCGATTAAGGAGTTCCTTATTAATGGAACTAATGACTAAGATACAATCTACGTGGTTGTTCCAATCAAAACGTCAGTAAATAAATGATACTTTGTAACTTCATGACTATTTAAACTTTACTAATTCATTTAATCTAACAGAAAAGACAATATGAACTGAGCTGTTTCTGCAAGTAGAAGCATAAATCAAACTACAAATATCAAACTCATTTCATACTTTACTTTACAATGTATTATGTAATGCATAATTTACATACCATAGAAAAGGTCGAATTATTGACCTTCATATAGTAATCTAGATAATAAGATTGAGTATAAATGATTTGTTGCTATCTTACTAACTAGGATGGGTTCAGGTCTAGTATTATATGTTACGTGTTTTAATGACTTCCCAAGTATTCATCTGAGATGTTCAAAAAAACTAAGATAAAACAACTGACTAATATCTTTTCAGAATCAAATAATTGTTTGTTTTGAAGTCATATAATGAATGAAACTCATTTAAGGTGGGTTTTCACTTTGAATATATCTACATTCAATCATATGGTCAACCTAATAATCAAATCTAAGTTGTTGTGTAATACAGAATAAACTGTATTTGTAAAAGTAAAGATGGATAGTGGCTAGCAGTGGAATCCAGGATGCGCATTTCGTCCCATTTGGGACTCGTCAGCTAGATGTACCTGCATCTCAGAATTAATGTTCACTCTGGGACTCGAACCCAGTACCGTTCGCTCCAAACGCCAACGCGTTATCCACTCAGCTACTGAGTCCTGATAGTCACTTGCCTGTGCAAAGGGGTGAAGTTTGAATTCACTTAGTATTGTTTGTTTGAATCTTCCCATTGATCCTTAGAACTGCAACTGGTCAGTCTCTTATTGGCATATGTGTATACTGAATTAAGGCTATATCGAGGCAATACGTACAGTATGCACATATGCCAATAAGAGACTGACCAGTTGCAGTCCTAAACATCAATGGGAAGATTCAAGCAAACAATACTAAGTGAATGTATTTAAAAAAGTTAAACATTCATATTATTTTTAAAAGTGTATTTATTTACTTTGTGAATGTAAGATCTTCGCTAAATGTTAAATATTTTTTACAAAGAAAGGCGTATAACCACGTTAATTAAACAATGAAAATGCGAATAAAAAGCTTTCGATACAAAAAAAAGTCATGTTTTGCATAGTTCGATATCGTGCTTAAATACAGTACCTTGTGTGTCGGCAATAAAGTGTTTTCATGTTATACTCATCCAGTAAAAATAACCCCTATTGGTCTGTTCATCTGTGCAGTTAGACGAGCTAAACACATCCGAAATTCGATTGTTTTGTTCACTTGAATTTACGAACCGATCTAAGCTAGACAAACTTTGAAAATCTAGAAGCACTGGATCAACGCTTCGTCTTAGTATGGGACTCCTCAGAATTGATCATCCGCGATCTCACTTACGGGACTCGAATCTGGAACCTTAGGCTTAGCTTAGATCGATTCGTGAACTCAACTGCTAAAATTCTACGATCTCCACAAATTCCCATGCTAAGAATTTTGTTCACACTGGATTTTTGTAGAGATCGCTCATAGCCAAGATAAATTTGAACTACCAATTTATTCTAGCTTGACAACCAGTGAACAAGAGGAAGTACTGTGTACCTATTTTATCACAATATAAGATTTTAAAACAATATTCATTCGCTACCTCACTACCTTCTTTATCATTACATCTACATAGAACGTAAAGAATGTTTCTCGAAGTCAGTCGTGACTCAGTCTATTATGTAAATCACATCATATTGTTAAAATGAGGCATGTATAGGGAAATATAAATTTTAATTAGCTGCTCTTTTGGTAAATTACTCTTTAATAAAACTGACAATTACTTTATTGTGCTTTTATATAGACTCAATCATATATTCCACTTTCTCCCATTAATTAATATGATTTTTTAAATATCAGTTATTTGACTATCGATGGATCAGTCAATTTGTGTAGAATCTCACAGTTAACATCTCACAACTATGTATTTAATGAAGTTTATGTATTGTCATAAGTCATAGTCTCGTATTTTACTTCTACACATACGGTCGTTATAATATTTCAATAGTTTTCATCGATCTCTATTTTAGTTTTAGGTTGTTCTAAGTAATCGCTATAGGTTTGTGGAGATTGTTGAGTTGCAATTAATATCATGATTGGGTGAATGTTAGACCACCATTGAAAACCTGGAAGCACCGGACACCCATTTCGTTCTATTATGAGACTCCTCGACAGTGCGTATCCATGAATACCTGCCTCCACAACAGACACGGTTGATCTCCACTGGTCACGGATTCTCGCTAGAACTCACTGAAAGCAATGGTAGACGATAGCTCAATTACATGATTTGGTTGAAGTTAGACATCGGCACCGTTGAATTCCGGCTTAGAGGTCTAGAGATTAGGCATTCGCCCACGAGACCGAAGGCCCTCGGTTCGATTCCCAAGTGTGGGATCATGAATGCACAATTCCGAGGAGTCCAATACGAGGACGAGATGGCCGTTCAGTGCTTCCAGGCTTTCAGTAGTTGTATAACGTTCATCTATTCATGATATCAATTGATATTGTTATTTAATAAAATATAATAATTAATTTTGATGAGTTCACTGTTGATCATCTTCAAAATAATCAAATATGTTCTCTGATTGTTTCAACTTACAATTTCACTTCAGGGTTATCACTAAAATAATAGTCGGGAAATTTTTCATTTATTATTTAGAATAGACTTTGTAAGCAATTAATGTATCAGAAGAAATATTTTGAAATGCGTTAATGTTGTCCTTGAAATAAAATTTTACCAAAAGCGACAAACATATAAGTTCTTATGAGAACGTTTGTCTGAAAATGGCATCGACGTTTATGATGTGTTGATCATTCCACTAATTAACATTTTTGAACTCATGATCAAACAACCAATAATCAGGAAACAATATCGCTAAAATCGCTGATTACTATGGATAGGTTTGGGATGATTGACGAGTTTTAGGATTTGTATCACTTTTATTGATCCAACAACCACTGAAAATTATGAAGGGAGTGATAGTTGTTTTGTCTTAGAGTAAGCTTGTTCCACAGTATCCATTCTCATTCATACAAGTGACTCTCAACCAGCTTTTAACACTTAGATCATTTAGTCTACATTTATAGGTCGACTGTGCAATAATCTTCCAGTGGAAAACAAAGCGTCTCATTTGAATCCTAAAATGTTGGATCTATTAATATATTATAGCAACTCTCCTTCACATAATTTTGTTATTGGTATAGTAACTATTTGTATATCTTGGTATTATTAGCATGTCTGTATGAACATTTATCCTTGATCACATGTGATAGCCTACGTTATATACCTCTTTCTAACTTAATTGTTAGTTGTTTAAATCTCTCAATGAAACATTAGCTTTCCCATAAATGTTTATGCTTGAAACGTAATAATTCAGACGAGTCTTTATTCAGCTCTGTATTCGCTCGCTTCCATTATCAATTTCACACGATTTCGCTTGATGTGCTTGTTTGTAGCTTAGTGATCTTTGCTATTCAATAATAAATTGTAGTTGACAGTTGCATTCTGAATTTCATATACGGCTGGGATTTATCTATTATTGGTTATCAGGGCGACTGACATATGAAGGCTTAAGAGTTATCTGGAGGATAATCCACAATATTATGACCTTAACATTTAAGATTGGTTTATGTGGATATAAATCAACATTGGTAACAAAATATGAATTAATTCAGCTAGATCAAAATGACGTAGATATGATTCTGTTTTATCTACAAATATCATTCTCAAAGCTGAATGACGGAAATTAAAATGTTAGAAGATTAAACTCACAAATACACAGATGGATGAGGGCTTGAAGTAAAAGCAATAAAAATACGTGATAAGCATGAGGCATATGAAAGAGGTAATGGGTCATTGTAAACATCAGTTTCGGGAAAAAAGATCATTTTGATACCATCGGTAAATCGACTTGAGCTTTGTTTAGGATATATAGTTTGTTAGTCAGTGTTGATAGTGAGCTACTTTTTCTCGGTGAACTACTGATGCGTTTCAATCGCTAATGGGAGGTGCTGTAAGAGTGTAAAATTTTAACTCTGAGACCAAGGACTTAAATGGAAGTCGGTCGTATTATGGTTGAGAGGTATTTAAAAATTGCTTACCGTAATTGCTTTACCGTAATCAGTTTGTTATAAAGGTTTCTTTCCATTGTCTTTTCAGATCTTATCACCACCACTGATGTCTAAAAACGGTGTGCTGTACATTGCCGCTCACACTTATTTTTATAACTATGAGGGTGTTTTGAGCAGAGATGGATGGTGGCTAGCACTAAATTCCAGGACGCGTGTTTAGTCTTATTTGGGACTGACCAATGGCAGTCTTAAATATTCATGGGGAGATTCAAAAAACCAATACAAAATGTTTCTGAAGCAAGATCAAATGAAGCTATTTTCTGATGTCACCAAAATTTAGTCCACTTTTTGATCCTGACGGTTACTCCGCAGTTATATTACACTGTCCGAAGACCTTTCTGTTGAATAAAAAGTGTATATTGATTGTATATCTTACAATGGAACTTGTGAAGAAGAAATAGGAAAATCACTTCTATTCAACTTACTCCACATAATATCGTCAGATTATGTTAAGGATGTCTTGTAGGAGGTCAGAGATCAATATAAATATTTCGGAAATGTATTCTACTTATCATTTACTTACTTTTGACCAGTTAATGTAATACAAACTTCATGATTTAAAAATTGACTTGTCAACAGAACTATTATTACTACCCATTTTTCACTTATTAATTAATATTAACGTATATATCTTTATTGACAAACTTTACAGTATGTTAATCTCTGCACGGATTCAAAAAGCTCGTTTGGCTTTTGCCAACTTACGTCACCTATGGCGAAGACGAGATATCCGTTTATCAATTAAGGGACGAGCATACTGCGCAGCAGTTTGCTCTGTTCCTCTTTACGGCTGCGAAACATGGCCATTAAGAGTAGAAGATACTCGTAAAATACTAGTATTTGACGACAGATGCCTTAGAAATATTGCTCGCATCTTCTGGGATCACCGGGTAAATAATAGTGAGGTTAGACACAGGGTATTAGGAAATGATGGTAAATCAGTTGATGAGGTTATGAATCTTCATCGACTGAGATGGTTGGGCCATGTGTTACGTATGCCTGAACACCGATTACCACGACGCGTTATGCTGACTAGTATTGACGATGGTTGGAAGAAAGTTAGGGGCGGCCAAACCAAAATGTGGCATCAGTCCATAGTCGCTAACTTCTAATTTGAGCCATGTTGGTAGATGCAGAATACTTGATTGGGGTCCGCATTACTATCGTAACCAATGGTTGGAGACTCTGGATGGCATGGCTCAGAATCGATCACAATGGTGTAGGTGTATACACTCCCTGTCTTACTTGAAACTATGAGATTAAAATTGTTTCATATGTTTCTTTCTTCCTGTAACATATCTTTATAAACAACCTTTCTTTTATATATTACCCGCATTAAATTAACTACTTCTATGAATTTGGTGTTCATCTTGTTGTGCTAATGAGGTGTGTCAAATTGGACCGATGCATATGTGTGCCTCGTTCTACTTTGTAGCTGACATGACATGACAGTTTCTAACGTATATCCTATGGATCTTTAATGAAACCATTAAAATCATATTTTTGCCAATTAGATTCATTTAACTTACACTGGTGTTGGATATCTGAATTTTTTTACAAACGATTTGTGAGTAAAAAAAGGAATAATATTGTTGTACTCATACATTTAATATTAAAAGTAATGTTTCATTTTGTATTGTTTGTTTTATTCTTTCCATTTTTATTTAGGGCTGCGATTGATCAATCTCTTATTGACAAATGTACATCCTGTGCGGATTATCTCAACTCTGGTATTCAGGTTCAACCAGATGACAAGTCTCAAATTGGACTAAATACACATCCTAGATTCCACTGTTAGCCATCATCCATCTTTGTTTATAAAGCTTGTGGCAATGTCAAGGCTTTCCGTTTAGGATGCACATATGCCTATAAGAGACTGATCAATTGCAGTCCTAAACATCAATAGGAAGATTCAAATAAGTAATACAAAATGAATTTAAACTTCACCCTTTTTGCATAAGTTAGTGGCTATCAGGACTCAGTAGCTAAATGGGTAAAGTGATGGCGTTTGAAGTGAACGGTACAAAGTTTAGGTCCCGGAGTGAACATCAACTCTGTGATGCAGGTGTATCCAGTTGATGAGCGCACTGATAGCCATCATCCATCTTTGAGATAGAATAAGTTCATAATGTCATGTTTTTACATAATCTCAACAAACCGTTAATGCATGTTCGTATATTCAAAACCACATAATTCTTGAGTAATGTTCACCGTACCCAAAACACTGTAGCGTCTGATTTAGGTAGATATTCTTAAGTAGAATCAATTTCCTGATATAATTATAAATTTTTGTTTATGAATTACTTCCCATTATCTGTTAAATTTTTACCCACGTGATAACAAATTGATTATTTTAGATCATTTGAATTAGAAAGGTTGTTTTTGTAGTATTCAGTTACTTAAGTGTCACCAATATTAACTCATCATTCAACACTGTAAATAGTATTATTGCTTAAGTAATACATTAAAACAAGTGAAAATGGACAGCTGACAAATTCTATAGGGTGTTTAAATTACCATGAAAAACTAATATAAATAATTGTATATTAATAAACAAACGATCAACTTACACAACCTTTGATTCCGCTTGAAATGGGAATGAACGACGTTGTGTAGTACAACAATGAAAGCTTTGCAATTAAACCTTGTGGCTAACAGAATGTAACACTGCCAAAACCAATCACGTCAGACAAAAATCTTCATCATTCAATAATTATCAGTTTGTGGTTTTGGAGATTGTTCAATTTCATTAAAATCAAGAACTGGTTTAAATTAGACAATCATTGAAAATCTCGAGGAACTGAACGGCCATTTCGTACTAAAACGGAACTCCCCAACACTACTACCCTGCATTTAGGAATTTAACTCAAGACCTTCTATATTTCTCATGAAAGTCTCAGTTTTAGACCACTGAACCAATATTCAGGGCTATACAAGTCTAACTTCAATCAGTCCACTATAATGTTTAACCATCTCCCATTGTCTCCACTGAGTAACTTCCTAACACCTGATACAGTTTATAAACTTATTTTATGAGATTTGTTTATTCATGGAGGAATCTTAATGTATGAGAAAGATTTTGGGAACTACAAACTCTATTCTCTAGGTGGTATTTCGAAATGATGAATGTGACAATATCAAAGTACTTTAATTGTATAGATCAGATATGAGTATTAGGTTTCTTTTGACTATATGAAGTACATCAGATTATAAACTAGAGTGGTTTTGGTAAGTAATATCGACTTAAATATTAAATCAATTTTGAAATAAAGCAATGTATTTCAATGACTTTGAATGCATTTTGTAAATGGAGGATCATTACTAAAGGGAATCGGAGTCATTGAGGTAGCTGTACATTTCCATTATGAAAGATAACCTTTAAATGACTAATGGAATCCTAGTGAAAAACTCGTGATAGAAAGTGATCAAGTATGAGATTATGAATTAATTCAATACGATCATCTATGAGTCATTTGATTTTATTAATTATCAGAAGGGGTTTTGTGGAGATTTAGTATTTTTCATAGTAGAAAGCATGAGTCAATTGAAGCTAGACCACCATGGAAAACCTGGAAACACTGGACGGCCGTTTCGTCCTTTTATGGGACTCCTCAGCAGTGCGCATCCACGAACCCGCTCTAGCGAGCGAGACTCGAACCCAAGACCTACCAGTCTCAAGCCGAAGCCCTTAATTGATAGACCACTGAGCTGGCATCCAACGGTGTTAATGTCTAACTTCAACTGATCCACGAAGTTGAGCAACCATTCACCAATTGTCTTCAGTGAGTTCCTATCTCACAACAGACGTGGTTTTGAACTCCACTGGTCACTAATATAATGGTCATTAATATAATCATATGCTCACTAGTGACTTCGAGAAGTATATCTAGGAGCTCTAGTGAGAAGCAGTGACCAGTGGAGTTCAAAACCACGTCAGTTGTGAGATATCAACTCACTGAAGACAATTGGTGAATGGTTGCTCAACTTCGTGGATCAATTGAAGCTAGACATTAACACCGTTGGATGCCAGCTCAGTGGTCTATCGGTTAAGGGCTTCGGCTTGAGACTGGTAGGTCCTGGGTTCGAGTCTCGCTCGCTAGAGCGGGTTCGTGGATGCGCACTGCTGAGGAGTCCCATAAAAGGACGAAACGGCCGTCCAGTGTTTCCAGGTTTTCGATGGTGGTCTAGCTTCAATTGACTCATGCTTTCTAAATTATTTGATTTTAACAGTTTTAGTGATTAACTATTTCAATTGAATATTCGAATTTGATCTGTCAGTTTATGTTACGTAACATTTTGATACTAAATTTATACAGTGTACCATTTGATCAAGTTATGATTATTTGAAAGTCAGTACTTATCACTAGGATGAATGTCTGTGCATAAAAAATTGCATCTTTAACTTTATATATTTTGTGGAGTAACGAGATATTAGGTTTCAATGGGGGAAAGCCAAAAGTCATACTTTCTCTAGACTTCCATATTTTTGGTTTAAATGCGTTCCAGATTATAATTGTAAAATTCCTTCAAATCAGGACATACTGTCTTTTGCCTATAATCATACAAATACTATTAAAATCACACTGTAATATTCCCATTCCTTACTTTAATAAAAGAAAGTTTTGGGGTGATCCAGAAAACTCCTCACAAAAGACAAGAAAGGATTAAGAAACACTAATAAGCATTTTATTTAATCAGCGTTCGCTAGAAGTTTTGCCAGAAACATCATGAAAGTGAAAAGTCACATGTAGAGTTTCTGATTGGCTGATTACTATATTGCTACTATATTTAGTAGCATTCCAGAATTTTCAGGAAAACCCAGGACTTCTAAAATAGTATAAAAACCCTATATTTTCTGTAAAAAATAAACCTTTGGAGTAAAGTGCTTCTCGCATATTTTGCTCATTTTCTCTCGTTTTCACGTTGCTATGTAGTTTTAGCTTGGTGGTTATGAGACTAGCTTAGGATCCGAATATAGCGTTCATTTATCAAGACTCATCAAAAAGATGTTTTATGTGACTAGCCCCTATGAAGTAACAGGTTTTCACTAACATATTATCAGTGCATTTAATAAAAAGACAATCAAATACTTCCCTTAAAAGTAATAGATCATAGATATATGGCCCCCAAATGCCCTGGTATGGCTGATAGTGGGAAGAGTCCTCTCTCCCTCTCGAAATGCTCTCACATGGCCTCGCGTATATAGCCTCTACTACGGAAGTCCTACTCAATGCCTTCTCGCACCACGGGTATTTTTTACGAAGTTGAGAGGACGAAAAGCGAATGTCCGGCGCTTTAACCGGGTTGGTGAAAATAGAATGACCACCTAGAGGAGTTGGAAAACCCTGATTCCAAACCAATGGTGCACATGGGCTCCAGTATCCTGAAGGAACAAATGGCTCACGAATCAATCGTTGATCACCGGCTACCATGGGAATGCATCTCCTCACGATGCTCCACTGCCTTGTGGATCAGACCTTTAGGTCAAAGGCTAGGGGTGTTGTCTCCTAAGAAAACTACCTGCTTCAGTTTGGGCAGTATCACAGCCTTCACATAAATCGAATGAGATTTGTGTGGCGCATATGTAGCTGGTGCTTCCTTGTACCAATATTTATGTGTTTAAATAAATAAATATATGCTGACTACTATCTGATTAACTTACTTTCAATAGTATACGTTACGAATAGTAAACTGGAAAAGAATACACATGAGAATAAAGCCACCAGAGAGTTCATTTCCTAAATTTCTTTAAAATTAATTAAATCTGATAGATATATATCATGGTTGAACAAAATGTTTTCCCTCTATATTTACTTTACAAAATTCATTGAATGAAACTTAATACCTTCTGTTATTGTTAATCAGTGTATTTTTAGAGTAAGTATATGAAAGCTAAGTAAATGTGTAATATGCAAAGAAAGTATTGCATAGTAAACAAACAAAAAAGAGCTCATTTTGTTTATAAATAGAAACAACCTACTTAATGGTGTTGGAATTGATTGATTAGTAAACTATAATAATGGTATCTTAGTGTCAAACTTGATTTTCAGTTCAACATTTTGATAAATAAAGAAGTTTAGATTGATATTATGAGTGGATCGAAGTTAGATCACCATTGAAAACCTAGGAAGTACTGAACTGCTGTTTTGTTCTAGTATGAAACTGCTCAAAATTGCACATTCGCGATCCCTCATCAAAGGGACTTGAACGCAGGATCTTCAGTCTCGTGAGCGAATGCTTAACCTCTAGACCGCTGAGCCGGAATCCAAAAGTGGAGAAACCCTGGAAGAGGTGGGAACGTTCAGTTACCTGGTCAGCATCATCGATTCGGTGCAGATGTAAAGACCAGGTTTAGCAGAGACAATGCGGCATTTCTATAGTTGGACAACATATGGAACTCAACCGTCAATCAATATCAAAGTCAGAATCTTCAATACGAACATCAAGATAGTTCTACTGTGAGGAGCTGAAATGTGGAGAACTACCACAACTATCATCAAAAAGGTACAAGTACTTATAAACAATTGCCTACGTAAGATACTGAATGCCCGTTGACCGGATACCATCAGCAGCTGCCTACTGTGGGAGAAAAGAAACTAGGTTCTGTCTGAAGAGGAAATTAGGAAACGATGCTGGAAGTGGATAAGATCTACATTGCGGAAATTGTCAAATTTCATCATGAAGCAAGTGCCAACATGGAATCCCGAAGGGAAAAAGAAAAGAGAAAGGGTGATAAACACACTTCGTCGAGAATTGTAAGCAGACATCGAAAGGATGAATAGCAATTGGAAAGTACTGGGACGGATTTCCCAGGACAGTGTTGGATGGAAGATGCTGGTGGGTGGCCTATGCTCCTTCATGTAGGGTAACAGACGCAAGTATGTTAATTAAACCGTGAAGGATAACTTTGTCGACAACAAATCATTGTACTATAAATTAGTTTTAGAATTGGTAGATTATATATTAAGCTTTTTAGTTTGATATTCATTTACTTAACATCCTTATCAATTCATTTTTTTTTGAATTTTAGTCAATAACTTTCAGTTTATTCTGTTTATATTATTGAGCTCTGTAACAATGGTAAAGAGACGGATATAATTGTTTGGTTGTATACATACACTGCCGCCATTGTAGAAAAATAAAAGCTATTTACGCCATCTCATCTTCTGCTTTATTGACCATTGCTTGTTGATTGAGGATTATAATAGTGTTATTAAATCCTTCTCGGCTTTCGCACGTTACTTTTGATTTTTGACCCGGATTATAATTAAATAATACTATCGGATTTAATCTTTCTCATTACGTCGTTGGTGTAACATGTGTAGAGGAACATTCTTTAATCAAGTGAACTCATTTGTGGTCATTATCTTAGAAAACAGCTTACATGTAATATATACTTCATAACAACGGTAATCATTTTGTTATTTAATATACCGTTAACAATGTAACTTTCATTTGTTACTTTTTGCTTTACTCATAAACAGACACTCAGGTTTGTAGTGTTAATTCTTTGTTCGTATATCATTGGTAACCTTGAGTATTGTTGTATTTTGAATAAGCTGTTTTGCTGGGTCTACTACACATCTTTATGACATTGACACATCAAAGTGCAATATTGGTCCTGTAAGATTCTATCATGTTTTGAGCACACAAAAGCCTAGTCTTATCTGTACACAGAATTTTGTCTTCCTAAACACGGTATTAAACTTTCAAAGTATAGTTTGAAATATAATCGAAGTGGATGCGATATATTCGTGGTGGTCAGTGTTTGTTCAGGAATCAAGCTGACATAAGTCATCCTTTTTTTCAAATTTCATGAAGTTCGGCTAATACGACCAACACGATGAGCCAAGGGGATATTTTCAAAGCAGAATGGAGATATTAAAGATGTCCTGTTTTCTGAACAGGAAGGTTTATTTTATACAGCACGTTGTATTTCGACGTTTACTTGGGAGCAGGAGCGACCTGAAACAGCAACACAACAGTCAGGACAGACAAGTGCTTCGGAAGTGAAAACACGGTGTGCTGGCACAACAGATATATTCGAAATCGAAAAACGCGGTTCCAGTACAAAAGGGGGAAGTTATTACAAAATACATTATATGTGAAAAAATTATAATTGAAATAGTCTCAGCGGTTGAAGTTTAAATAATTCCAACGTTTCGTCCAGCTAACTTGTCTGGACTTCTTCAGGGAAATAATCAAAATCAAAAACATCAAAGAAATATATAGTGTTTTTACAATCATATCAAAATCTCTACTACTTTTTAATCCAATCATATTTGGATGTCGAAGTTTTTGTACAACAGGATAATATGAGACAGTTGAATGAGAATCAAGTGAAAAGTTCAACGATGTGAATTAAACGAGACTGCATAAATTGTGTGTATGTATGTATGTGTAAGATGAGTTATTAATGATGAATGATATTCAGTGTTGATATGTTTCTATGTGAAGTAAAATAGGAATAAACGTGCATAATGAAGGTTGAAAAGTTTTTCTCCTTTCTGAATCATCGAAGTTGCAAATAAAATGAGAATCATCAAGTACATAAATTGTAATGTTAAACATAACTCATATTGATTTCAGTCATAATAACGATTCATGTGAAGTAAACAGGTTGAATAAAAGAAAAGGTCAAATTACTTGCTGAAGAATATTTGCCAAGTGGTAGCTAGCTGAATACCATCCTTTCTGTTTAGGCTGTTCTTATTCGCCCATATATACAGCGCTTCTGCTGTCAATCTTTCTTTGTGAGTGTTGAAACCTTTCTGAAGTATTTTGGCCCCTTCAAAACTAATCCTGCGTCCTGTTTCTAACACATGTAGCGCTATTGCAGACTTATTCTCAAGTTTCCTTATGTCAACCGAGGTTTTGGGAACGTTTTTTAAACACTGTTTGTGTTCTTTCAACCTTACCTTCAATTATCTGGATGTTTCTCCAATATAAGCCGCATTACAATCATGACAATTGATCTCATAGACAATATTTTGTTGTTCTTCCTTTGGTACCCTATCCTTAACCTTCACCAATGACGATCTTATAGTGTCACAAGTTCTAAAATACACTCTTATATCATGTTTGTTTACAATCCGTTTGATTTCTTCCGATGTTTCGCTACGGTATGGTATGACTACAGTGGACTTCCAATCTTTCTGTACATGTTGCAGTTTAGCTTTTCTTTCCTTTCTAACAATCTTCTTTAAAAACTCTTTTGGGTAGTTGTTATCCCTAAGTGTAGCTAAAATCCTATTCAATTCAAATTGTTGGTCTTCTTCATCTGTAACAAGCTTCAGACTTCTGTTAATTAAATTTTTAACAACTGTGACTTTCGTACATAAAGCATGCGCCGAATCAAAATCTAAGTGTTTATCTGAATGTGTTGATTTTTTGAAAACATTTATTTTCAACTTCCTATTATTAAGTCTTCGTTCAACCATACAGTCGAGAAATGCCAGTTTGTGGTCATCAGACTCTATTTTCTTCGTTAGATTAATTTGTTCCGAAATGTTGTTCACATTTGTAAACAATTCTTCCAAATAGTCCTGTTTAATGATAACAAAAATGTCATCTACATACCGTAGCCAGACCTTTGGTGGACAAACACTTCTTGCGATTGCACTAGTTTCGAGTGAATGTATGAATAAATTCGCAACAATCGGAGAAACTGGTGAACCCATAGCTATACCTTCTTTTTGTCTGTATAGATCTCCTCGAAATATGAATAAGGTGGACCTTAAACATAGTTCCAAACACTTGATAAACTCAGATGGATCTAACGGGCAACGTAAATGTAAATCCAAATCAGATTCTAAACAAGCATAAATAATATCCAACGCTCTGTTGATAGGTACGTTAGTAAATAAGGAAGAAACATCAAAACTTGCCATTACTTCTTCTTCTTCTTCTTCTTCTTCTTCTTCTTCTTCTTCTATGTCGATGGTATCAATAATATTTTTAAATTCCATAGAGTTTTTAATTCCATGATTAATCAATTTCCCATACGGTTTTAGTATTCTAGCTAAGTATTTCGCTAGGTTGTAAGTCGGTGAATTTGTGAAATCGACCACTGGTCTTAGTGGAGTACTATCCTTGTGAATCTTCGGGAGTCCATAGAATCGACAAGGGTTACAATTTTTTGGATTTAGCATAAACCATAAAGGCGTTCCGAGCTTGACCTTTAACGAATGTAAGATTTTACTTGTTTCCGCCTTAAGTTTATTGAGCGTAGTTCTGCTTTTTTCAACTTTGATTAGTTCATATGGTCCCTCTTGTACATGTTCCTTTGCTTTTTTCTCGTAGTCCAATTTGTTCATGATGACTGTAGTGTTACCTTTATCTGCTTTTCTAATGATAATTGTCTTATCATTTCTTAGTTGCTTTAATGCATGCAACTCATTTTTTGTTATATTAGATTTTTGTGATTTTTGACGTAATAACACAAACATTATCTTATTCCTCAATTCATTCGCTGTTTCATTAGGAAGTATGTTCAATGTTGGTTCGATTGCTGGTATAATATTGAAAGACGATAAATGTGGTCTATTTATATTGAAATTGAGACCCTTTTTAAGTAATGAAATTTCATGGGAGTTGAGAATTCTGTCAGATAAATTAACTAACACTTTGTTAATATCTACTGTGTTCGATTTATCTCTAGTTTGTTTCACTTTGCTGTTTGACGCATGTTTCAACATTTTTTTCGAACTTCATAATCTGTCGTAGTTTTGATGACTGATGATAAAACTGTTCTCTGAGTTTGAAAAACTCATTTATATTAGATCTTATTTCTTTCGGTGTGATAAACGTTCCCAAAACATCGGTTGACTTAAAGAAACTTGAGAATAAGTCTGCAATAGCGTTACATGCGTTGGAAACGGGACACATGATTAATTTTGAAGGGGCCAAAATACTTCAGAAAGGTTTCAACACTCACAAAGAAAGATTGACAGCAGAAGCGCTGTATATATGGGCGAATAAGAACAGCCTAAACAGAAAGGATGGTATTCAGCTAGCTACCACTTGGCAAATATTCTTCAGCAAGTAATTTGACCTTTTCTTTTATTCAACCTGTTTACTTCACATGAATCGTTATTATGACTGAAATCAATATGAGTTATGTTTAACATTACAATTTATGTACTTGATGATTCTCATTTTATTTGCAACTTCGATGATTCAGAAAGGAGAAAAACTTTTCAACCTTCATTATGCACGTTTATTCCTATTTTACTTCACATAGAAACATATCAACACTGAATATCATTCATCATTAATAACTCATCTTACACATACATACATACACACAATTTATGCAGTCTCGTTTAATTCACATCGTTGAACTTTTCACTTGATTCTCATTCAACTGTCTCATATTATCCTGTTGTACAAAAACTTCGACATCCAAATATGATTGGATTAAAAAGTAGTAGAGATTTTGATATGATTGTAAAAACACTATATATTTCTTTGATGTTTTTGAATTTGATTATTTCCCTGAAGACGTCGAGACAAGTTAGCTGGACGAAACGTTGGAATTATTTAAATTTCAATGGCTGAGACTATTTCAAATATAATTATTTCACATATACTGAATTCTCTATACTCGGCGCCCAATTATTGTCAAACTATTCGTTCAAATCTTGACGAATATTCGTATAAATTATTACAAAATAGTTTTACTCGTTATTCTGCAGGTTCAGACCTCGTAGGGCTTGTTCTTCTTCTTTCAGTGCATTCACTCTTTGTTGCCCTGCAATGAGAAATACAAACTCACATTATTAATGTTGCATGTAATGATTTTTATTACCGTAACATTTGGGAGGTTTAATTTTCCCTCTCAACAACATCTTTCAATGAGAACTGATTGTTAGAATTTTAAAACAAATGATGAACGGCTTTCCCTATCGACCTGGATTCGATTCATTATTGTTCATAACTGTGTGGTGGTTATCTGCATCTTTGTTTATTTTCTTGCCTGACCTGATTTCTGACCCTATAATTATTATTTATTATTATTACTGGCTGATAGATTTATTTATGCTCATCCAGTTCTACCTGCCTTAAATTGTGCTATTTCGTTAATTCCTAGCTAGTATATTATTTCCAATACTTCTGACTATCATAATGGCATCGCAATGGAGCCTGTGATTGAACAGTTGGACATACATTCAAATTCTGAAGCTTTTGACGATCATATGGAAAAGTTTGAGATCTGTAGTATGATCAGAAAAGATATTAAGGATGATAAAATTGTGACCAGTTTCCTCACATTCATCAGAAATGATGCCTACAACTCAATAAAATCTTTGGCATTTCCAGATAATCCTATTTCACTCTCCTACTCACCTCTCAAAGAACTATTACTAAATCATGTAACGTGTACTTATTTCGAATGCTGTGAAAAAGTAAAATTCCATAAAATTATTCGTCAGAACAACCAGAAGATTGGAAAATGTGTCCTTAAATAGCAGAAACAATCGATCAAGTGTAATTTAGGTGATCGACCTTATGTCCAGCAGCATAGCCGATTAACTGAAGGAATTAACACACGATATCTAGAAAGACAGCTTACACAAGTGCCGAATTGTCCCTTCCAAAACTCTAGGACTATGTGCATTAATTATGAGGCACCGCATGAAACTGACTTCGACTACATTAAGAATTCTACTACATTACTTAGTTATCATAATCCAATGAGTACTCAAGGTCGTTTGATTATTAATTATCCTCGTTATCGGGAAAACATGGATAACAGATCATTGAGGAGCTGAAAAGCAGGTTACGGCCGTGAACACTGGTTTGGCAAATGTTAACCTTGTGGCAAATCTCACTTATGTAATCCTCGTGCCTTTCGTCATTTCAAATGTTTTAAGTGTGGTTAAATGGCACACATCCAGTCGGTTTGTAGAACTACTGTTCATTTCGCCGCAAGTAATACTTAATTTTGTAATTAGAATCCTATTGATTTGAGTGATTCTAATAATCATATAATATACCTAATTTCAACTTTCGGCAATTCACTTCATATGCAAAAACGGTTAGATTTGTCCAGTGGCGCTATACACTATTTCGTTGTTCATATTTATAGTATCGAATCCATCATTTCAATTGCTGCTTTAAAGTCACTGAATACATATTCCACAACTAAGCCTACCAGAGTTTCTATTGCGAGTATTAGTAGTCATGAATTTCTTATTTTCAGGTATTGTAATTTGCTCATTAAGGACGATATATCTGTAATCCTAAATAGTTGTGGTGGACCAAAAATTATATTATTATTGACTTTATTCCATATATTTCTGGTACAATATATAATCATCAGCACAAAGTATTTCGGCGAGACTATCAATTATGAACGATCCAGTCAGAAGCGTTTGAGGGATTTCGAGGTCACAGCGCCAATTTCAGTACTTGATGCTCATGTACGATCGGTTCATGGAGGATTTTAGAGAAGACATGACAATTAAGCGGCTACAATAAACGAGTTTACTAAGAGGTTCCTTTATTTGTAGTCGCGGTAATTAAATGACTTGTAGAACATGTGCAGATTACCGTGATGTTATCCTTCAATGAAACCTATGTTGAAGGAAGATGTTTTCTAGAATAGGAACCTTCTTCGGTCGATTCAAATTGAGACAAAGGCATATTATTATAATTGCTGCAATAATCGCAGATATTACTGAAACTTAAACTGTTCAGTGGTATGAGTGTTGTAGGGACACATCCATAATAGAAATGATAAACTTACACAACCCGAGTACACACAACAATATTGAAGCTATGTGGTTGGGGCTGAAAGGGTTTTTATGACCTTATCACGGCTTCAGAGACTGATTGTTATGGAGCCAATATGGATGAGTTTCTCTATCTTATTTATTACGATTTTAGAACCTTTGGACCTATTTCTAACCTTTACAAGTTGTTGTACCATATAAAAGAAGTGTATCTCATTGAATTCTTAAGCCTTGTATAATATATTTCTACTATATGCTGACTGTTTACTGACTAACTAATATTTCTCAGGGTCATCTAAGATTCGTTCAAAGGTCGTCCATAAATTATAAACTCGCCATTAGCAGTTCAGTCAAACCACATCTAAATAAGTTACATTCTTTTCACTACATATTGCCAGCAACCACGATATTTTTAATTAGGCCTTTTATGACCTTTAGAGCTAAAGGTTGTACACTAATCAGCAATGCAGTAGAATATGTTGTCCAGTTAATTGATACTATGATCAGTTGAAACAAACAAAAGACAGATAACTTGTTGAAATATCCAGCTGACAGAAAAAGACGTAACTCAGATGTTTAAGCAGGCCGCTAATAACATGAACTCAGAAACGACAATAAAGTTACTACATCAAGATATTAACGTTATAATATATCAATTATAATATATAAACACAAAGAAAAGTTATGTGACGTTACTCAAGTCAGTAGGCTTCGACGTGTTTGAGCTGCATTTGGCACCATAATCCGCAATCATAGGTAACTAATGATTCCAATAGGGTTATTGTAATTCCAGAGATTTAGCCAGATGTAGTATATTATGGAAACATGGCTGTTGCCTGTAAATGTAGATAAAAGGTATTCTATAGTTCAATTATCACAATCACGGGCAATTGGGAACGAGAGACGTGCATGTAACAGTGTATTTACGAGCGGTTAGCAGAGTGTGTCATGCTATGAGCGATTCAAAACGGAAGAGAGAGAGAGTTTAAGGTCATGCACCTAAACAACTTTGACAATCATTTGTGATAAATATACAAACTATGAAAAATGACAAAGTAAATGCAAATAATATCGAAAACTGTTTACAGAAATTATTTGTGTGAAGAATTATACACTAATCTAAAGCACCTTCATTCTGATGTGTAATCAAGAAATGTGCAATTGGTTATGGGGATCTGAATTTGCATTAAAGATGTGGCATTTGTGGTATTTGTACCAATTGATGATTCCTTATAATTGAGTGCGCTCTCATTACAAATTTTCAATGTAGTTCATCTAGTTGTGCTCTTCTGGTTCTACCCGCCTTAAATCGAATTATTTTGAGAATTCTTAGTAAATTAATTCGAATGATTATAATATTCATGAATTGATTCGACTGTTGATTGATTCTTAAGCAGGGTCTCAGATTTTTAAATTCATTAGCTTACCTTGTGTTTTATCTGTCCTCAATATCAGTATCATTCAAGGTGAACTTGTGCCCAGAGATGTTCACATTTGTTAGAACATACAAGGCTATGCCGTGGCTATCATCAGCCAACTGTTCTTACGCATGCTAGAACTAGAACTTATCAATAGATATCTCTTAGTCTCTTCCCAACTCTTATTATATTTCTTGACAATTTTCCTATCAATCTCTATAGGCTTATAGTGGCTTCGTTTCTCAGTCACCCTGATGACCGTTACTAAACAAAACCCAACAGTGTATGAATTCAGGATGCAACACAAAGTTCAGACGTCATTTTGTTGTTGGATGGCGCAGATAGAAAATTACAACCACACCAAGAGGATCTGAGCAGAAAAGCTAATGTGCGCAAGCAAGCAAATACGGAGTCGTATTCAGAGTCCAGTCGAATCAATCAATAAGATTCAAGCTCGTATATATATGGGACAACGAACTATGTCTCAGGTGATATTTAAGCGACTGGTGTTTGAGGTAGAGTGAAGAATATGTGCGTAGACTGTCACGTGTGATTAAACATACATGTTCACACAGACATGATAGTAATAATAATGATACAAAGCAAATACAAATTGTTACTATTCGAAAAACACTGTCTGTTAAAAACGTCAACAGAAGGGCTCCAGAAAATTGATTGTAGGGAGATGCTATAGGCTTATACTATGTGGAAAGGTTTTTTCTTACCCACTATCCTCTGTAGATCATCTAACAAGATAAGCTAATGCAAAAGTATTAAAGGATGTTACCCTCAAAAGTATTACACGAACTTTTATCTAACGATGAATTATAAACTTTGGTTTCCCATCAACTAACACGACGGACTGTTAGCCGGAATTCAAACTTGTGTTCCTCAATTTATTTTAGCCCGTTGCCTTGGTAAGCTCATAGACCATCGAAAGGGATCTCTGTGTACCTCAGTCCTAATATCTCCTTCTTAATCTTTGATAAGTGCTATTTATGATCAAGGAGTCTGATTCATATTCCGGGCACCGTGCATTCTCTTGTCCCACACTTGTCTTTTTATCCTGACGTTACCAAGCTATGCGTCGCCTTTTAGTTCACATTGATAGTTTGTGACCATTTAACCCTATCCATCCCCAGCACTTTATATAGACAGATGTATTTGAATATTTGTGCTTCTTATGATGGTTGTCCCAGTTCTCCTCGCTTTAGCTCAGTAAAATAGAATAGTCCGGACAGTGGTGTTAAAACTATCGAATTTGGTCCAAAGTAACACGCCCTTTATGTTCCAGATATTCCGCAACCATATAGATTTTACATTTGCTTTATCTGTTTGTGCCTTCAAATCTTCCACAAACTCTAACTGTTTATGGATGTTGATCCCTATGTATGTAAAGCTTTCTACTTCCCTAGTGTTTCGTCATCAAGAGCGACTAAGGTAGTGATTTCTGCGTTGTACCTCAAAAGTTTTGGTTTTTCTCACTAATTCTGGTTCAGTTATTTTTGTGTGTGAAACAGAATCACTAGATTGTCCACAGAGTCCAAATAATTTAAGTGAGTTCAAGGTATTCAAAATCTCACACTTAAATAGGAGAATGAACAGCCTTCCCCCACATTATTGTCCACTCAAAATGGGTCTATGAGTTAAAATCTAAGAAAACTTTCGAAGCGTACTTCACAACAGTAGTTTAATATGATAATGACGAATTTTTCATGTGCTCGGTGATGTTGAGATACAATTAACGATGTTTCCCACCCACATTATCCAAGGGTTTCTCGTAAATGAGAAAGTTTATATGTGGTGATGAGTTCCGTTCAGTCGAATGTAGAAGGATGATCTGCAGTATCACAACTTGGTCTGTATGTGATCGATCCTTAGAAAATCCAAATTGCTTATATAGAATTCGGGCATCTGATGAATATTCCATTGTGTTCAGCAACATTGCTAAAAACGTTGTCTGGAAGAGATATTAATGTGACCAATGACGTTTACCATACAGTTTTGTTAAAGAGTTCGGAACCCTAGGACTTTCGTGGCCAATATTTAGTGAGTCTGATACAAGATACAAAACTCTAATGAGAAAAAACCTGAAAATTGCTTTCAGGTTACAATCTTCTGCCTAAAAGTTGGTATGAATAATTATCCATACAACTCTGAAATTTCAAAGTTTACTATCCACAGGACGGTTCGATAAGTTAGACATCCTTACGTAAAAGATTAGTAGACGATCTAATTTAGATGTATAAAATATTAGACGGTTTCAAACCAAGAATGTACTTATTTTCTCTCCCTGTTAAGCGAAGACATCTTAGAGGACAAAGTTAGCTAGTTCAAATTTCAAGAACTGACGAAAAACTCATAAGATACAGTTTTATCCATAGAATTATCCATTCTCGGAATCATTGTATGTTTTCTTCAAAAATACAACTGTCCATGTTGATAGATAATTGGTGATCCCACAAACATTCAGAGTTTAACAACACTTTAACCAGTGACAGCGTTTATGATGGAAAAGCGCTAGCACAGCGTCTATCGCAATACTAATGGGTGTTTTGGTGTCCTGGCGTGTGAGCAAAGTTGATTTGGCGATAAGTTCCATAATCTTTGAGAACGCTTTCCTTGCAATGTCGCTCAAATTGATAGATTTCGTATATTCAAGAAGTTGGGAGGTTAAAGGTCTCATAAAGGACGCATAATTCGGTGTGAACCGGTGATGGAAACTTACTAAGGCAATGGACGTGCATAGTTGCTTGATGGTGGTCGATTTTAGGTCATTCGGAATGGCCGCCACATTATTTCTAAGAGGTCGGATGCCTTGAGTATCATTAGTGTGTGCGAGAAAATTTAGTGAGTCGATGTTGATTTGACATTTCTGAATGTTTTAAGTACCGCCGCGTTTCGCAGTCTTTCAAAGACAAGTTCCAGGTGCTGGAGATGAGATTCAGTGGATGGGTTTGCGTAAACCCACGAGAAGATAAACACATCGCTTACCAAATGTGGTGATCGGCTTCTCATTTGCAACCTATAAGTCGTAAACTGCTTTTTGCAGTCAGTAGTTAGAATTCTCAGGAAGAACTCTAACATCTGTGGCGGTGTCGAACCTTCGCCATCACATCAGTGACGTATAATAGACGGCTGAACTCGCCAGCTGTGGTCGCCGTTAACATGTGCCGATTGGGAAGTTTCAAGAAAATTTTTCGTGTCGGTCGATTTTTAGCTCGGAAACTTGCAAGGTTCTCCAAAAGTTTGAGATTCCCCGTACTCGTTATAACACCAGTGCCAATCAGGGTTACCAGCTTTTCATGACCTAGAGACATGTCGCTTTTGTGAAGTACTCTGTCGAAGAATTTGGGATCGTTTACGGTCATTGCGAATACTAAGGTAACGTGTCGGAGTATGACGGGGTCCCACAGTCCAAACACGCCCTCGGCAATCGTCCGTTGCCCAACGTCCTCTCCCATTCACAGCAACGTGTCTGTTTCTGAGTCATGTTGTAGATTGATGTCGTTGAAAAGTCGGTTTAACTGTTGTCGGTCGGTTACATCTCTACGCATAAGAATAGATCTTTTTAGAGTTTCGTTAGGTACCGAGACATCACTAGTGAACATATTTAGTGTGGCGTACCCTTTAAAATCGTGCGGCAGCGCCTTCACTTCTGCTAGGAATTGTGCATATGAGTCTGTCACGAAGTTCTCGTGCAAGTTATCCCCTGCGTAGCGGAACCATACTTCGATGTTGTCGGGCCAAAATGACATTAGCTAAAGTTCTGGTGGCGAAAAAGTCTTAACCCTACATAATTTAGGAGTCTGTTCGGTCATGATGAATATAAAGTATAACAATAAACGAGAAAAAAATATACAAAAATACTGCAAAGATATCGCATTACGTAAAAATTAAAGCAAATTATTGATACGTAAAGTTCCAAAAAAGAGCAGACACAGTTTACAAATTGGTGTACCAGATCACGTCGCCCTCATCACTAATGATGCCACAAGTATTTGGAGTTTGACAATACCTTAACTAGTAACACCTTTCATGATCGAAATGTGCCAACCCAGTGCAATCAAAAGTCACAAGTGGAGAGGTTTGATGACATATTTGGTAAGCTATTGATTTATCGTTAAGTGATTGATGCAATCTGGCTTGCGGTTGCACCAGATGTGTAGCATGGTGTACTTACTCATGTTCTGGTGCGGATGCGTGGTCGAGCGCCTACAGCCAGGTGAGCTCAGCAAAATTATTGCGGTCAGCATCGAATGTCGAACACTTACAAAAGTATTGACTTTGGGAAATTTTTAGCGCTACATAGTTAACGTGACTTCTCACACCTCAGATCCACTTAGGAATACATAAATTTAGTTATCTTAACACACCTTTGTTACACATCACATTTCTCGCACACAATAATGCAAATATCTACTTCAAACATTGTTAACATTATTATGTACTGACTGTAGATATACCTTCTACTCCTTCAAAGGAGTCAGACGTTGGAATTCGCTGCTGGTTAAGTTAGTCCAGGCGAATCCACAGGAGTCTTTTAAGAGAAAACTTAATATATTCTTATTGATCCACTGAGACTAGATACGCAAGCCCGTTAAGCAAAAGCTCCGTCTATTCATAACCATTTGAACCATTTTATTTAGCATGTAATTGCCCAAAGAACCATGTACCTATTTATATTTGATGATTTTTATGTTTCATTGTATTCCCTTGAAAAATCTGTAGTGGATGTCGAGTCGAAGACGGACTATGATCACCACTACAATTCGTTTACGCACCCAAAAACGACTTGGTTCCTTTAATAGCTCGTAAATCAGAAAGCTATATTAATCCAGATCAAGTATATTTATTGGCGATCTCGTGGTATCGAAATAATACCGAGACGTGCCAAAGAGTACAGGCAAAATGAGCAGTGCATGAGCAAGTTCGAACCAAACAAGGGGGAGAGCGAAAGCAGAAGTGAAACTGATACAGTTAAACAAATACAGTAAAACAATCTCTGGTACAATTGGTTACAATGATAATAATTGTTTCTGTTATTCCAATCGTGTTCTTATCGAGACTGGCCGGTCACTACAAATCTTGAAGCAGATCGCTGAGAGAAACGTTGGATTTACTTAACATATGCTCGCTGTGATACTACAAATATACTGTTCCTCTTTAGTGTCTTATATTAACTTGGCGCCCGAATACTGAGAAACTATTCTTTCAAATGTAGACGAAAGTTCTTATACACATTTCCAATAGAAGCAATATACAACTTTTATAGACTCATTCAAGAGGGGGGACCAAAAACTATAATAATCTCACTAAGGAACGATCAACACGGCGTTAACCTTTCGTTCTTAATGTACAAACTTGGATCAATTGAAAATTGAACTGCTTGTTATAAGGTTCCACCCTGATAACCAGACGGCGGTCTGAGGTTTTTTCTGCGGGTTTGTGGTTCTGTTTATTTTGTTCATTGGTGTATTCTTACGTAATATATGACATTGGAATTTCTTAAAGCTACAGTTTCAAGGGATGGACGATTTTTGGTTTGACATTAACACCTCGGCTTATCACTGAACAGTGCTATCTCGACTAGATAACATTTGGTATTGTCATCCTTGATCACCGATTCATCCAGATGGTTTCTGTCTTAGTAAAGACAAGTGACAATTTTTCGACATATTAATTGTTTATGACATTCGTTGACATTGCAGATGACTATTATAGCCTTATCAATTTCGCCTGGGTCGTCTCAACATAAACTTTGTAAACAAGACGAATAATTCTAGCTACTCTGCTTATCTCCACTTAGATGTGTCATCGTTTTAGTCAATATGTAAATAGATGATTGATTTCCTTTTTGTCCTTCGGATATTTATTTTCCTTTCGAAGTCTTGATTTTGTAATAACACCCTGTGAGTGAAATAGTTCAAGGAATTTCTATGATGATAGACTACCTATTGGAGAAGTTGTGGTTTCATGTAGGTTTTGAAACCGTGAATTTTTGAGAGCTCGTAACTCAAACTGCCAATTAGGGACTTCCATGAATAATTAGTGACTCGAATCATTTGCCGAAATGATTGTATTATAATCAGGTTAAAAGTACGTTAATGTCAGCTCCCCAAGCTGAAGTAGTTAGGGCATGGTTCAAACATGTGAGCGAGTAGTTTCAAGTTGCGTTTCAACCGTTAGTCAGTCGTATTTCACTTAGTGCGAGGTGCTGTTCTGTTCCTATTAAGGTCTTAACTCCCTCTTGAATCAAATATTACAAGTACGAGCAACTACTGACCGGTCATAAATGACATCCATTGACCATTTTAACGCATTAAAAAATCTATTACAATTCAGTTTTGGACTGCGACCATATGAGGACTTGTCAAGAATGAAAATCCTCCTCACTCTAAGCCATGCTGAGGTATTTGGGGCAGTTCTTTATTCTTGTAAATCGTGATCTTTCGTATCTAAAAAATGTTACGTGACTTTCTGTCTTTACCTTGCTATGGTAATATACTTACATTCACTTGAGCTGACCCGTCGTTTTGGCCATGCTTTATGTTGATTATGACCAATCATCTTTCCTAAAGGATTGTTCACATCAGGTGAAACCACTTTGTGGGTAACCCACAGGTCTTGGTCATGTTTGCACTACGATCTCAACCATTCCTATCACCCTGGAACACCGGCTTTGGTGTCTTGAAGATGTTTTTTCATTGATGTCTCAGCTGCTATGCTCCACATTTATCAATACTGATACTGGGTCAACTTATGATATGGGACAAGGAAATGTGATATAACTGTACGGGGCTGGTATATGTTGCTTAGTGACGATCCTCTGGACGTAGTCTTGAAAAGCATATAACTCATTTTATCAGATACAACTGAAAGTAAAGGCCAGTTTCCTATGATACCTATCTGTTTTCTTCACTAAACAAGATCTTCCTCGATTTTGTTAATCAAGTCGTCTCTCAATTACTACTTTTATTGCTATTATTATTATCATCGAAAATTCACTTCTCCCTAGTGTTGGCATTTCTACTTTGTGCGGCACATTTCCCCTTTCTCTAGCGTACCAAAATTTTCGTGATTAACCGTGATTCTGATATATATATATATATATATATATATATATATATATACTTACCACAAAACTTACTTCCTGACTAATTGAACAACCCAGGACTAACGTGGCTTTCGCTGTGGTTACAGCACTCAACTTCAACTGCTATACCTCGGGTCCAAACGCCGCTCTTTATTTCTTGTTTGACCTGCTAAGTAGTACCATTAGTCCTCATACAAACAACATAGTCCATGTCCGAATACGAAAACACTCATATTATAAATGAATTATATTTAATTGGTACTTTCATATATTGAGTAAAGCAATTGTACTAGTCTCAAAATTTCACGCTTCTTTTGCATTGGTGATAATCCGCAAGTGTGTTTCAAATGGATAATCTACTTTTCTAAATTCTTAGTGTTTAATAACTGAAAGGCTCTTATTTAGACTAACAAGAGTTTATGAATCCGTTTAGTTATAAATTTTCTTTTTTAGCCTATTATGAATCAGTTTGGTCATCAGTATAATGTCCAACCACCACCTACATTTTATACAAGTGATATGAATTCATTTGGTAAGAATATTCTTTCGTTTTGTATGATGCATAAATAATTGTGTTTTACTTTGACCTTAAATAAGGATCGGTTTTAGGATCTTTAAACACCTGTGAGTTGTCTGTAAAATGAAGTAATTGCCTAATCGGTCAACCAGAGACTATACATTTGACATTGATGCATGTGCTAGGTATTTTAAATATAAAACCCTCTCGTAATTTTGTTTACGGTTAAATTAGATTTCCTATCTTTATTTGTTTGTAATATTTTGACTCGTACTTTATTGGTTTCCTCTAACTGTGCTCGTATGAAGTGTAGTAACTTGGGCCGATACACGTACTTTGTCTTACGTTGTGACTCACTGACTACTATGTTGTCTACTCTCAACACTCTCATGAGATAACCTTTAAGGTTTGACGACTTAAAGACTGCAAGCTCTTGATTGTCCATAGCTAAACAGCTTTAATGGCGTTTCAAAATTAGTGAAAGCAGGTGTAGAAATTGTTGTTACGATCTTGTACGCCTAGATACCACCAACTTTGAGATATTATACTAACAGGAGCAGAGTTATGAGGGCATCGTACTAGTCAGTAGTGACGCTTGCTCATGGAAATATGAATCTGGTGGCTACTATGTTATAAGCAGCAAAATAAAACGTCCGTGCCTCAGTCGGTTAGAAACCAGTTTCAGTCACGTTAATTCATTCGTATTATGTAGTTTATATTTTCACATCCATTTATCATTGTAAAGAAAATGTGCTTCAATTAGAAGTTTTCTAAACGTAATTATTCCTGATATCACAGGACTGGATAACGGATTTTTGGATTATTCAGATTTGTCTTACTGAGGTGTGGTAGGTGTAAAATGTGATTAGTCAACGTAGATAAGCAGGCATACTTACGCCTGTTACCCCTCGTCAAGGAGCACAGGCCACCCACCAGTACTCTCCAGCCAACTCTGTACTGGGCAATCATTTCCAGTTGCTATTCATCATTTTGATGTCTGCTTACAATTCTTGATACAATGTGTTTATCGTCTAAGTAGGCACAGCTTACCGACTACTAAAAATATGATTTCCTTGCCTGTTATTGATTTCTACCCCGGACTCACTGAGAACGACTTGTGTGTTGAATAAAGTATTATCTAGCATTACTTTTGTTCTTCATTTTCGGTCGTGAATCGTGATCTAGTCTGTGCATAGCATATCGATCAGATATCTAGTCTAGCGGTAGTATACCGTGACGAGAAAAATATTTCAGATCATCCGTTATATTACTTACCACCACTCAAGTCACTTATGTCTTTTAGTTCAATTACGTTTCTCATGTACTATTTAGCTTTTTAACGAGGTGTATTATTCAGAAAATTGGTAAGAGTTCTTTATTCGGTTAAAATGATAACCCACACTGTCTTTATTATCATTATTATTTGAACACAAATATTGTTACAACGGGACACCAGATATATATATGCCCCACAAGAAATTGTCATTCTATTTAATTGTGTGAGGGCTATGATACTGCCCGGGTGCCCAAACCGAAGCAGGTGGTTTTTAAGGGGGCCACACCCCGAGCCTTTGACCAAAAGGTCTGATCCACAAGGCAGTGGAGCATCGTGAGGAGATACAGTCCCATGGTAGCCGTTGACCAATGACAGGTTTGTCCGCCATTCGTTCCCTCAGGATACTGGAGCCCATGTGAACCACTGGTTTGGAATCAGGGTTTTGCAACTCCCCTACGTGGTCTGTCCGTGTCCACCAACCCGGTTAAAGCGCCGGGCATTCGCTTTTCGTCCTCTGAATTTCGTAAACGATACCCATGATGCGAGAAGGCAGTGAGTATGACTTCCCTTGCAGAGGCCATATACGCGTGGCCATGTGAAAACATTTCGAGAGGGAGGACGGAACCTCCCCACTCGGCTGTACCAGGGCATTATGGAGCACTGTCCAATTGTTTGTTATATATTCACGACCAACTATTTGGTTTATAATAACTATATAGTAAGGAAAAACATATTAATCAATTTAGCTCTGTGAGATTGGTTAAATACCTTTTTTTTCTTAGGTTTATACTGAGCTTTTTTATTCTTTTCAACTTTGTAGGAAATGCTGTTCAAAGACCTGAACACAGGCCTTTTAGTTTTGAAGTTCCACCTCAGGATTTTCAGTCTACACCACCTCTTCGAAGTGACAGTGGATATTCGCTTTGTCCCTCACAGTATTACAGCAGACCTGGGATAGTACCTTCCACAGACGAAACTTGTGTTAATTTCACAGAACAACTACCGACAACCTCCGAAGTCAATGAAAATCGCAACGTAATGCTTGATTATCAGAATCAGTTTGGCCTTCGTGTCCCTCCTGAGATTCCTAGTTGGATGACTTTAAATTCCTCGGCTAATCACTTCTACACTGATATTCAAAAATACACTTCACAACCTAATCCAACACCCCAGTCGGTATACACTGGGATTCCAGTTCATTACAATAGAACTCCTGAAAACTCTACGTTTCAAAATCGTGGGCGTGTTAGAACTCCTGGTCCTTTCAAGGGAAATAGAGGAAGTAAGGTTTTGTGCATTAACAATAATCGGATTTGAATCGACTAAAATTTAGTGTTTTATCTTAAACTTGTTTAACTTTGATGCGTGCAATGACTTTTTGGGATGCCTAATGCATCCTCATTAACCTAATTCCCACATAATTTCGTGATATTCAGTGGCTTGATATTCTAACTCGTCAATTTATTGATAAAATAATTATAGGCTGAAAAATAGCATCAAATTTTATAACAAATAGTGTAGAATAATTAACCTTCACATAGTTTGTCTCAAAAGATCGTCTGTTTGTTATAAATTGCCACTAATAATATGTCGCCAAATAATATAAATTGCCCAAATATTACGTATTGCGATAGGACTACACGAAATTCTACTGATTGACCAAATTCAGATATCCTAGTTCGACCCCAATACTGTTCCCCAACTCCAATAAATCAGAACACAGCCGTTAAATGAGAATTGTTTATGGGGTCAGCAGCAGAACAAAAATGGTTTACAGATAAGGCATATTTATACAGTTGAGATGATTATTAACAGTAACCAATGGAAAGGAAGGACACGTAAAGGTTGTAATTAGGACAACTCAAAATTGACCAATAGGAAAACGACGCGTGAAAGTCATAGTTAGGACAACTGTAAATAATGACCAATAGGAAATAACATGTAAAATATGTGAAGAGTCTGAAAACATACGACTTTACTTTGAGATAATTTTGATATATTCCTGTGAATATCCTAACACTGTTGTATTAATTGTTTACACAAATCATGTTTAATTCTCTTTCGACAGTATCGTCAATAGAATTCATCATTTCATTTATTTGTGTGTGGGCTGTGATACTGCCCGGGTGCCCAAACCGAAACAGGTGGTTTTCTTAGGGGGCCACACCCCGAGCCTTTGACCAAAAGGTCTGATCCACAAGGCAGTGGAGCATCGTGAGGAGATACAGTCCCATGGTAGCCGTTGACCAATGACAGGTTTGTCCGCCATTCGTTCCATCAGGATACTGGAGCCCATGTGAACCACTGGTTTGGAATCAGGGTTTTCCAACTCCCCTAGGTGGACCCTCCGTGTCCACCAACCCGGTTAAAGCGCCGGGCATTCGCTTTTCGTCCTCTGAATTTCGTAAACGATACCCATGATGCGAGAAGGCAGTGAGTATGACTTCCCTGGCAGAGGCTAGATATTCGCTGGCCATGTGAGAGCATTTCGAGATGGAGAGTAGACTCTCCCCACTCTCGGCCGTACCAGGGCATTTGGGGTTGAGGATGTTAGACGACTCTCTGTGTTCGATCATCGTTGTCTTCGAAGGATTGCTGACATCCAGTGGCAACAGCATGTTAGTAATGCAGAGGTTCGGCATCGTGTGTTCGGGTGCAGAGACGATAATTCAATTGGTGTCACCATCTTGAGTTTGACCATAAACGAAGGCTGTTACGTAATGAAATCGGGCAAAGCTTGCGTAAGGACCGGGAAGCCTGGTGGCCGGAGCGTGCTAATGAGATGGAAGCAGCAGCTGCATCTGGTAACTGCCGGAAGCTCTTCCAACTCATCCGAGCCACTGGCAGCAAGAAGTCTGATGTGAGTGAAACAATCTACGATGATGATGGGATGCCAATCACTAATATCTCTCGACGTCTTGGACGATGGGCGGAATTCTTCGAAGGGCAGTTCAACTGGCCTGCTGCTCCGGCAACATCAACCAGCTTGTCCTGCCCCCCATGGCCGGTGACGACTGATCCACCAAACGAGGCGGAAGTCCGCGAGGAACTCCAACTCTTGAAACGTTACAAATCACCGGGCCCAGATGACTTACCTCCGGCTCTTTTCAAAGATGGTGGTGACCTTCCGACTAAGGAATTGACTGTGTTGTTTGGAAAGGTTTGGGAACAAGAAAGTGTTCCAACATCATGGAATGAGTCGATAGTCGTCCCTATCTTTAAAAAGGGTTCACGTTGTTCCTGCAATAACTATCGGGGGATAAGTCTACTTTCGATTGCGTCCAAACTATTGGCTTCTATCATTCTTCGTAGGTTGTTTAAAACCCGAGAACGATTGACTCTAGAGGAGCAGGCTGGTTTTCGTTGTGGTGGAGGATGCATTGATCACATCTTCACCCACCGCCAAATGTTAGAACACAGTCATACTTATCGCAGCCCAACAATCGTAGTGTTTCTTGATATCAGGGCTGCCTTCGATTCGTCGGACAGGACTGTTCTCTGGGATTGTCTATTGAAGAAGGGTGTGCCTGAGAAGTTCATTAACATCTTAAAGGCCTTGTATACGAACACCTCAGGCAGAATGAGGGCATACAACCACCTTTCTCCCTTGTTCCATTCGAGCAGTGGGGTTAGGCAGGGTTGCCCGATCTCACAATTCCTCTTCAACTTTGCCATCGATGACATCCTGGAGACAGCTCTGATGGATGTAAGTAATGGCGGTGTGGATATGTTGCCTGGAGAACGACTTCTCGACCTCGAGTATGCGGATGATATTGTCTTACTGTGCGATAATGCACAAGGCATGCAATCCGCACTTAACCAGTTGGCAATCAGTGTCCGCAGGTACGGCATGTGCTTTGCACCCTCCAAGTGCAAAGTACTCCTACAAGACTGGCAGGATTCTAATCCTGTACTCACCTTGGATGGTGAGCAGATTGAAGTAGTTGAGAAGTTCGTGTATCTAGGTAGCTATATAAGTGCTGGTGGTGGCGTGAGTGATGAGATTGATGCACGTATAATGAAAGCCAGAGCGGCTTATGCCAATCTGGGCCATCTTTGGCGCCTTCGCGATGTTAGTCTGGCTGTAAAAGGTCGGATCTACAACGCGTCGGTGAGAGCAGTTTTGCTCTATGCTTGTGAAACCTGGCCTCTCCGAGTTGAGGATGTTAGACGTCTCTCTGTGTTCGATCATCGTTGTCTCCGAAGGATTGCTGACATCCAGTGACAACAGCATGTTAGTAATGCAGAGGTTCGGCATCGTGTGTTCGGGTGCAGAGACGATAATTCAATTGGTGTCACCATCTTGAAACACCGACTTCGGTGGCTTGAACATGTTTTACGAATGTCGTCCCAGAGACTTCCACATCGTGCATTATTTGCCGACCCTGGGACTGGTTGGAAAAAGCGGAGAGGAGGTCAGTGTATGACATGGTGTCGTGGCATGAAAGAAATCTGCAAAGGGCTAGCTTCTGTTGGTCCTTCACGACTCCCTGGCTGGGGTCCGAGAGATGGTGCAACACAGTGGTTAGAGACGTTATCAGATATGGCTCAGGATAGAAGCCAGTGGCGATCCTGCTGCAACCTTCTTCTACTTTCTACATAAAGAATGGTTGTAACTTTCTTAACTGAAAGAGTCTTCTGGTTGTACATTTCAGTCCGCCTTATCTTTTCATCCCTTCTCTTGCTACTTTCATTATTTTGTGTGGCGCATATGTACCTGGTGCCCTTTTGTACCAATATATATGTGTTTAAATAAATAAATAAATAATAAATACTCTTTCGACAAGATAAACATTTGATCGTGGTGTTGTTTTTAATAGGTCTTCGAAATCGCCCCAACCAAGGTACTCACGCTGGTAATACTACTAGTACGACTACAACTACAAAAGAACCATCAGTTTTTTACTGCGATATTTGTAAGGTTAGCTGTGCAGGTCCACTAGCCTTCAAAGACCATGAATCTGGTCAACGCCACAAAAAAAGATTGTCCCAGGTAAAATTGTACTATGAATACTGTTTGATTTATTCATTGTTTTTAATTGAATTGCTTTCTTAATGCAATGAAACATAAACGATTGTAAGCTATCATTCATATCAATTAGTTGTTTACAAGCTTCAAGATTTCTTGTTATCATTTCAATTGAATTTATCTTTTGCATTTACCTTCATATGTTCCGTGTTACAGGAATAACCCTCAAAAACCATAATTTAACCTATCTAGAATGTAATAAATAACATTCCCAACAGTCTGATATGCTACTATTGGAGATGTTAAATCGCTTAAAAACCACGCTTTATTTTTATTCTGTTGCTTGGATTTTTATTTTTTCGCGCCAAAACTCATGGAAACTATATTTTGTTTTTATCGTCATTAAATATAGTGATCCGTCGCTTATTTAGTAAGTTGATTTTTCACCATATTCTCAAGCTTTCTCTGAATATACCTACATACACGTACTGTCTTCTTTAATCAATCTTCGTGATATCCAGGTGCGTTAGCTAGTAGTTCTCACTGCCAAATTTAAAGCATTAGCTGTCAGGTCTCAATTCGTCGTCTTCTCAAGAATAAAATACTATGAATAGTTTATTTAATATCATTTTAACATTGGGTTGTTTTCTTGTTTTTATCATTTTCTCACTATTAGGTTGAAGCGATTGAAAAATTAAAACAAGAAGTCTCTAACGATGGGAATTCATCATTAATTATCAACTCGGCTTCACGAGAATTACGTTGTGAGCTTTGTGATGTTGGTTGCACTGGTGCTGACTCTTATACTGCTCATTTATCTGGTAGGCAGCATCAACGTACGCTCAAGTTACACAAGGAATTGGGGAAACCAATTCCAGAAACTGATGATCCTCTTGTACCAGCTATTGTGGCAGATATGATTGCCACTGCAGTTGACGATGCTAAACCAGGTGAGGATTTTTAGTCTTTCGCAAGTTTACGGTTATTTTCCCCCCATTTCTTTGGATCCGCTACTTCACAGTACTCATACAGTCATTGTTTAACTTAGATTGTTAAATTATACCTTCGTTTAAAATATTTGTTAAAAAACTCCAGGAGTTGAACTTTTACCGGGAGACCCACTTGTTGACTTAGAATACGCAAATGACATAGTTCTATTTGGTGAAGATGCTGATAAAATGCAGAGTCTTCTGACCACTATAAGCAACTATGCAGGCATGTTCGGGATGCAATTCTCTCCCTCGAAGTTCAAAATGCTGCTTCAGAATTGGGTTGCATCGACACCTGAACTAACGATAGGGAGTGAAGTAGTTGGGCATGTCGACAGCTTCACTTATCTTGGGAGTCTCATCAGCCCTTGTGGTCTGGTATGTGACGAAATCTCAGCACGGATACAGAAGGCTCGTCTAGCTTTCGCCAACTTGCGTCATTTATGGCGTAGGCAAGATATCCGTCTAGCAACCACAGGACAGGTTTACTGTGTAGCAGCTTGTTCCGTCCTACTTTATGGCAGTGAAACATGGCCGATAATAGTAAAGGATATTCGTAGGCTCCTAGTATTCGATCATAGGTGTCTTCGAAGCATTGCTCGTACATCCTGGGACCACCGGGTAAGTAATGCAGATGTTAGGAAACGGGTAGTAGGTAAGGATAGCAAATGGATTGATGAAGTAGTGAAACTTCATCAGTTGAGATGGCTGGGACACGTGTTACGTATGCCCGACCGCTGACTGCCCCGACGTGTTATGTTTTATGATGTAGGAGTAGGTTGGAAGAAAGCTAGGGGCGGTCCGACCAAAACGTGGCACAAATCCATGAAGTCACTGACAATTGGACTAAGCCATGCTGGTAGATGTAGACTACCTGGTTGGGATTCGCGAGATGATAGCAATCGTTGGTTAAAGACCTTGAATGGCATGAATCAAAATCGTTTGTAATGGCGAAGGCGCATCCACTCTTTGTGCTCTACCGAATTCTAATCTTCTGAATTCTTCATGTCCCTTTCTTTTTTTTGCTTTCCAAATTTATTTCACTCGATCATATTGCTTGAATAACATCTTCAACCTCTGATCTTTCCGACTACTGCTTGATTCATTATTGTTGATCATTTACTTTGATTAAATGAGACGAAACAGTGTACCATTGTCGATTTCATTTTCTAGTACTGCTGAAGTAAATTTCAGTTTTTACTGTGATTAACTTTAAATGGGTTACTTCTGCAAGTCTTGTTATTCCTTATCATTCATTACTACAGAATACGTTTTTTATCTTTACTACAGGTGAAGCGGATGAAAATAAAACAAATCCTACGGAAAACACGTTTATGAAGCATATTGATTTAAAACAACTTACTGGTCCTGAACTACCTGCTGTTGGACAAGAGTATTTAGAAACTGTAAGAGCTTATGTAATATAAATTATTATGCTTTTAATTATGTATTTTTTGAATGTATAGTTTAAAGTTAAATAAAATAAAACACTTTTAGATAATACCAAACTTCCACAGTTAACATGATTCATACAGATACGCGTACAGAAATGCTGCTTTCATCATGAAGTACATTCTTAATTTGACTTATGTTGCGTATCACCATCCACCGTCGACATCGACGTGTGATGACTTCCAGCGTTGGAGTATATTCAAAAGAATTTATGTGAGGCTGAACCAATACATGACATCAATTCACGAAGACGGTGATTACTAGACTTGGGTCATGTAGGTAAGCTCAGACTACGTCGTTGGGGTTCGCATAATTATCATTACCGACTGTTAGAGTATAGCAACTAGCTTTGTTATACTCCTGCACGATTTGTCCTTACTTTTGAACAGATAAAATATTCTCATCTTCCCAGTCATATATGCGACCTTGAGCATGTGTGTATAATTGTACGTATCTATCTGTATAGTTGTTCATATCTTTCATAGTTATAAATGTTGAATCACGTTTTAATTAAGTAGGCTGAATTGCCTTCCTTCATGTTTCACTTCTTACCGTTTATCTGCACAAATGAATGTCTGAAATAAGCTCTCTCAGTTTGGTTCGTATTCGGCTTTTATCACCGCTGTCACCCAAACGGGCTAAGTGGAAGACTTATATTATGTCGTTCGTTCCCTTTATGATTCCAAATAATCAGAAAATTGAACCTATAAGAGAGTTTGAATGGTATGGCTCAAAATCGTTCGCAATCGCTCAGGTGTATTCACTCTTTGTCTTTCTTTAGATCCTAAATTTTTAAATTACCATATAGTTTTTTCTATTATCGCACTAATCCGTATTTCCTTCTCGAATTTTATCCTTGATGCTTGATCCTTTTTTATTACCACTAATACGGTTACTACCTCTGTAATGAACGGAAACATAAGTGGGGACAATCAAATGTATTAGAATACAAAATTAGAGTTCTTTCGTAAAATGTAAAAACCATACGTCCAATACTTGTAAATCCTCCATCAATTGCTCCAAACTTCATCGTTCCTTTATTACCATAACAATCATTCTCTGTTCCCTTCGATTCGATCTTCACAACTTTCTACTGGGCATTCCACTTTTGACTGGCGTTATGTTCCACTTATGTCGATAACACACAGCACACCTCTACTACTCAGGAATTCGCCCATCTAGTTGTGCTAATGAGGTTGTGGTGTGACAACTTAAATGGATGCACACATGTGCCAGGTATCTGCATTGTGTATAACTGACTAACTAAATCGATAAAGGATATTGTAAAATGTTCACATACAAGACTGAAATTTCTGCAAACTATAAAGTCGTCAAGGGTTTGTTTGAATCTTTATTGGTCTTAAGAAAACTATCATAATTTGGTCTTTAAAATGTTAGGTTCTTGAGAGAACTTAGCCATGCAATTTTAGAAAATAGCATTTATTCCTTGTTTCTCCAGGTTAGTAAATCCTAATTTGTAATTCTGTCCTTTCTACTTTTTCTTGAATTTTCCTTTTTCACCGCCAAGCGATGTTGGGATATTCAATTTTCTGCGGTTAATTATTTAAAGAGACTGAGAAGCAAGCTATATAAAAGCTTATAAAATGTTTCGTAACAGAGCTAAGCACCAATCTTATTTGTCAAATTTTCCTAAATATCTTTACAAAAGATTTCAATTTGCCTGTTGCAATCGGTTACTTGTGTTTCGATAACAGCAATTATTTTCAGGAGAGATTTTTGTAATGGTAGTCTAAAAACTAATTGCAATGAAAACCTTCCTACAAAGTATGATAAACTTGTCTAAAAATTATGATAGTAGCCTTTTATTCTGTTCGTCTTTGGTTTGTCAAAATCACTTATTTCAAATCTTATTGAGGATAATATACTTTTATGGAAAATGGAACTTAAAACAAAGAGATATTGTTCATTATCTTTAACTTCTGGTTGCTATGTTCCCATCATTGGCTTAGGTACTTTGTTATTAGCTAGTGGATTGTGCATTCAGAACTCTATTTTACCTGTCAAGGTTTTAGGAAGTTAAATAATTCTATACATTTTCAGACAATAGATGTCAATTGAAAACACTAACCCCTTCTATAGTATGTGGTTAACTATACACTTTCGTAAAAGATCACAGTTTTTAAATATCCAGTTTCTATATGAGTAGTTCAGATTATCACAAGTCACTTGATATCAGATACTTTGGAGATTAAAATAAATATTTTCGTAATCTCCTACATCGTGCTTAAGTGTAGAAACGCACGTTTTTTTATTTGTCTCAATCTTAATGTTGTTTGGAAATAATTGTACTAAAGATATAATCTTTAAGTTGGTCGTCATAATTCACTTTACTGTTTTTCTCTCCTTTTCGAAAATTTTTCTCTCCAATCAGATTATTAATAGCAACAGCAAAACTGTTAAATATCGTTGCAAGTTATGTGATTGTGAATTTTCAAATCCAGATTCTCGTGAATGTCATTTACGTGGTCGTCGTCATCGTCAGCAATACAAAAAGAAAGTTGATCCATCGTTTATTGTCGATCCAAATCCAGGAAATCAACTTCGTCGAAAAGTAATAGCAGCTAAAGAAAAGAAGGCAAAACGTAACGAACCAGTGGGTCCATAGTTTTCTTTTATTAACAATATTTACTCTGTGTAGACCATTAGTATTTACTGCAAACCCTATCTTCCAGCGCGGTTGACGGGTACCTACTTCATACCCGACGTTATTGAACTTGGCTTTCCACTAGGACTCCGAGAATAAATTCTTAAAAACAGTCACCAATGAGCACATGATTATCATTATTATAAGGGATTTATGGGAAGCTTTGGGTTTCACAGTCTACATCACGGATTGATTGTACTTGAGGTTGTAGATAGGACACTGTTGGTTTCCGATTGTTGTTTGAGATCAATCCGTGATTTTAACAAGGAAATTCACAAATATCAATAAGTCTTTTATAACAGTATAATATTACTCATTCCAGTGTTAGTACTATACAGAAATAAACACTGATCACTTTGATATATTTAGTAAAAACGAATAGTTTACAACTATTCCTTACGTTTGTCAATTGTATATCATACAAATACATATTGCTTTGTTTCAAAGTTGGTAGGATTTTCCTAATGTATAAATTTTAATATATTTCGATGATTTTTAATCATGACGAAAAAAACACTAATATTCGAGATGTCATAAAATCTAATTAAACACTATACAGAGAATAGCAAAACAATCATGCCTGTTCAAATGTCAACATCGAGTCAAAGCCATTTATGTTGTATGGATTTAACTAATCGGATTACAAAAACGCATTGTTTACAACCAAATAAATAATTCACAAATAGGATTGAAGGTGTGGTTCTAGATTAATTGAGCACACGTAAAAGCTGGTCAATTAATCACTTACCTTTAAATATTTATAATCGGCCCCTTACAATTTATCGAAAGTGATCATATATTCAAACTATTTAAGAATAAAGTCAGTTGTCCATACCTTAATGATACTAAGATTGTGCGCCCTAAGTCTTGTCAAAAATATTTTGTACTTCAAAGTATTTTTTCGGTAACTTGGCTTATACTACTTCATTCATCCCTAGTTAGAAACAATATATTACATTAATTTTATACATTTTCAGAAACAAAATACTAGCAGTTTCCCCAGTTTCAGCACCTTGCGTAATAGCAATATGACCGGAAATTGTATGACTGGGATTCCATATGACCGTATTTCTGCACAAGTCCCTCGAATATACACTCCTCAAACTACTAATAAGTCTCTAGAAAGCAGGTACATCAGTTCTAAACATACGTCTTTGCTACCGACAGCTTGGGAAGTTCAGGTAATTACTTTTTTTACTAATAAACTACCGTTGTATATGATATATTAATTTTACGAAAATTTTCTTCATCCAAATTTCTACTTTTGTGTATTAGGTAGTTCTTAGTTCTGCTGGTCGGTCCATTGAAGTAGTCTTGTGTTTTTTCCATCTGTATATATATATATATATATATATATATATATATATATATATATATATATAGAGAGAGAGAGAGAGAGAGAGAGAGAAAGCTTTTCTGCTGAAATTTCAACTTTGTTTCAATATTTCTTGACGCTGATAAGCAGGCCATACTTAGACTTTCGAAACCAAGATCTCTTATCCAATTCCACTATCAAAGACTTTAATACTATGTAGAATAGTGCTAACACAGGCTTTCCTTTTTACAAGAAATAGTGTTCTTCACAAATACTGAAGTGTGGTTCTAACTGAGCTTCCTGTTAATTGTGTTCAACCATCAAATACAGTATTACATGGTTTTCAGTTGTTTAGATTATTAATCATATTCAAAATTTGGTAACGTCATAAATACGACCTTAGTAGTGTATTACTGATCAATGTCATATCTAGAATTCATCCATTTTCTTTACTGAATAACAGTTAGTAATTTAATGGGAAACAAGAGAAATGTACCTAGCAATATTTCTTTTTCAGAGATTCCGTATTTTCTCTAAACTACGCCACCAGTTGAGCTATAAAGCTCGATAGTTTGGTTATAAAAACCTCCTTTAACTGTATCACAGGTTTTTAGTCCACTTTATCCATATCAATCTGAGCAACCCGTTAGTATGAGTAGCTCTCAAACTTTTCTGTTCGGTCCACGTTAATTTTTAATGTTTGTCTTCTCTTCATCAAGGCAATGATGTTGGCTGTAACGATTTGTGAGCGCTCCTTGAAATGTGTTAGTAACTACATTTTAAAACAGGTGCGTTCAAAATTAGATCTTTGTGATACCACTATATGTGCTAAATCTTGTGATGATGATAATAATCTGAATGAATCGGAAGAAAAAGTTGGTGAACGTCTGCTTTGTGGTGTTGTTCGTGTTGGTGCATTGGGAAAAAATTTACTCTTAAGGGGTGAACATTCAGCAGAACTAGTTTTAATATGTTCTAAATGGCCTACTAAAGAGTTAACATCTTATGTTTCAACTAGTATCACAAAATTAATGGAGGTCAGTTTACTTTACTCTATATGTACTATTCAATGTTTTTTTTTGTCAAAACATCACTTTTTTGATAACTTATCATTGAATAAATTTTGTTCACTTTGTCAGATATCTTAGACTTGTCTACTCTAGGACAGTTCGGTTAACAGTTAACTAGCAGTTAATTCTGTTTAAAAGGTACCAATTTTATTAAGGTTTACAGACAGTTTATAATTTGCCAATAAAAATAATTACTAAAATCGCTTCATAAACAGTTATTATTTTATTGGAGCTAGGAAACTAAGAAAATGCAACCTACAAAGTATTCTTTGTTAGTGTTTATTCTTTATTATAGTTTGAGATCTTGGGTACTGTTCGGGTAAACCATCCTCTAAGTTTGCAACTTTATAAATCTAGTGCACAAGGCACCAAAGTAGCGTTAAAGGAAATCTCTCGGTAACTGAGAACCACAGCTATTTCATGTACTATTCATTCCCTCGGGTGACTGAAATCATTGCTTGCAATTAGTTTAGTTTCAGGGTTTTCCAATCCACATGTTCCGCCATCCTGTATTCCTAGAAATCTTTCAATAAGCTATCAATACAGGACAGAATTCAGTTGAAAAATCATTCTATTTGAACAGTGTGTTCTTCGATTCTTTAAAAAATTTAACTGTTTTGCGGTTACATCCGCTCGCCATCTTTAACTGACTATATCATTCCTTAAAATAAGAATCTCTTTTCACAAAGTTTTTATAACAATAAATGCCTTCAATAATAATATGTGTGACAGTTTTGTCGCTGACGTTTATTTAAAACTGTAATTTTCGGTCTCAATGACTGACTTTCAATTTAGTCTACCGTCTTACTGGTTTCACCTCTTGTATGTCATTCGCCTTCCGCTAGGACCACATCGTATCATCATTGTATACGATCCTCTTCTTCTGCTGAATCACATAACTCGTATTTTCCTAGGACATAAAAATATCATTCCATTATTATCATAATGAAATAATCGAACCTTTTTTCATAAGTGGTCTGTGGGATTTGACGTGTGCAATAATTATGATCTTCACTGGTAATAAAATTACTACTTTGTCACAGAAAAGCTCGGCCAATATTCTCAAATATAGTTACTAGACATTTCGTAACTATAATTTAGCTCATTCGTTAATAGTGTATTAGATCTATGTTAGACTATCCAAATTATGATTAGTTTTCTGTAAATTTTCAAGAATTCGATTAGACATTAGAAAGGTCAGCTATTCAGAATTTTCTGAAAACCCTAGTCGATATATCCTGCAGGTTCATTACATTAGGGTGAACTCCAGAAATTTCTTTATTGTGAGATATTTTCAATGAACCTGAAGGTGGTATCGATTTTGGGTTGTGATTGGAATATGTTGGCTTGATTTTTTTCATACAGTCACTGGAATCCCGTCTTCAATATACTGTCACAGCAGAGCCTACTATGGGAACAATTACGGTCGTGGTATCCTGTTCAGATCCATCCTTGCTGAATAAAAGTGACATCTCTGAAGTAAATTTAAAACCTGCTTGCAAAGAAAACGAATCTGCGATATGGCCTACTATAACACTGGTGATCAACTTAACTTCCCCGGTAGTAGTTCAAAAACACGAAGACGCTCCTGAAGATAAAAATGGTAATTATAGTATGTCTTTAGAAATACTTTTTTTCACAATCATGGTATACAATTCTATTTTCCTACCTGGTGACCAATAATTCTTACGTCTATCAGTCTTTTACTTGAGTGGGAAACCCAAGTCACACATTGTTCATCTCAAGACCCTGAAACATGTTCATATCCTATTTTATAGATGTTTATATTGTAAACGAGTAAAAAAGACAGCGACGAATTATTAGACATTATTTTTCTGTACTCGCGTTATAATTTGTGGCCGAGTGGATGCCCTGTTAATATATGACGTGATAAGACCGCCAATCAGAGAGCAGCGAATTATCGATCGGACCAATGACACACGGGCAGTCTAGAGTACTTGCCGGTCCTGCTTCTGTCTAGCCCAGCCAGTTAAGTCCATAACAACCTCTGTGGTATGAATCATTATATTTCAAACATACTGAGTTTATATACCAACCAATACTAGTCAACATTGCGCGTCGTGGTAATCGGTATTCAGGCATACGTAACACGTGCGCCAACCATCTCAGTCGATGAAGATTCATTACCTCATCAACTGATTTACCATCATTCCCTAATACCCGGTGTCTAACCTCACTATTACTTACCCGGTGATTCCAGCAGATGCGAGCAATATTTCTAAGGCATCTGTCGTCAAATACTAGTATTCTACGAGTATCTTCTACTCTTAATGGCCATGTTTCGCAGCCGTAAAGTAGAACAGAGCAAACTGCTGCGCAGTATACTCGTCCCTTAATTGATTGACTGATATCTCGTCTTCGCCATAGGTGACGTAAGTTGGCAAAAGCCAAACGAGCTTTTTGAGTCGATGCAGAGATTTCGTCAGACACCAACCCATTAGAGCTGATCAGACTTCTAAGATAAGTGAAGTTGTCAACGCGTTCGACTACTTCACTCCCTATCCTTAGTTCAGGTGTTGACACAGGCCAGTCCTGGGGTAACAATTTACATTTGGATGGGGAGGAACGCATCCCAAACATCCTGGTATTATTACTCAGTTCTAACAGAAGACTGCATTTTACCAGCGTCTTCACCAAACAGGACTATGTCATCTGCGTATTCTAAGTCGATAAGTGAACCTCTTGTTAGAAGATCCATTCCCGAAAATGCAGTCGACGAGAGTGTTATTTCCAGCTACAGGTCTATAATGAAGTTAAACAAAAATGGGGATAGTGGACAACCTTTTTGGACACCACTTGAGGTTGTAAAATCATATGACAGTTCGCCATAAGCTCTCATTCGACTAGTAGTGTTCGAGTAAAGAGCCTTCACAAGGTTTATGTACTTCTCAGGTACACCTTTTAATGACAGACACTGCCACAGAACCTCTCGGTCTACAGAGTCAAATGCTGATTTCAAGTCAAGAAACACTATCATTGTCGGACGCCGATAAGCATGTCTGTGCTCTAAAACTTGACGAATGGTGAATATGTGGTCGATACAGCCACAACCAGGTCTGAAGGCAGTCTGATTTTCTCGTGTTTGCAGTTGACGAGTCTTAGTTAGGCGCCCGATAATTATTGAGGCTAATTGAGACTAATCCCTCTATGGTTATCACAGGATGATTTTGGCCCCTCCTTATATATTGGGACAATCAGAGATTGTGACCAGTCAGATGGGATTACGTCCGCCTCCCAGATTTTAGCCAGAATATAAGTCAACCTAATCGTTAAAATTGGAGCCAGTCCAGCTGCTCTTTCTCGTTTCGGATTACTCATAGCCTTTTGAACTTCAAGTAGTGTCGGGGGGCCTACTTCAATGTTCCATTCAGGTTTTCTGGTAATAGTGAGTAGTTGTGCAGTAGCTGAAGGCCAGCTAAACTGCTCCTTAAAGTGTTCCGCCCATTGTTCTAAACGTTTGGGTTGAGAGCAGATAGGGGTACCGTCTTTTTCTGAGATTGTCTCACTTGATCCCTAAATTACCATTCATTATCCTTATCGGGGCATAGCAACTCGTATATGCTTCGTATCAACCTCTGAATATATTTCTTTCTTCTTAGTATTATTAGAAAATCAATTGTTTCAGAAAACAGTTATCATAACCACCTATAAAGTCAAATTACTATTATGATTCATTCTGTGTCGGTCCAGCATAAATATGAAAGCATAAAAAGGAGTTTTATGTTTCACCATGAATTCATTTAACAATTGTTGTTTGAGAAAAATAGAAGCATATTTTTGGTGTTCTTGTTAAGTCCTTTGGGCTACAGAGTCTGATTGCGAAGCTTCCACTGTCATTCTAGACAACGTCATTATCAAGCTCACTAACTTGTGTTTTGAATCGTGGATGATTGAGTTATTCTAGATCAGACTCAGTAAATATTGCAAATATCTCGATTCTTTCAACGACCACTCCTTCTGCTGCTCTTTTAGAGTTACTGCTGGTTCCAAGCCCGGGTAAAGGAGGAGGGTTGGGTATGGGATCGGCAACCCCGTCCCATAGAAAGCAACCTTGCTAGAAAAAATGCCAACCAGAAAAATTCATTTAAGCCATATAAACTCTGTCTTGGGAGTTGAAAGATCTTTCAGAAAAATTATGACGCCTCTTGATGAAAGCCGTGGCTTTTCGGAAGTCACGTAACTGATATTCTTTCTAACAACCAGAGCAACATTTAATATAGGTACATGGAATGTTCGGACAATGTAAAAGACCGGAAGGACCAATCAAATAGCTGCGGTAATGAAAAGATACAACTTGACGGCACTCGGAATAAGTAAAACCCATTGGACCCCAGCTGGACGAAAAACGATAGATTCGGGAGAGATGCTGTTGTACTCTGGTCATGAAAAACAAAATGTTCCACACACAGGGAGTTGTTCTGATGCTGTTCAAAGAAGCACGCAAAGCATATCATGAATCCAAGATCATCATAGCATACTTCAAGACAAAAAAGGTGACGATCACAATGAATGTTATTCCGTTCAATACACCCACCAATGATAGCAATGAAGATAAAAATCGGTTCCTGAGGCTGCAGTTGGTAGCTGAAAGTTGCTGAGGAAAGGACCTAATCATCCAGATGGAACACCTTGATACCAAGGTCAGAATCGACAACACTGATACAACACTGCTCATACAGTTGGTCAATAAATGTAGAATTAGTGGTCAACACAATTTGGTCAATCATAATTTAGAAATGAGACCCAAGAAAGTGTAACTGTCCTGTGGATATTTAAGTTGTATATACGTACTTATCGGGAACTGATGATGAGTTCACATCTGTTTCTGAATTCCCCAACGCAAACATTTGAATATGAAATATTTTACTAAGTCTTTTCAGCCGTCTCCTCTGTGATTTTTCTTGTCTTTATTTCTCATTGTACTGAATGTTTATATTGTTGATGTAGTGTACTATTTGATTTGGTACATTGTTCATGGCGATATATGTTGACTTTGTTAGTCGTTGTGATTATGTAATAATAATAATGTCCGTATTCCTTCGTGTAGAAATCCCACCAGTTATCCAACGTTTAATCGTTAATGGTCATCCAATTCCCAAAGAAAAGTGCATCAAATCCATAGATGCTCTTGATCATGCTTCATGGTTTCAAGTAAGTGTTTCAACTTACTACAATATTTCAATTTGTCTGAAAAAGCAGTTACTTTTTTCAAATTATTTAGTATTTTTCTTGTATGCTTTTAGAAGTAAAATTTTATGTTATCAGTTCAAATTTGCATATCTCAACTTTAATAGTTCTAACAGCATGTGAAATCATAGTATTCATGACCAAATCCCGCTGTCACTTCCTAATATTTCTGATGTTTGCGTGATTAATCATTCTCCATTGATTATCTTTATCCTCATATGCTACCAGTGCTGACCATCCGAGTTCATCTGACGCTATTCCTGGTCTCCTAAAACCACTCCCGAAACTGCATGTTTGAACCTCATGTCAAACAATGCAATAGGTTTCCTTAGCCAGGACTATATAATCTTTCACTATCTCTTTATGTTGTTTTTCCGAAACACATACAGGATCATTCACTTTTCACCTAGTCTATTTGAAGATCTGGAGTAGTTAGACAAAAAGTTTTTTCAGATGTTTTCTTCTTTTTAGTACTGTGATGATTATTTTCATAACATATTTTAATTTTAACCATTAATATTTTCCATTCAGCATATTACGAGCGGAGGTCCGATACTCTTAATTAGCCGTATTTTGCGCGACTTTATCCAATCTAATGAATACTGGATTGAATTAAATGAATTTGTAAGTTTTCTTTTAGTTCTGCGTTACTCCTAACAGTTCCATTTTTACGTATAACTTCTTTTTTTAAGAATAGATTTACTCGTACATGTGAAAGTCTCCAGTTCAGTATAATTCTTAACTATTCCTAATGTTTCACAGTATAAGCAGTCATTTATACATATTCATTTAGTTCAATTTAATAAGCATTTGATCCTAGCTTTCTTTATTTGCAACTGGACTGATGTATCGTGATAAATACTGTTTCACCGAGTGAATTGTTATACAGTAATAAGGTTTTCAATTTAATGTCCGAATTATTTTTTTCTCGTTCTAAAGTATTTGTTCTTTAGTGGACTTTTATTGTCTTTTACTTTATTAGGATGTTGAAGTACACTTAGATCATCTCTTATCTTTAGAGTACAATATGATGAGAAATATGCTTTCCGTACCAAGCGACTTTTTCCATCCTTGCAAATTACTACGTAGATTTTTCGAATCAATGGCAAATGGATATTTGTTCTTTGCAATAAAGCATTCATCTAATTCAAATAACACTGAGGATTCTCCTAGGGAGAACAATATACCTGTGGCGTGTACGAAACCATTCTATGTTACAATTTCTAATGGAATATCCAATGAAGTCTGTGAAAAAATAACTGTTTCAGCTCAACAAATAGTCAGACAAATTGCTTTTAATCAATTATACAAAGTAAGTGTTTTTATTCGTGCTATAGGTTTTCTTATACGTAACGTCCTTGATTTCAACGGTTCTCCCTTTTCAAAATCAGTCACCTTAGAACATACAATGGCTTTTATCACTGTTAGATTTGTACTATACTATTCCTATGTTATACTATCGCCTTGTATATGTAGCCTTTGTGTATACTTGTCTTAATTCCCCACTGAGAAACTTCAGTTATCTTCATCTTTTTTCATATATGACTAGTTCCTATACATTCTACAACAGCAAGTTGTCCTGTGTTTTGACTTATCATCTAATTCCTTTAGACTCTTATATCTAAAGATCGGTTTCACTTCACTCTGAAGATCTTTCAAGCTCTCCAAGCACGTTTCTATTCGTAACTTTTGTGTTTAATTATTTCCGATTTTAGTGTCACGAAGGTTAGTAGGTAATTGGTATGATTGTGTTGTTTCCTTATTTCTTAAAGTACTGTCACTATTTATTTCTTTTCTTTTTAACAGTATTTCCTTTATTCAGTTTTCCGCGCACCTTGTTTTCAGTTCCCTCTTTAGTTGATAATTTAAAGTGGCCAAATCAAACTGGAACATATTTATGCTAAGTCGTAGGTGTTTTTAACAAACTTGTTAATGGTTAGAGTTACCCCAATAGTATATTGTAGTCATCCAACACCAGTCATATAAGTTTCGTTAAGTTGGTGTATAAATATAGAATGTAGCGACTTGCATTTTGGTAAGTTAAGAGCGAATTTAAAGCAAACAGTTAATTAGCGAAGACAAGTTAACAAGGCTTTTATTTCACAGAGTTTTCATTAATCCAGATGGACACTGCATTCCAAGTTTTTACTGTTTATTTACACCCTATTCTCTAGGTTCTTGGTATGGAACCTCTAAATTCACCTCAGAACTCAGATTTTGTCCAGTCTAGTAGTAAACGAGAACAAAATTCCGATGTTTCACAAGGTCAGAATACTTCCGAAGTTGAATGCTCAACTGGTGATATGAAACAACATAATAATGCATCTGTAGCAAATGGCACGGAGACACAGGAATGCACGACAGAAGCATTGAAAATCGAGTCAGAATGTACCCCGGCCAAACGTACTCGCCTTGTTACCGCCAACTTGAAATCTATTTAATTATGTGCATTTCAATATCACACGTCCATTTATTTGGTTCCACCTTCTTGACGTTCTTTTATATCATCGATATGTTCATTTGTTCTTAATGAAATATACCATGTCCTAGTTATTGCTTCTACGTTGTCCTATCAGGTACAGGGAAATCAGAATTATGATTTATTGGGGTCTCATGAAAGGGGGTGTTTAACGTAACCAGGTCTGTGCTTTCTATTAAGGCAGATTAGCCTTTTATGATGTAGTTCAGTTGATTGGATTCAGTAGAGTTCATTTCGTTATTACGGAATGCTAAATATCTTTGCTATGTTTTTGGGTTATCCGATTTCAAATCGCCCCAAAGTGTGTTCAGGTATTTGAAAGTCATAATTTCAATTCATGCACGTTAATGTCAAGTAAATGTAGTTCAGAATGTCATGTCGTAATCACTTTTGTATTACCAATGGCTCGTAAGGTCTGTATTTTCATCATAATGTCAGTGACTATGCAAGATTCAGTCAATTATCAGTAGCAGCTTGGCTGTACACCTGCAGAGTTATATCAACTGAGATAACGAGGTTGTAATTTTAAGATCGCTGATCAGTGAGTTATTCATGTCTACATGGTGCACAATGTTGAGACCTACCTGACGTTTGGGGATGTCATGTAGTTTACTGGTTAGGTCTTACGTATTTAGCGAAAATAGAGTAAGTCAGTATATGGTGTCATTGGATTATGAAGTCCCTTGATTAAAACTTTCACCTTATTCTGTAGATGGTTTAGACTATTGGCTTGCAATTCTGAATAGGTTGGTTGCATCGACCGTGGTTAGGTTCTACAACTCCACCAGATGGGATTACGAGTGGTCTTAGCTACTAGGGCCATAAACCGTCCTACATAACTGGACAGAAAAGAGATCTTTAAATTATGCGTGAGACCGAATTAGGAACTTGTTAACTCTAGAGCAAACTTGCCTGTCATCGGTAAGGATCGCCTTCGTGTTCACATTCATTTTGTCCCATTTTCGTCAATGGACTCGAACCAGTTCTTCAATATACGGGTCTCTGAAGTGACATTGAGTACTAGCCAAGTCGTTCCGACATAATAACAAATCTACAATTTTGGGGATAGGTCTATTATTGTAGTAGTACCAGTACCGAACTAGACCATAATTCTACAGATTTCATGGTTGGTTGGAAGCTGTGAGATGATGTATATAGGGACAGGCGTAGTCAGAGCAATGCTAAATGAGCATGAAACTATTCATTTTCACTAGTTGTTTATCCGTATACCTACGTCTCGTCAGGTGGGATATTATGCGCATGTCAATATCAGTGATCGTCCCACCATCGGACAGATTTGAGTTTAACGGTTTAATTTTTTTGTAGGATTCTAGTAATAGTAAATGGATCACTTTTGAAGTCTCGATGAAGACAGTAACAGAATAAAAGGAATTTTATTTGTGGAATTAAGGTCTCTGATGGGTAGTATTGCATCTAATTACGCTACTGGGCAGATAGACATAGTTCATTAGAATTTATTTGCCATGACAAGACCACCTAATCTATATGATCTTACTTCGAATTCACATTATCAGCTATCCTGACTTGGCGTTTTGTGTTAGTCAAACGCGCTCTTTTAGATAAAAATTTGGAAATCAAATGCAATTTTACCAAGAAAATAATATATTCAATGAACACATATAGCTGAGTCATGCAACATCGAAAGTTGACTTTTAATGACCACTATTTTTCACTGAATATTCAACGTCCAGTGTTCCGTCATTTAACTTAGTTACCGCTCAGCCTCATGTGTCACTAGTCATGATTTTTCAGTGTTGTTCCATTGCCACTCTTCCACTAGATGTAATGCTGTGTTAATCCACTTCCAAGCTAAGATATATTATTGTACGACGATCGCCGAGATATTAATCAGAAGTGATTCACATATACAAATGGTTAGGAGAACTCATTCAATATATAATAATGTCATGATGAATTTATTTCAAAACTGCATCAGGGTTTAGAAAGAACATATAAGAATTTTTTGAACCTAATAAGCCAACTTGTTTGGTACAGATTAAGGAACTGTTTGGACGGCTTCCTAGAAGTACGAAGAAGCTTCCAGAGGCTCTAAAAGGGGCCCAAGAGTTTCCACTCAATCAGAGCTTGAAATTGCTTTCTAAATTATTATCGTGATACTCTACGATCGGACGGTAGCATAACTTGTTTCCTTACAGATTGGCTGAATTATAGTGATGTATTGACCCACACTAATGATTAAAAATAAACACGTATTTCTGTCCATTTTTGATGTTTACCCAACACTCTCTTCTCTTGTTTTCTTCTAATTTGCGACTGCAGGAGGTTCCGTACGTTAGAGTGCCATTAGTTGTATATCGCATTCTGCGTTAAACACGTAGAGAATGTGATAGGAACTTATCCAGGACGAGCTGACACTTTATTTTCTCAACAAGAAGTATAATGTATGTATATATTTTTGAAGAACTAAATGTGTTTTGTTAATTCTTGCACTTTATCGAAGGAAGTAATATTTCATTGGTAGTCCAAGAAGACATAAACAGATTATACAAATGGGCTACGTCAAAAATTCTGCCACTAAACGGTGAAAAAGTGTTGGTCTCAACCACACAATCCTCAAAGCTGAACATGAGATAACTGAGAAGATGCGTTTTCAACAATTAACACGAAGAGAAGTTCAACAATGGGGTAGGCGAGAATGGTCAAATGATCGGACGGCACGACACAACCTTGCAGGCATGGTCATTCTCGTGTAACTTTTCTCTTTTATTCATACTAAATATATTGTTGTATCTACAGCCTAAATATGTTCTCCATCATATATTGATGATGATTACGATAGGGCGACTCAGTATAGACAATGATGTGACTTTCACGTAAGACTTCATAGATTAGGTAGTCATATCATGACAAATCTATTATCTTAGTATTAGATGCTGATAACGAAGTAGACCATAATACTGCAGGTTTAGTTGTCGGTTCCTCAATCTGAAACCCGTCAATACTTTTCATGACTTCCGCTTAACGTATGTCTATTGGATGGAGTCTACTGAGCCCATTGCTTCAAAAGTTTATTATCCAAGAACGCTTATTAGATTCTTATAGATAAATTTCAATCACACTGAATCTAGATTATTATTGTATAAAAAAAGCATTATGTCTTACCGTGAATATGGCATGCTAGTCTACAGTGATTGCAGGCATAATGATTTGACAAAGTGAAACCGTCGAAAAAAATTCACCAGAGCTGTTCTCAGACATTCTGACATTATGAATTATCACCAACCTCTCTGGACCAGTCTATTCAAATTAAACATTTTCTTTGTCTACCGGCCTAGAAATGTCATTTCTTATTCTTGAGCATCCACCCCTTAGTACCTCATCATATCATCCCACAATCTGTACAACGAGGATATTCTTAACGCCGACTTGACATGGATCACAATCGGAAAATAACTTGATGAAGACAAATATGCCATGTTGTCAGCATGCCAGCCTTCGTTTTTTTCAGCCAACAAGCATCAAAGACTTTCGAGTATCTTCAGTGGTATTGGTTCCTAACCAAATGATCCTCATAGCTGGAAGTATAATTACTGAGGAGACTTGCGTGTTTCATGTGTATAGTATCATGGTTCACAAATCACGAAACATTTCCTTTACTCGCCAACTAATTACATTATTTTTGCATTCAACTGAATACACCTTTTTTAATAGTGTTCTTCTTTATTTGTCTTGAGGTAATTTCCTTAAAAGATACTCGTATGCTGGTGTTCTTACATTTTTCCGTTTTTGGGTAATATTTATATTGTTTGCAACATTTCTGCAGCCAAACTATTTCCTAAATCGACGCTCGTCAAGCTGTCACAAATCAGATAGATTTCCCCCTTTTTAAAATATTCTTTTAAATGGTGTGTACGGATGATGAACATAATTGACGAACGTAGTGTGCATGGAACATGTATTTAAATCCTTCAGTAGTGACTTTATGATCCCAAAAACTCGAGTGAGTCATCCAACTTGTACCCAACTTACCTATTGACGCTTGTTACTCCTCGTGGAGGTGCACAGGCCGCTCAGCAGTATTCTTCATCCAACCCTATCCTTGTACCCAGGAAACTCGGGAAATAAATCCAAGAGAGAATGATCACACGTGCTGTTAACGTCATCAAAAAGTCTGCGTAATCGCTTTAGTTTGAATGGTGGTGATAAACCACTTTCAGCATTCATCTTCAATTACTCATGTTACCGTTAACTATTTTTTCTGTTTTCCCACGCTTTGAAGTCCTTAGTTAACTCTTTATAAATGCCTGTAATAACTGAGCATTTTCTACAGCCCAGATACCAGTCCAAAGGTCACCGCAACGTGCTACTTAGGCCTAAAAACCTTGGTCTTCGAGAGCTGTTTGCTGACCCCATAAACTCTACCACCCTGAGACAATCAAATTCCGATTGCATGATATACAAACCCGTAAGTAACTTTAATAGTTGAGATTATGAGTCAACTGAAGCTAGACCACCATGGAAAACATGGAAGCACTGGATAGCCGTTTGTAGGACTCCTACTCAGTGCTCATCTACGATTCTGCCTCGCGAGATTCAAACCTATGGCCCATCGTTCTCGTGCGCGAGCACTTGACCTCTAGACCACTGAGCCGGCATCTAACGGTGTTACTGTCTAACTTCAACCTATGCACGAAATTGTACGACACATCCACCATTTTTTCAGTGAATTACTATCTCACAACAAACCAGGTTGAACTCCATTAGTCACTGCTTCTCACTAGAACTCCGGGAAATACATCTTGAAGCTGGTCACTAGTGAGCCTATGCTGATTAATATCAGAAGGGGTTTATGTGGATGTTATAGTAATTTCGGTAGTTGAGATCGTGTTTAGCTGTCAAAGTAGCTAGAACTAGTTAAGTTGAATGGTTAAACTACAGTTCATTGAACCGTCTTATAGTCATACTGGGACAAAAAGAAGCGAGTTCAAAGAATTCAAACTGTTTACTCAATGCCGTCACAAAGATATTGATTAATATATATTAAGTTTACCGCTGCCTTCAAGGATGAAGGTCGTTCGGCAACTCAAATCATGTCCAACTTTCCATGTTAGCGAACTTTGTACTCTATGGCGTTTGAAATTACTTGATAGGACAAACGTCCACTGTCATGTTTTGACAGTACCAGCAAAACACTTTTCTTCAACTCCTAAAAAAGATGTAACGTTTGATATGTTAATTGCTACGATTTACAGAATCAAATTAAAATATTCACGATTCCTAATTTAATTACAGCTTCGCGGATCGCACTCACTCCGTTTATTGTTAAATCTATTTTTTGTTGTGACTTGAGTATGGCTTTAGGTCTTACTGTCGCTGCTGGCGTAACCGATGCGGTGAGATTTTGTTTGCCTTGTTTATATGGAACTTGTGAAGTTAGATGGGCTTATAGCCCGAAAAGTGTCAAACCAGGCTTCGAATGTTGGAAGTTTCTTGGACCCTCTTGCTGACAAACTACTTGTGACATCTTTGGTTTTGTCGTTGACAGTGATGGATTTCTTCCCCGGTAACAAGACGTTTATCAGCTGATATTCCACTAGTCAGCCTTGCTTGTCTCTTTATTTTCCGTGATTTAGGAATAGTTATCACGGTTTTGTTTTTAGTGTTCCGGAATTTCGGTACAGTAAGTCCCCACATTCCATATGCTTTCTTCAGCTTACGCCCAAGATTTTCACCGAGAAAGTTGGAATGAATGCATCAAATATCAGTAAGGTATGTTTACTTCCTATTATTCTTTACAGTTAATTCGGTGGTATGAAATTCGCCTAAATGAGCTTGGTTTTATCTATAGCTTAACTCAATGTCCTGTTTAACGTTCTACTACCCCGTACAATTTATTGCACACCTTTGAATGTTAGTTTGGTGTAGTTATCTCCATGAAGATATGTTACAGTGCCTTTATGGTAATGTTGTCCTCATTTGCTTTTTAGTTATAATTAATGAGTACAGGGCTAAAACGACAATGAGGTTAAGTTTCGTTCACTTAGCCCAAAATTATACAAAAACTTCGAATCTCTCAAGTCCTTTCGTAGTTTTAAAATCCCTTTCGTTCACTTTGCTAATCGACATCCAGTTTCTTAGATATGAATGGTCTTGACTAGTGTATTTTGTGAAATTCTGGCTTCCGTAATGATCTGATGTCTAGCTTGAGTTTGGGAACAATATACCGGATTAATCTGGTTACTTCCAAACCTGGTCGTTAATGTATCGGCCAAATTCCTACCATTCTTTGGGTTTTTCAACTTAAACACCAACGTCCGTTAAAATGAATTAACACTTTGCATTTTCAATTGTTCTTAGAGCGGTATAACTCATTTGGTTTTGCTCTTCAATATAACAAAAGTTTCGTCGCTATCATACTGGCTGTCTGAAGGAAACACCTTATTGCCGTCACGCTTCTGTACAGTCAGCAGTATGACTTCGACCTTGGTTTCGCTGCTTCTCAATTGACCTATTTGGCATGATAGGACCTTGAGGAACAATTGTTCTGGCCAGTATAGTTTGACTGGTTCATCACCATAGGCAAGCTCGACCACCAAGTCAATATAGCAGCAACCGTTGGGTCTTACGGTTAAGTTCCCCATAAGACAATGAAAACCTCTGTCTTGCTTACATTTTTATCTGTTATGGAGTCTTATCAAACCATTGGTCATAGATTTTTAAGTCTTTTAATTTTCTAATCATTTATTACGTCCAATAATTCTTACATTGACTTTATAGCTGAATACTCTTTGTCAATTATCAAGTATCATACTTAGCATGACATATCCTTTGTATGGACTCCCTAACTACGAATACCTAAAAGTTGTATGGTGAGTTAAAACGTCTTCAACATTTAAATATTTCCTTTTTATGGTTTATGAAGGCTTATTTAGTTTGATAATCAGTCATCCATAAATAGTGTGAAACCTGGCATATATGTGTATTAGTCCACCATAAACCGACACCTGTAAAACTTAAATGTGAGAGAGTACTAGGCAACTGTCTTTCCTAGTTCAAGACTCTTTACCCACGGTCTCGTAAAAATAACACCACTTGACTACTATGCTGGAATTCAGTGATCTACATTGCAATGCGCTTTAACATTCATCAAATGTCATAGGCGTTACCTTATTCTGTATTCGATTACATTCACAGATCACTAGCTGCCTTTAAGACTTCTGGGAAAGTAGGTTACGATTTAGCACTCCAATTGACTGAAATTTCATAAATATAAGTTTTGAGATAAATTTTGACACAAACTAACAAGTTATTTCTTTTCCATTTTTCGAAATATATGATCTAATCATTTTTATATATGTTTTGGCTATTTTATGTACTAATTTGACACTAATCGGCAACATTTAAACATGTGAAAACTGGTAGAAAAATCCAAACCTGATGGTTTTATGATAAAAGATTAAAATGTAAGTTCCGCATTGTAAACCACACAGACTGAAAGATCTAGGAAAACATTTTCCGAACTTATCTCGTCAATATATTGTTAATGAAGCAGGCTCGACAAATAAAATAAGGTCAAGTGCAATACAAATGGAACGTACAGGATATCTGCTATTTGAGAAAAAATGTATATATCGTAGATTGTTTTACCAACTATATATTTAAAAAACTAAAGTACCAGTAGAGCCGTCAAATGTCCTGGTACGACTTAGTGGTGAGAGTTAGCTCTCTCTCTCGTAAGGCTCTCACATGGCCGCGTTTATACCACTACCAGGGAAGTCCTACTCGCTACCTTCTCGAGATAGGGGTGTTGTTTACGAAATTGAGAGGACGAAAAGCGAATGTTTAGCGTTCTAACCGGGTTGATGGACACAGAGTACACCTAGGGGAGTTGGGAGACCCTCATTCCAAACTAATGGTGCACATGGGCTCCGGGTGTGGTCCCTTAAAAAAACCGTCTGCTTTGTTCTGGGCACCCGGACAGTATTTCAGCCCTCAAACAAATCGAACGATATATGTGGCGCGTATCTATTTGGTGCCTCTTTGTACCAATGTTTATGTGTTTAAATAAATAATAACCAGTAGAGCAGTAATGAAAGTTCTTTAATATTTTTTTCCGGAGCTGTATCTTTTTTTATCTCTCAAATTGAGCTCTACAATCCTGTTTTGTCTATCAAAAATTGCTTTAATACATAGTTTTCTAAAGAAGTGTAAATCTGCCTCTCAGAAAATCTTTATTTGTGATTTTATCCTAATCTCTTATATTGTAGTCTTATGCAAAATCACTTCAAACAGCTACTGTTACTAGTATTGGGTATTTCACCAAAATTAATGGCGTATAAACCATTATTAGATAAAATGTGTTGCTAATAGAAAGCAATACAGCTATCACGGTCGGTAGTTTTAAGAGCTCTAGTGATCATGTATCTCTTCATGTTACTGTATCAACCTATAGAAAACCTATTTGTAACAAAAACAGAATTGAGAAGCTTTGCAAACGTAATTTTAGATAAATTAACCTCTGAAGAGTTTCATATAAAAGTTAGGTGCAACCAGTACGCTACAATTTTTTTTATTTGATATCTCTGGCTCATAATAACCGGCAAATCTTGTTTTGATAATCATATCCCAGTAACAAATATAAAGCTATTCCGCAAATGCATTATTTCTCCTGCAATCATATTTTCTATCGAATCTTTCTACTGCCAATTATTATTACTACTGTCCCTGTTACACTGGTATTCCTTTGGGTAATTTCATTTGTTTTGCTTGTGCGGCATAGCAACTTGAAACGATCCACATTTGTGATGTCTATAGATCCCTGAGCGATATCACTGTCTAAATTCACAAATTAAAGTTTCGGTTACAATTTTTCTACCTCGCGTCTATTATTCCATCTATAACATGGAGTCTTAGACTTGAGTAAGTGTAAGTTGTAACTGGCAAAAGTAACATTGAGCTATCGTAAGCTACACTCCTATTCGTCTGCCTCTCTGCAAGAATTTCTTTATCTCTGACCTTGGATCTGAATAGAAGTCAGCACTTAAGCTTTTATTGTTGTATTTCGATCGCCCAACCCAGCCATCCAACATCTCAAACACTCATTAGGATATGCACATGAAGTATTAGTCTTCACAGCATATCTAATAGTGACTGTGGATTAACTATGTATTTAATCTATGTATTTTCTCCACAAGAATATTTAAACCATAAATAGTACTTGCTCACAGTTGTATAAACTATTTATTTCAGTCGTACCAAAATTTATTTTGATAGTTCGACAATGTCAGTAAATATAAGTGTCCACTACTTAATTATGAATTTAAATGTGAAGACAGACTATTTCTTCATTTTTACTGGATTTAATGAATACTAACACTTATTGTATTTAGTTAAACCAAATGTACACCTTGTTCTATACTGTGTGTTTTCACTAGTATACTGACCACGTATTGGCGATCAATAAATCAACGTACTTAATGTCGCTATCCTTCAGCTTAGCTTTCTGTAACTGTTTTCTTAACTAATACGGTTTTGTAAGGATCATTATTTTTAACTATTGCTTGTTATATTGATTAATAGGGTCTTGGAGACAAGCAATATGTTCCTTTATTAACGATTTAATATTTATTTATAATTGTCTAACTTTGAAAATCTACTCATTAAAAATAATTTATATATTGAACTATCTTTTCATTGACCAAGTCAGTATTACATTTGATCGAATTAAAATACTATTTCAATTTTATGATGGGCACATTTAGTTTATGGTTAAATCAAATGAAACATGTCGGAGGTAAAACAATCGTCACTAATGGTATTGTACCATATTGCGGATTAATTGGAGTGGAAATTATACCGTTGAACCCCGACCCAGTGGCCCTAACGGTTAAGTGTCTGCTGCGAGACCTGTGGTTCCTAGGTTAGATCCCTGATGAAGTTGCAGTTGTGTACTACTGAGGGGTCTTATACTATGACTAGACACCTGTCTAGTGTTCCTTGACTTCCAGTGATATCCCAACTGAGATTAACCTATGACTAATACAAACCAATCTTCATAAAACTCTTTCAATTAAATTAAACCTTTGAAAAGATATCACATTAGTTAGCATAGACACTCTATTATATTGCTCGTTTTATGTATCCTACTACTATTATTTTTTTTCAAAATCTATAAATCGTTTTTCTTCCTAGGCTTCTATCAGCTGGAACCACTATTGGATCTGGTTTAGGATATTTAAAAAGTTTGCCAGAATGGCGGAAACGGATGGCTGAAATCTCCAAAAATAGATAGATAAACTATTTTACTTTGTACATGTTTTTGTAATGAACAATATATATCCGATTGTATATCCTTCAACGAAATGGTTGTCTCATTATGAACACTTTATGTATATATGAAAAGTAACCCTTTTGAATGAATACTGATGCTGTATATGACAGTTATCAAGAATTTGTAACTTTATTTTCTGCATAAATGTAAGACATCTGCAAGTAAACATACTTATTATATCGTATGAGTGCGTGCCCTGCTTATATATGACGTGTTGATCCCCGCCAGTTGGAGAACAGTGAATTTATCGATCGGACCAAATGACATACCAAAACTACCAGCAGTCTAGAGCACTAGTCGGTCCTGTTATCTGCCTAGCCCAGCCAGTTTAGTCCAAAACACCAATAACAGCCTCTGCAATATGGATCATTATTCTGAAACATACTGGTTTTATATACCAAACAAACTGACCACATCGTACCGTAAAATATAAAATAAAATTTGTACAAGATTTGACCAAATGTGGCTGTGAATAGGTGGAACAGTAATTAATGGACTGAGCATAGCTCAGGAATGGTGAATCGTATAATAATAGTCTATAGGTCAAAGCTCATGATAAAGGGAACATGAATATGAATAGTTAAGTTACTTGATAATTATACAATAAAAAAATATTCATATCATATTAGTCCATAAATAGTTCTCGAAGTTATCATTCATAAATCTCTACAGTATATAACAATATTATTAATCAATAAATCTTAATATAACCCAAAAGAATGATCTCATGTTATTTAAAAGTCAAGTTGTCACCTTTGTATAAAAATAATTTCATGAATATGTGACTCTAACCTGTTCTCTTTCAACTCAATGATTCAACGTTAATATACACTTACTGTAAGACCTAAAAGTCCTGAGTTCTATTTCTCAGTCATCGGTATGTGTTGTTAAGCCATTCTTATACTAGTGTGAAACAGCTGTCGAATGCTCATTAGATTTTACTGCAAATCAATTAATTTAGTATATACATGAAGTTGAATTAACAGGCTAACAAAAAAATGTAAAGTGTATCAAATTTACAGAAAAGTACATTGTAGCGAGAGTCTGTAGCTGTTTCATTGGGTGAAAAATAAGCATAAGTTTATTTTTTTTAACAGCAAATGAATAGAAGTAACTACTCTGTCCAGAAAAAAAACATACCAACGTCGCAGAAACTCTATTTTCAAAGTATGCGTGGCATCAAATTTATCCCCTTTCATAGTAATGCCCTCATTAGTAGCAATTCATTTTTGTTAAATACGTTTCGAATATCCAAATTAAGTCAAACTGACTGAAGATGGTGAAGTTCCGAGTACAGTTGATTAGCTATTCTCTTATCTATTGGTAACAGCATCTGTTGCTCAGTTCAACGAGTATTTATTGAAGAAACTAAAACGGAGATTTTATGCGATGAGATCAAACTGTAGTTACTAGAATAATGCTAGGGTGACAGTTGTCCTTGCAGCGTAGGTTCAGCATTGTGGAAGAAAGAAGTTTGTTGATCTATTACTATCATTTGATTTAATGATATACTACTGTTAAAATCTAATCTAAGATTCTTTAAAGGGTGCTGGTGGAAAAGAGTCACAAGCTTGTATTTCTTTGCAGCCATCTTTGTGAGGACCTGAGGGTTCATAAACGGCGTTGATATTGAGTTAACTGGATTATTATAGAAGAAGTCTTATAAATCGCAATGTAGTCAGATAGGAGTAGATTTTATAAAAGAAAATCCTTTGGCCTCCGTTGTTTCGTAAGAAATAATCTAATTTAAAGTGTGACCGAACAATTACTCTTCGAAGAGGAAAAAATAGATTGTTGTTGATATTATTTTCAAGGTATGAATGAATTCGTAATCATAACGACTTGCATCTTCTGTTGTAATTTGTTGAATGGAAGCCCCCAAATGCCCTGGTACGGCCGAGAGTGGGGAGAGTCCGCTTTCCCTCCTGGAATGCTCTCACATGGCCACGTGTATATAGCCTCTGCAAGGGAAGTCCTACTCACTGCCTTCTCGTGGGGGGGGGGTTTGTTTACGAAATTGAGAGTACGAAAAGCGAATGTCTGGTGCTTTAACTGGGTCGGTGGACAAGAAAAGTTCGCCTAGGGGAGTTGGGAAACCCCGATTCCAAACCAATAATGCACATGGGCTCCAGTATCCTGAAACAACTTTTGGTCACCGACTGCCATGGGACTGCATCTCATGATGCTCCATTGCCTTGTGGGTCAGACCCTTAGTTTGAAGGCCACGGGTGTGGCCTCCTAAGGAAACCATCTGCTTCAGTTTGGGCACCTGTGCAGTATCACAGCCCTCACACAAATTTCATTTGTGTGGCGCATATATATCTGGTGCCCTCTTGTACCAATATTTATGTGTTTAAATAAAATAAAATAGATGAACGAAAGCTGTTATGATCAAGAAATCAATCTAAGTAACTAATCTTTCCAATCATGTATTCTAGTGAATAAATCACTCTTATCTGACTATTTCCCAATATCTTATTGTTGAGTCATGTCTTTACGGTTTATTCAGTTCGCATCTGCTTATCCTATTCAGAGTTTAGCATTTTCACTAGCTTTTTTTTGGTTTTGATTCATTGGGCTAATCAGAAATCGACCAAATGGTAAGTTCATATGATTGGCTGAAAAATAACTTTCATTCATAAGGAACAAATCGTACACCATTGGTGACCTTAGTCTCTCCTCTCGAGTAGTTGTCTATTGGACTCGTGAATAATAAAATCGCTTATCAGTACCAACTATAAAATACTACATATCACAACAGGTTGCCTTCATTTTTATATCGAGCATAAAAATATCCGAAGAACTAAGTTCTCATGCCCAGAATATTAATAATGGGCTTATATGGTTCACTGTTAATTAGACATTGGACATTTCTCATCCTAGAGATTAAAAGCTATCCTTAGAAAATCATATTATAATTACAAATCTTTAGTTGACTATCTTCAAGCAAACAGAAAGGATTAAGTTTGAAGAAATATCGACGACATTCCTCAGGAAAACTTCCTGCCTTTTTTACCAATCCGTGGGAAATGTCTCTGAGTTAGTACCCTAATTTTCGCTTGAATTAACATCAAATTGTCTTATTTTCCCATGGATTAAGACTAGCCGGTATTCTTTTCTCCTAAATCTTTTCAGTGGGGAGGAACAAACTTACCTAAAATTAACATAGTCCTTTCGTTTATTTCCCCTTTTTTTGTTTTCTTTGTTCCTGGTGTTTCGCAGTTTAAAAGGTTCACTATCGGTCCTAATCGAATCTGTTAAGATTACTTGTGAACAAGAGGTTACCATCAGCCTTTCTACGTATAGCCTACTGAAAGTGTAGTTATGGATTTGTCTAATGCGTAGAATACAAGACCAATTTTTGACAGGAGGATGGTTGGTGATTTGTTATGGCGAATTGTGTAATGATAAATAAATAAGTTGATTTTTAGTTTTAAAGCAGTTGCTGCTCACCAGCAAACTAAGTGTATTTTATAGTGGCACGGAATATAAGTCAATGAAAGGATGGTTGTAGACAGCATAGACTAATAGGTTACATCTTTGAATAGTTTACAATTGCAAACGGTTTCTAGGAGTTTAAATATCTGTAACAGAAAACATTGTTCATTCCTTTCGGAATTTATACTACAGTAAATTTATTCCATATGAACTGTGATGAAAACCTTCAGATGAATCAATTGAGGAAATCTGATCCGTTTCCAGTTGGTTTTGATTCGAAGTCCACATCAATTGAGGAATCATTTTAAGGTGAAATATGACGGACAAACTTCAACGTTTATTGAAAATCAACTGTCTTATGTACTAACAGATAACTGATGGTTATATGCAGTATTTGTATGAATTAATGATTCCTTTGTACTTGATGACTACCTAATTTCGAATTCCAAATACAATACGTTTGTTCGTGCTCATCTAGGTAGTCTTGGTCTAAATTGCGTTATTTCTGGGATTCCTAGTTTGTATAATAATTTAAATACTCCTAATTATTACACTACTGTACATTATACTACATTGTCACTTGACATAAGGAACATATTTAACGATCTAATTTCAGTGCTTACTATATGACCTTAAAGGTTGATTGTTGAAGAATACAACTAAATAGTTATACATAGTTTGTCACTTTTACTGACAGTTTATTGGTTTTCAGCTCACAACCATTTATTAAGTTTCTAATCTATTTGTAGTTGATATTTGTTAATTTATGCTAATATATCTAACTTCTAAATACCACTCTGAAGATATGTCAACACTGTTATTGTCACCAAGTATGCTGATGCTGACCGACCCACACACCTTCTTCCTTCCACAGTTTGCTTAACCAGAACATAAAAAGCCAGCTAACGTAGCTTCCACAATTCTCAGTCCTTTTTTTTACAGATTTAAGCAGTCCCCTAGTTTCAAGCGTCTATATTCCCACTTAGCCGCAAATAGTTCAGTTTTCATTTTTGAAACGTTTATATTCAGTACAGTAACTCTAGTTTCGATTATTATATCTGTTTACTGATTAGTTTACTCCGTTCCTTTCAATATGAAGCATTTTCATCCACAAATAACACTTCTAACAACTATGATAACTAAACTAAATGAGAGTTATTTCACAGTTATTGTTTATCGATCAGTGCTGACAGTCGTAAAGTTGACGTTCATTATATTCCGTTCAAAGTAACGAACACTGAAATAGCATAGGATTCTTTGAATCCTATTTATGTTCGTGGACATTTCTGTCCAAAAGTAGCCAGGAATACAATCCTAATATTAGCCAAATGATATCTAATGGGAAAATAGTTCGCTATACCTTTTAATAGATGAACTACGAAATTATAACACACATCTTATTGGAAGTACTACACTGAGATAATTTATTAGCATGGAGTACCTGTGAAATTATGCGGTTTCAAGATAGTTTACATCACTTTAGCTGAACAATTAATGAAAGCTAGAAATTACTAAAGACTACTATGTCGTCCTTTTGTATAGGTTTCCTTAAAAATACCTACCCATTACCCTCCTTAACAGGAATCAAAACGAGGAATTTTATAATGACTGCATAGCATTCAAGACATTAAGTTGCTATTCCAAAATTCACACTTTCAACTTCAGTCAATCTACAATATATATATGACTATTAAGTAACTGGTTAATACATAATTATATTATTCTCATTATAAGCTTTCATTTGACCTTTTGGCTACTATTAAACGATTCACTATTTTTAAGCTATTCCCAGTCTACTAGTTACAATCTTTCACACTCGTAGTCACTTTTTGTTTGATCTTGTATGATTGTTATTTTCTATTTTATGGTATTATACGATTTAATTTACGTGTATATAAACTGCATATGTCTGAAATACACGATTCACACAACGGTGGCCGATATTTGCGAGAAGCTATTACACGGAGGACCAATAAGGACTCAGAGTTGACTCAAGGCTGATCATGCTGATTAACGCGTCATTGGTTTTTCACAGGGAGAGTGCCACAGAAGTCGGTGTTGTAATTGTCAATTTTGTCACGTGATACTTGACTGGTTATAGGACGTAACATGATGAATAGTGGTTAGCAATGAAATTCATGACGTGCGTTTCGTTCTGTTTGGGATACATCAGCTAAATACATCGGAATCCCAGAGTTGAAGTTCATTCCAGGACCGGACCCAGTACCTTTCATATCTAACACTATCGTGTTATCCACTTAGTCATTGAGTCAAGGTAGCCACTGGTTTATGCAATGGGATGAATTTTAATCCACATGTATTGGTTATTCGAATCTTCCCATTCATATGTAAGGTTAAAAACATGCAAATATAGGAGCACTCTGTACAAAATTCACACACGGCAGAGAAGAGACTGGTCAATCGCAGTCCTAAACATCGTCGGTAATATACGGATAACCAATAAGTATCATTTTTTTCTAACGTTAAGAACCACATGATGGTAATTTAACCAATAAATTTTAATAATAAAACAATAAAAGATGTGGAATATATATCTGATTTACATAAGGTAATAATTGTTGGAATGTTCATCATTTTTAATGATAATTACATGAATATTCAATAATGTGAATCTTATTATTTATATATATTTTTTCTTACTACTAATATTGATATAAGTAGCTTTATTCAAAAAAAGGACTAGACAAATAATTATTTGTGTACATATGATTTATAATGAATTATTGTATACAGAAATGATAATACTAGTACCTTGATTAAACTCAATTGTTGGAGAGGAAACAATATAATGATAATGAAGAGAAGGAGTGAGATGCAGAAGTAGAGGAATATAGAAGTGAATTAATATGATGATGATGCATTATGTGATTCGTTATTATTATCATCATTATTAGTGCTTATCGCTTTACTATTCACATGATTATACACATATAAATCATTTAAAGGTCCACTTGAATTTGATTCATCATTATTAATTAAATTAAAGAAACTTGAAATATTTCTCATTTGTTTTATAAATTGTGGATTTAAAGTTGAATTCATTATTAAATTCATTGTAGTATTAACAGTGTTAGAAAAAGAAGAAGTTTCAATATCAGTTACGTTAGTAATTGTCGTAGCAACTGTTAGTGTTGTTGTTGTGGGAGATGGTGGCGGTGATCCTGTTGTACCTGATGCATTAGGTGCAGTTTGAGTTTCAGTTGCAGAACGTATTATATAAGCAAATATCAAACCCAATATAGTCAATATAGCTCCCATTGTAACTATACGAGCTAAACGATGATTTTCAATAAGATTTGAATAAGCTTCATCTTCATCATCTGTATTTGTACAACATGTACAACATAACAAATCAACTAGGATAGATCGATCAACTGTAGTTGTTGTTGGTGACATTGTATTATTATTATTACTGGTTAAAATAGTATTTGGATTATTAGATTTATTATAATGAACATTTGACAATGTACCAATTGAACCACTAGTTCTATGTTGATTTTGATTACCACCAATTATTGTATTAAAAATACCACGATCCATTAAACGTTGACTTGAAACACTACTTCGTATACCCATTGTATTATTATTGTCATCATCATAACTTAAGTCTTTATGATGTTGTATAAAACTTGATCGAGATGGTTTCTTATGAATCTCTGCACCAGAATTAAAAATATTATTATCATAATTGGTACTATTATCATTATTATTTGTATTATGTTTAGAAATAATCTGTTTTAATCGTTTCCCCGATGGTATTCTTGTATTTAAACGAAAGTTAGGTGAATAACCTTCATCAAGATATTCAGTTGATGTTTCTTGTGTAAATCCTAAATTATTACTAATCTGTGAAAATATCATAGCAAGTGATTTACGTGGATTAGCTAGAAGTGATGAATTACGACGCTTTTCAATAGATATTTGTCGTGGAAATGGTTGCCAATGTTGTTGTTGATGATGTACTTGAAAAATTGTTTCTTCATTATTTACTATATCAGATTGTGATAAATTAGAATTAGAATATTGTTCATTTGTTGATTGAAACTTTATTGGTATCTTATCGTTGTTTATATTACAATCTGTATGAAGTGTCTCTTCATTGAAATTATGTTTGTTTAATGTGTTTTCATTCATGTAATAGTCCTTTTTTTCTAGTTGATCATATCCACTATCCTAAAATGTTGAAAAAATAAACAAATATATTCAAGTGTAAGGAAAGTGGACTGTTTAAAGACTTACAACAGATCGAAATGTTTGTAAGCAAAGATGGATAGTGGCTAGCAGTGGAATCGAGGACGCGCGTTTCGTCTTATGTGGGACTCGTCAGCTGGATGTACCTGTATCCCACAGTTGATATTCACTCTGGAACTCGAACGCAGTAACTTTCGCTTCAAAAGCCATCGCGTTATCTACTCGGCCACTGAGTCCTGATAGCCACTTGCTTGTGCGATGGGGTCCCGAATAGAACGAAACGTGCATACTGCATTCCATTGATATCCGTTGTTCATCTTTGCTTACAATGCTTGTGAATTAAGGCAATATCGAGGCAATACTCACATTATGCACATATGCCAATTCGAGACTGATCAGTTGCAGGCCTAAACATCGATAGGAAGATTCAAACAAACAATACTAAATGAAGATCCAAATGTTTCTTTCGCAAATTGATTTATGCATAACCGATAAACTTGTTTTAATCATCAGTGAGTAATATCAATTTAAGAAATATTGAATACCTGAAACTATAGAACTCCTACACTCAGTCTTAATTCAAAATCTACGGTGATATATTTGATCTTGTAAGGGTTTGTATTTTATTGTTCACACTAAGAATTAAATTTGATCAATCTACAGATAACACTGATATTCTCAGCTATGATTGCCTGATTCGAATCTCCGTCGGAAAAATCAAAACAAATCCAAGTATATTCGGTTAGTAAGTTGATGAGGTGCGCTTTCCAAATCCGACTACTGCCAATTATTCAAAAATATATTTGATCTTATTTTAAAACATCGTAATTGCATTTCTTCTTATTCATTGTCAAATTTAAATCCATAAACTTCTGATTGTATGATCTGGAAAGCACTTCAAAATTTATAGAGTCTATCTGTCAACTTAACAATTTTATCTTAAACAACTCTGAGTAATGTTGTTTCAGATATCACTAATAAGTCAGCGTTATTAAAAAGTTACACCATTTTAATCTATATTATTTCATATCAGCAGTATGAGTTATTATTTCAGTATAGAGTGGTTGTGATTCTTTATGTCTTAACAACACATAAACTGGATTACATTACATTTCAGATCATCAATAGTTTGATTTTCAAAATACTAGGCCACAGGAAGGGAGAATTTGATAAGTAGAATATATGTTTTTTATTGAGATCATGAACCGATTGATGTTAGACCACCATTGGAAACCTGGAAGCTATGTACTGGACTCCTCAGCAGTGTGCATCCACGATCCTGTTTGTGGGATTAAGACCCAGAGCTTTCGGTCTCTCGGGTGTAAACAAAAGTTAAAGTTACAAAACGGTGCATAATTAATTTTAAAATATTTAGGATCTAATTGGTATGTAAGGACATTTCATATTTGAAATGTATGCTTCAAGATGCGTTTACTTGTTTCCTATTCAATAAAATGCTTAAATTCAATGTTAATTATCGCTTGTTCTATTGGATATGAAATTTACAAATATTCTCATATCCTTACACCTTACTAATTAAAACTTCATTAGAAGCTAATATCATCTTATTGAAATGTATGCGATGAATCTATAAATAAGCTTTCAAATCAAAATTTCTGTTTAATACTATATCAATTAAGGTATGTTATAATTACTATTTAGTTTAACTTTGAAACTGTATTTGCTTCCTTCAGATGAAATAAAACTTACCTTTTTCAATGGTGATTGTTTTAAATTCTCTAAATTTGCCATTATTTCCTCCCATTGAACATTGTTCTCATCTGCATCTATATTTGTATCGTCGTCGTCATCATCATCTGTTATGACACCCCAACCAGGAAATCTGTCAGATAAACTTAATTTAAGTTTATCTACAGGCTTTTTTTCATTATTTGTTAATTTTGTTTTATTGTCAGATTCGTTAAAGGATTGGTTATTTTGAGTGTTGAATATTTCAAATGTACTACTTACATTATTATTATTATCATTAGTAGTAGTAGTAGTAGTGGTAGTGGTAGTGGTAGTACTAGTCTGTTTATTAACTGGTTCAATAAAAGCAACTCTTGGTTTCAAATTTTTACTTGATATTTCATTTACTATAACACATTCTGTTGAAGGATTTGCTGAAGTTACTGTAGAATATGATGATATCACTGTGTCAAACGATGTTTTCATTGATTCATTAGATGATACTATGTTCAATTTTGATTCTATTGTTTTTCGTGATGGTAAAACGATTAATCTATCTGAGGATGAACCTTTGTCATTTGTACTGGTGTAAATACTACTGTTTTTATTATTATTTCTCATTGGATTGTTAGTAGTAGTAGTAGTTGTAGTAGTAGTAGTAGTAGTAGTATTAATAGTATAATCTGTTGTATTATACAAGTTGTTGTTGTTGTTGTTGTTGGAACTCATAGATATATTTTGTAAATTAATGTACTGTGGATCATTTGACGATTTTGATAAATAAGATTCATTTGATGATTTTTTACTATTAACTGTAATATATGTAGATTTAAAGTCAGGACATTTAATTGCGGTTATCACAGGTTCTTGAATGGATAATAAAGACGGTGAAGAACAACTACTATCCTGTGTAATATCGATTTCTTTTTGTTGAGTTAACGCTGATGTGAATGATTGTTGTTGGAGATGATGTTTAAGAGGGTGATGTTGATGATGACGATGATAATGATTTGTCGAAAGTGGTGGGGGAATACGTACAAACGGGGGTGGTTTGGCACGAATTTGTGAATCCAGTACAGAAAACGGTAATTTTACACCAAGCTGAATATTAAAAAAAAATTAGGAAACATTTTTGAGTATCCTTAAAATGACCGTAATAATGTTAAATGACCTAAGCAACCATTAAGTTTCTTACTGATTACTGATATGCTTGCTGACTGGTGATAACCAGCATGACAAGTTAATACACATCTTTATACCAAGTTCATCTGACCAACTAACATCGAGAAAAATACACACAAAGAGATCAGTCAAGTCAGACGAGTAGCTACATTAACTAACCTGTTCGATAAAGTTTGGTTAACAGAAAGCATTTGAAAAAATATATCCTTGGTTAATACTCAATAAAATTATCAGAAGGGGTTTTGTGGAGATTTAGTATTTTCATAGTTAAAAGCGTGAGTCAATTGAAGCTAGACCACTAGGGGAAACCTGGAATCATTTGATGGCCGTTTCGTCCTATTGTGGGACTCCTCAACAGTGCGCATCCACGATCTCGTCTCATGAGATTTGAACCCAGGATCTACCAGTCTCGCGTGCGAGCACTTAACCGATAGACCACTGATAATGTTAATGTCTAACTTCAACCAATCCACGAAGTTGAGCAACCGTTCACCAATTGTCTTCAGTGAGTTGATATCTCCCAACAGACGTTGTTGAACTCCACTGGTAACCGCTTCTCACTAGAACTCCTGGATTTACCTCAGTCACTAGTAATGTCTTTATTTAAAGAGGACTTATGAATGGTTATTTACCTTGATAAGTTTACAATATGCACCAAATTATGCATTATAAGTGATTACAATGCGGATATCATGACATGTACATATTATGTTTGATTAAGCAAGGGTTGTCACGAGATAAATTGTTCAAAACAAAATACAATTTAAACTATACTGAGTGAAAGTATATCGAGGATACAGAACTTAATGTAGTGAGATTAATAAAAGTACACGAAATTCAAATTGAAGTATGAAACACATTTTATCTTATGTACGGAAATCAAAGTTCATTTTGTTGATAACCATCTTTGCTGAGAAAGCTCGTGACTTCAGACAATATTGAGACAGTCCACAGAGGATGCACATATGCCAACAAGAGACTGATCAATTGCTGTCCAAAATATCAATGGTAAGATACAAGTAAACAACAAGTGAACATAACTTCTATTATTTTAGACAGTTGAGTATGGGAAGACCTTGGAAAGTGAAATGTATCATGCAAACAATCAATAATTCAGGATTTGCTTATTGTCCATTAATTTCGAAAACTAGTACAGTAAATTTATTTTCTAGATTGGTTTTATTGTCCATAGAATAGTCACATAACATATTATCATTTATGCTATTTATAAGTAGTATAACAAGATTAGTGAAATAATTTAAGGTTCTTCAGTAACTAATCGTGATGGAAATTGATTTTGTATATTGCTACTAGATACCAGTAGCATAATCAAAGTTGATGAGGAAGAATGAATGTCTTTGATTATCAGTCAAATTATAACATAAAGTAAACTTGCTCTGGTTTTAAAATTAATTCACAGATATAATTGTGTGATTATTTATTGACACCCTCCCTTCTAATTCTTTCTGTTTTTTTACGAAAACTTTTAGTACTCTCTTGTTATTATCTTGTATATATAAAAAAAGAACACTGATTTGTTTCTTTAATTTCCTTTGTTTCTATGAAAAATTATTTAAATATATAAGTGCATATGTTGATAAGTTACTTCATCAAGAAAGAGATAATGACATTTGTTCATCTTAAATTCATATTCTTTGGTATATAAGATTTGTGTTGGTGGAGAAGATTTGTAGCTCTCATGGATGAATTTAATGGAAATTGTTGAACTTTCACAGTTTACATTATAATCTAATCATATTCAGACAAAAAATAAAAGTTATGTAACGCTGGAAATTTGTTTTATCACATTCAATATGCGACCATTCAGTGGTAGCATGTATTTGAGACCTCACCGTTGAATGATCATCGAATCTTCAAATCTTTGCTTATAAGCAACAGAAGACGGTAACAGAATATCAAAACTTGACTGAAGCTAGACATTTTCATCATCTTATCCTAACTTAGTGTTCTAAAAGTTGAAATTTCACATAGAAGGCCAAAGATACTAGGTTCGATTATTGATTGGATAGTGAATGCTTCCATCCGAGGGGCCCCCTAATACGACGAGACAGATGTCCAGTACTTCCTGACTTTCAATGTTTATCTGACTAACATCAATTCGTCATATAATTTAAGATAATACTTCTTGGTCTATCATCTTTCATGTTCAAAAAGCTTTTCTCTCTTATCCTGTATACATTTTAGTATATGTGTACTGTCTCTAAAAAAGGACTAGGAGTTCTTGTACTATACAAAAGCAAACTTATTAGAAATTCAACTGAATGACATACAATATAACGAAGATATTTAATTTAAATACATTAATTTTTCATTCAGGACATCTTTTTGTAGTCTCATATTGGAAATGGGAAAACTGGTTTTTTTGTAATTACCTACAGAATAGGAACAGAATGTTTTCGATGAAACTATACAAATCAGTTAGTAACTATTCATTTTTAGCTTTTTTAAAAAAAGATTCTATAGTAGAGTATTTTCAATATGTTATACATATATTCTGTTATATCCTGAAGAGAATTATGAATGGTAACTTTTGAGGACTAGTTATGGACCTATATGATACGTATATTTCCTATTGTATAATTATTAAGTAACTTAACTATTCATATTCATGTTCTTTTTATTATGAGCTTTATTTTGACTCATAGACTACTACTGTACAATTTACGGTTCCTGAGTTATATCCAGTCCATCAATTATTGTTCCCCAGTCACAATTAGCTGAGTCTTGTACAAATGTTATTTCATGTTTTACGGTACAATGTGGTCAGTTTGTTTGGTAAATAAACCAAGTATGTTTGAGAATAATGATTCATATTGCAGAAGCTAATATTGGTGTTCTGGACTTAACTGGCTGGGCTAGGCAGATATCAGGACTGATATATACTCTAGACTTCTCATACGGGTTTCGTGTATCATTGGTTCGATCGATAATTCGCTGTTCTCCGATTGGCAGTATCGTCACGTCATATATTAAACAGGGGACTGAAGCACACGATATAACATATTCCCTGTCATCTACGTGTGAATATAATGGTACTTTTCTATCAGATTGAAATATATTTCTTATTGTTTTATTGATTAATTCAAATGACTTTCAATTTCTGGATCTGAAATATGACGCAACTGCTTTAGTTTGATCTAAGGTATAGTTCTACTATACCTCTGATGTAAAAATATGTAGTTTGGTGTTACTCATTCAATGAAATTTACAGAGTACCGGGTATATATATATATATATAAATACAAAATACCTGAAACTGTTGCTTCGCAGCGATTTTCTATATAACTTAAGTCTCAGAACAGAACTCTTATTTAAGTAGCTGATTACTAAACGACTTGGATTTACTGTTTAAGATAAGGCACATTGTAAACTATGAAGTACACTTTACCTTAAAATAAATCCTACTTGTATAATTATTAAAAACAGTGTTTTTTGTGTAATGGAAAAACACACAAAATAATGTAGATACATTCATTGGTATTTTAGAAATTTCTTTTCAGAAGAAGGTTTTGTGGAGAATGTAGTAATTTAGTAGTTGATTTCATGATTCAATAAAGGCTAGACCACCATGGAAATTCTTGAAGTACTAGATGGCCATTCAAATCGCGCTTGCGGGATCGTGAACACGCACTGCTGAGGAGTCTCATACTGAGATGAAACGGCCGTCCAGTGCTTCCAAGTTTTTCTCAGTGGTCTAGCTTCACTTGACTTATGAATTCAAGTAATAGAAATCGATTTGTTTAAATCTGTGGAACAATATTTTTTCAAACAAAAAGAAATATTTCTATAAATAGAACAAGAGCTTTCAGTGTACGTTTAAATAGTCTACTTAAATTTCAATAACTTACTACTTACTATACTATACTACTTACTACTGAAATAGATGTTATCAATAAACATATACGTATAACTTAATGATTATTTAAAGAGATTAAATATTGTAAAACATTCATATCAAACTAATTTCATCTAATATAATGCCAATATAAACAATGAAGCAGAAAATGATTTTCCAGAGAAATATTATTACCCTTAGATTTTGTATAGGAGATAATTTGATTTAGTTAACGAGAATAAAAATTATTATTGTGGTATATACTACTGATGTCGACAAATATAAATAGTATATATCATCAATAGAATATGAAAACCTGAAAGCACTGGAAGGCTGTTTCGTCAAACTGTGGGACTCCTCAGCAGTACGCATCCACGATCCCTCCTCGCGAGATTTTCAACCCAGGACCTACTAGTCTCGCGCCAGAGCATTTAACCGGTAGACCATTGAGCAGGCCAGCATCCAACAGTATTAATGTCTAACTTCAACCAATCCACGAAATCGAAAAACCGTTCACCATTGTCTTCAGTGAGTTGATATCTCAGAACAGACCTGGTTGAACTTCACTGGTTAGAACTCCAGGAAATACCTCATGGAGCCAGTCGCTTGTGAGCATATGATAATTATCAGAAGGGGGTTTTGTGGAGATGTAATAAGATTGTCAAAATGTTAATGTTGCAGTAATTGCCCGGGTGCCCAAACCAAAGCAGGTGGTTTTCTTAGAGGGCCACTCTCGTAGCTTTCGACCTAAAGATCTAATCCACAAAGCAGTGGAGCAACGTCAGGATATGAAGTTCCATGGTAGCCGGTGACCAACGATTGGTTCATGCGCCATTTTGTTCTTCAGGACACTGGGGACCATGTGCACTAATGGTTTGGAATCAGGGTTTTCCAACTCCCCTATGTGTACTCTCTGTTTCCACCAACCCGGTAAGAGCATTGGATATTTGCTTTTTGATCTCTCAATTTCGTAAACAACACCGCCACGAGAAGGCAGTGAGTAGTTGTTTAGTGGTTAATTATTCACTCGCGAGACCAAATTTTCTATGTTCAATAACCCGAT